CTACTCAGTGACGGCCATCACTGCTGGTGACCATCATCACTACTGATGACCGCTATCACCATCCTTAAATGATTATAGGCAAGTAGATTTTAAGCATTAAGCATGCCTTACAAAGGATGGCAGCATAGCTCGCCTGCGGATACATATTGTATGCTCATCTTATAAGCCCAACTAATCGACCTCATCGTAATGTCCACAGGTTCAGGGGCAGGTACGATTGAATTCTCAGGAAGAGATATTGAACTTGGATACGACCATTGATTTATTGATTTCCTCAAATAAATGCTTCATCGACTTTGAAGCAAATAAATTAGGAGTTTTGCAAGGGATAACGGGTAGTTGGGCAGACCAGATATTGCTGGGAAGAGTCGATGAGAATGTTCAGTAAATTTTGCGACAAGGGAATTTTGTTCTGACTACGCCTGACTTGTGAGTATCCAGAATATTGCATGAACTCGCTCGAAGACCAGAAGGTACCTATCTCACACACTTTGAGAGCGCACCGCTTTTTTCCGCAAAAGAGATCTAGGCAACCGCTGTGAATCACAGCCTCCCTCTAATCTAGTATTTAAACCCTTTCTGAGACCTGATCTTCAATCTCTTCCTCTTCATTCATCATCACCATTCATCATCACATCCTCCGTTCCCTCTTCAACCACCATCCAGGCCTCTCAACAGTTGAACCAACCTACATCTCCATCTCCCCTTTCTGCTTCACATCTCCCTGACTTTTCCACACCTTCATCGGCTCAGCACTTCGAGCCTCTGAGCCCAGGTTGCTATCACGATCTTCAAGCTTCCCCATACCACGTCAAACATTAACTGTCACCCTACTACTACATTCTTGTCAAGAACTTTCACGATCGGGTCAACACTGAGCCTCAGAGCGCTATCGCTTCACGTCAATTTGCACTGGACTATCGATTGACTCTGAAAATTCATCGCCCCTCCTCTTCATCCCATGGCTATCGCTTGCCCATTCTGGTAGGTATACGTCGTTATTCATCTGGCAGTCATTATCAAGGCGCTGACAAGCGACAGATTCACTTCTTCGCCATGGATACTACTTCTCCGCCCACTGATGGGCTACAGCCCAAAAATGCAGACACCGGGCAGCCCCAGAAAACTGCTGTTGTCAAGAAAGAAGAGAGCCCCGATGACGATGAATGCATACTGATGTCCGTCGCTCCATGTCCTGGAAAGGAAAAATCGAAAGTGGTCATTTGTCTTGATAGTGATGAAGAAGAAGATCATATCAAGAAGGAACCTGAGGCGTCCGACCAACAGACAACTACAGTTGGTATGGCACCGAGGCCAATCAAGCAAGAGAGTGCAGATGATAAAGGTGCTCTGAAAGCTGCTCTCCTCAGAGAGAACGCAATGACAACCGAGAGTGTCCTTGATACGATTGTTGTCGCACCGGAGGCTGACGACAGCGACGATGCGGAAACAGTTGTTGAAGACAACGAAGATTCGGAGAATATCGCCGAAGAAAAAGGTGATGAAGACTACATTCTTTCTGAGGATTCGGACGACGACAAAGATGATCGCGCCCAAGCTCGAAATCTTGTGCGTCAGAAAAAACTACGGAAACTGGAAACTGAACAATTGGACCTGCTCGTCAAACAAAATGAAGGCGAAGAGTTGGACTCTGATGAATGCGGAAGATTGAAAGAACTGAAAGAGGAGATCGCAAAGACAAGAATCGCAATTCAAAAGTTCTTGGATTCGAGGAAGACTCATGCAAAGACCGCACGAGAATTCTGGCAGCGGCAGTTGAGACTGGAACTTGAGGAAGAAGCAAGAAAGCGCAAACGCGATGAGGAGGAGCAGGGATCAAACAAAGTCCAAAAGACAGCGGGTAAAACCAATCCTGGTGGCAGTTCCGGACAGGATGCCCCCAATGCGGTAGCATCTTTGTTCACCATAAACAACACCCAGGAGGTCGATATCGACGACAGTGCCCCGAGTATGGACGAGATTAAAGCAACCACCCACGCCTCCCAGATGCGACAAATTCTCGCGGGAATGCCAGAAGATGGCGACACAAGACATACGGCTAGCCAGAAAAAAGACCTTATCACTGCCAAAAGATGTTTTGGGTACAAAAAGGTTAAAGCAGTCAATGGGAGATGGAAGCTTAACGGACTGAAAACTCCTCTGACGAGCGGCCAGATCGTTGGTGCTTCTTGGTTCGTTAGACGTGAAGCTATGGACCTACACCCAGCGGGTGGTATCCTGGCTGATGAGATGGGTGTGGGAAAGACACTCACTTCTCTTGCTGCCATTGTCGCACATCCTCCGGAGAAGGAGGATATAGACAAATTTTGCAAAGCGACGCTCATCATTGCTGACGGCCCTCATTCTGCTGAATCGACTTGGCTTGAGCAGATTAACGAACATTGTGAAGACAGAATTGCCGAGAAGTCCATGATTTATTCCAAGAGTCTTGGGAAAAACCCAGGGTGGTGGAGCAAAAGACAAGTGGTGTAAGTAAACAGCTTGGATACCGCTTAGGGATAGAAAGAAAACTAACATAATCAAGCATTACACATATTGATCACTTGCGCTCACAGTATCCCAGCAAAAGTCAACAAAAACTGCTGAGAGGGCAATGGGCAGGAGATGACGGCGGGTACCAAAGGGCCTTGTTTCGCAAACTCGGCCCTCTTCTCAAGATCAAATGGTACAGAGTCGTTCTAGACGAAGCTCATAGTATCAAGAACCACAGATCGTCTAGTAAGAATCTATTGCCCCGAGCTGATTTCCGAACTGACAATCTACAGATACTCTCGCAGCCTGGCAAATTCAGGCCAAGTACCGCTGGGCGTTGACCGGTACTCCATTGACTAACAAGTTAGAAGGTTTGTTCTTCTACTTGTTTTGAGACCTTATCTGACATGCTCTAGAATTCTACCCATACTTGAAGTTCATTGGATGTGACTTTGCAACATCTATGCGAAAGTTCCGCAACGAGTATGTGAAAAGTGTAGGTCTTTCCCCTTCGCCTCTTATCGTTTATGAATCTAATTGGAATTAGGAAGATGCAAGTGAGAACTTTGCGACGCTGGCGAGCATCGTTATGCTCAGGAGGTAAGCGTAATCGATAAAATGAAGACACTGCTGACTTTCACCAGAAAGCAAACGGACAAGTTCATGGGCCGTATCATGGTTCCCCTTCCAAAGAGCCATCGAAGCGATCTATGGGTCCCCCTTTCAGGATGGGAGGAGATCATAAGACAGTGAGTTATCGCCATTGAGATATTGATCTAGTGTAACCCAAATCACTTACCGTTGTCATTTTTAGAGTCGTTAATTCCACCTACGAAAAAAAGCTTACAGACGAACAAGTCGAAAAATGCAAGGGGAGTGAGGCCAATGGACATCAAGACGCTCAAGCATCCAAGAATGGACACGAGTCGGACGAGGGAAGCGAAGCTGGGATTGAAGAGGATGAGGGTGGGACCAATTTCAGAGTCCAAAACACCCGAAGCTTCAGGCTGGCTCAGTTGACTTCCCATCCACTGAATCTTGAGGTGTTCTTTCGCGAGAAGGATCGCGAGAAGGACATTCGACCAATCCTCGACAGGTTTACATCAGAGCTAAGCTCTACGACAAACAGAAAAGACCGATGGGCGCTTAAAGATGCTCTTGGAGAGACATACTTACCAGGATTGCAACAACTTGAAGCAGCAATCAAGAACACATTCGGAGGTGCCAAAGACATGGCCAAGCTATTGGATATGGCACTCAAGGAGCAAACGCTCAAGGATGTCACTTGTCGGATCTGTGACGCAAGCCCTCCTATCAATCCTGTCCAGTGCTTGAACGTATGCGAAAAGCTCAACTTGTTAGTACAGTTACTGATGTTTATAGTGCGAACACATTTACTGCGACCGGTGTCTCACGTCCACTATTGGGAAACCAAAGGATAAACGTCGCCTTACCGTGAGTAGCACTCCTATTTATCCAAGAGATTCAGACTAACCACAGCGGTCGATTCTTTAGTGTCGTCATACCGGTTGCTCTAAGAAGATGGCCAGAGGAGAGCGCATCATAACACCGGATTGTGTTGATGATGCAGTCAAAGGGTTAAAGGGTTTCAAAGAGGCTGGGCGCGACAGCATTGGAACCAAATGGCACGGCCATAAGAACGAGCGGTTCTCGTTTTTCCGTGCAACCAGTGGCCGTAAGGATCTTGGCTTTGATCCCATCAAGATGCCTCTAGGTGCTAAGCTGAAGGCCGCGATGTCCGTTCTTTTGACCTGGAAGAAAGAAGCACCGGAAGACAAGATCATTAGTAACAATACTCCATCTGGATATTAGAAAACCGCTGACATTGTTTTTAGTTTACATTCGATGGACAAGATCAGCGAAAGCCCTGGGGTGTATTCTCGAAAAGATGGCACTCCCTTTTGTCTATTACAACCGAATGGCGACTAAGCTACAGAAGACTCGCGCAATGCATGACTTTTTGAACAACCCGAGCACGAAAATTCTGGTGAGTATCCATACCGAGTCCGTGATAGCTTCATATAACCTAACGTATCAACAGATCGCATCCATGAAGTGCGGTGGCCAGTCCTTCAATCTTCAGGTCGCCAACCGAGTGCTAATTTTTGATGAGTGGTGGAACGACGCGGTAGAGGAGCAGGCGTTTCGACGTGTCCATCGAACTGGACAGACCAAGGAGACACACCTTGTGCGTATCATGGCCACAAAATCCATCGATGAACGTATCATTTTGCTGCAAGAGACGAAGAGGGAGATCATCGCTGCTGCTCTCCAAGATGGAGAACTCGTTCCTCACTTCAGCAGCGAGCTACAACTTCGCATGCTATTCTCCAGTAAGGACAAGGCGTCTTTGGTCGAGGACATGAACAAGGAGGCTCGCAAGACAAACAAGGGTAAGGGGAAGGCAGTCAAAGAATGAGAGAAGACCTGAGGTTGGAGCGTTATGATCAGGTAAAAGTTGTGGCATTTTCTTTCTTTTTGGTTTGCTTCGAAATTATTCGCCAGTTACTGCTTTTGCAAAGCAAATATCTTCATGGCTATTTGAGAGGGCGTTATTCGGAGAAAGTTCTGATGGCATATTACGGCTATGGTTTCAGATACCTATTCAGGAATGAGGCAGGCGTTTACTCAGGTTGAGCAGAGGATAGCTCATATTCCCCCTTTTCCCCAGATACTTCACATAGCACAGATACCAGATTGACAATACACACTTCACATCAACTACAGGTTTCAGAGAGCAGGTGATTTCTGAAAGCAGATAGGTAACCTTCCTGGTACTCAAAGGATGAGTCTCTTCTGTTGTTGTCTTCCATGGTTTGCGTAATGATAATGTTGTGAAGTCTCAGAAATCGGCAACATGCATAAGTCTCGGGGAACACGGGACAATATGGCAAACACCGCAGTTTGCATATTTCGCCCAACCAAATAGATAGTTGACGTTCTAAAATGGCCATGCTCTTTGCCCATGCAGCATAGTCTGCTGTTGTACAACGGCGGAGAATAAAGAATGACCGTCTTCCTTTCTACCAACATTGCTGAATGTCCCCAGTGAGTAAGCATCCAACTTCAATCATCCACTTAATCATCTGGATGGTCTTAGAGTAGACACACGCTTCATCTTTACGTCTGTCATTTCTCACATTTGGGTCTTTCACTCATACTGCGTGTTGAGCTAGTTCTGAAGCTATCTGTTTTGTTGCAAGGGTATCAAAGAGTCTTCAGAGCGCCACCAAGACGGTATGCGATAACAGCATCTTTGTGAAGCTGCAGATCCTCTTTACGAATATGTCTTCAGTGTGCAGAATACTGCGCTCGGTGAGTCCGGATGGATGATATCGTGGTGTCTGTGGACAAAGACTTGATAACTCAACGTGGGCTCAAGAGGTAGGATATAGAATGGCTGGACTTCTCCTGAGCTTCAGGTCGATCTCATCTCTTTCGCCGTACTCTCTTCAGCTGTTTCAGAAATACTGGATCCCGTCTCTACTGAAACAACCATCACGAAGACACCATCCTCACGATGCACGACCACGACCCAACCGAAGACCTGGGAGTCACCTGTCCCTCCGGTACCAACTTTTACATCTGCAAAAGCGATCCCAGTCAATTCATCGGATGCTGTGCCATCAACCCCTGCAGTACCCGAAAGGGTCTCTGTCCAGACCAACATCTCAAACCGGCCACTTTCGACAAAGCATACGAGGAGTATATCCTGCCTCAGGCTTGTATCAACGACAATGTCGATGTTGCGTGGCATGCTTGTTCCTGGTCGACATCTTCGTTCATGGGATGTTGTGCTGTGGATCCTTGCAATGGCGGATGTCCTGCGAGGCAGTTGAGAGCGGCGAAGTTGAGCGATGATGCCAAGAATGCCGAGTGTTTCCTTGGTGGGGAGTACGGGTATGAACCGAAGCCGAGTTATACGTCAAGTAGTAGTCTGGATCCCACTACAAGCACGAGTGCCTGCTCGACTACGACATTTTCGACTACGATAGTTTCAACTACCGCCTCTAGCTTCACGACGTCAATCGTGACTACATCAGCTTCTAGTACCTCGATGTCATCAAGCCCCAAACCTACATCTGCACCGCCGAAGGACAGAGGCGGTCCAGAACTCAGGTACTGCTGGATTTTGCTCTTGCTCGTCTTGCCCATTCTTTACTGTGCACGACGGGCATCCATAAAACGGTCGAAACTCCGCGAGACCAAGAGAGACATTAATAACAGCGACAGGTTTTGGCAATCGTCGGATAATGAGTCGGTAGAAAGGACGGCTATTCCACAGACAAACCCCTCAATCAACAAGCGCGACAATCGTCCTCTTCCACTCAAGCGAGGCCTGTCATATCATCCCCAACTAGATGTCCAGACCGGGGACGGGCGAACAGCCAACCAGAAAGAATTCCCACAGCCAGATTCAGATTCCTTGTTGAAAAGGGATAAGAGTCTTCCTACTTTGGAGGAGATGCTCCTCGAAAAAGGCAAAAGTTGTTCACCTAAGGAAGAGTCAATAGTTCCTTCCCGGCAACACCAGCAACCTGTCAACAAAGGCATGAACAGTACCTATCCCTCTTTCAAAGGGGACGTTCCTGCCTCTATCAACCCGAAATTCGGCGGTCGAGATACAGAGTACACAGACAGCCCCAGTCCCGAAGAGCCAACAGGTCCTCGTATCCTCATAGTTACGAACCCAGATCCCCCAGAAGAATCATCTGGAGCATCTACGCTACCCAGAAGTACCCGAGTTCCAAGTCGAGGACGAACCAAGAAGCGTCAGAGACCTCAGATTCTTCGGAAATCCCTATCCCCCTTGTCCGAGGAAAGTGTGGGTTGGGAGAATGGAAGTCGATGAAATAAGAGCTGAGGATACCATTCAAACATGTGGAGAATAGTTGCGTAGACATCTTTCTTATGTTACCAGAAAGACAGCGGGCGTCATGAGAGGGAGTTTTGAGATGGGTTTGGAGTTGCTAGTTTGTATTAGAAGGGGTTTTGTTTGGAGTTAACATAAGTTTTGATGTGATAAATGAATAAGATAATCGATTGGAATGGTTAGATGAGAACATGAAAAGTTACCGGTTTCGCACTGTCCACTTGATGATCTTAAGTACGATGCTTTATGATAGAAGCCTCTGGTATGGTGTCCAAGGGTTACTTGACTTTGGTAAGAACAAGTCAAGTCAAACCAAGCTTCAGAATACTGAAGTGAAACGCATAGCACTCTATGTCCTTAGGCCTCCGATACTTGACCAGACCTAATACACAGTACAATAGACTGCCCTTGACTTCAGACCACAAGAGTGACTTCACTCAGTTTCCCAAGTCACAACTTAGATTCACTACCCAACAACACTCGTTGTACAGGGCGACGTAGCCTTCCAGAAAAGCAATTCTTTTCTGTGACTCATGTTTGCCTGATTCACATAGACGAAAGCATTAGCTTCGTTTGGCGATTGCCATGGTCATCACCTGTACCAACAGCGCTCTTTGTTGGTTACAGACAAGTCTGGTATGTATCGATCCGAGACCCCAGCCTCAGGGTATCAGAAGAGTTAACACCCAAGACCACAAGAGACGAAATAATTTGATCACTTTTTATCAGCCTAGAACAGCACTTGGAAATTATTTTATTTTAGCAGTCTAAGCCTTGAGGGATAATGCTTCTGTTACTTACCTGTCCGGATAGCAAGACAACATCACTTCCGAATTCCCGAACCAGCGATCGCAGGAACAAACCGAGCGACAATGCATCTGACATTTGTCCCCGAATTGTCCAAAGCTTATCTTCCAGACAATGATCAGTTTGTCTGCGCTCTGACCGCATGCGTGAGGAGCTCGGGGAGTTTTCGATTACTACACATGCCAGACAACGAGCTATGCCGAATAATGCCCAATGCTTCAATGCCAAGCTACCTGTTCTTGAACAGGGCCGGGATCTAGACTGCAGCATGTCAACAACGCTCGGGCACGTGGGATGAGCGACCTAGGCGAAGATAATCTGGGCTTCACGTTCACATTCATAATTCCGCAGCGGAACTCGCCCGGATTTCGATCCCAAAGAGGCATGAAAGAGAGCGTATTCGCCGAATCGCTCAGGTATATGGGATTGAGTGAGATTTTTCTTGCATCGAGTATGGTATCCATACCAAATGTCTCGGTAGCAAATACTAGGGGTGCGAGGCTGTGGTTGTCGACTCAAAGGTAATCAGCATAGCCTTGCAGATCTTTAGATCGACAACAGTTGACGCAACAGTATCGAAATAGCGCGACTCAGCCAGTCATGCCGTCATATAAAATGGAATCTTTGAAGAAGACCTTTATTATCCATTCAAACATAAGAATGGGATTAATCAGACATTGATCGACAAACTCTGCTGTGGGGAAGCGAGGATAATGACCGGTATCCCTGGAACGTGGGCAAAGATGCGAAAGTTCCGACAGACGAGATTTAGCGAGTAGCAACTTTACCGTAGAATAACAGAAAGTGAGTCGGTAGCGAGAAGGGTAAATCCAGAGCCAAGACTGGGACTGGAATGCACGACGTATAGCGCCGCGCGACGGATACCTCGCTTGCAGCATTGATACCAGAAGGAGACCCAAACTCATCTCCGTAAAGTCCAGAGCAGTATGGCAGACTCGTCTGCAAATTTTCAGCTTCGGAGAACGACATCTTTTGACATCAGTTCAAGGTCATGGGGAAGTGGACCAAAGGAACGGCGGTCACTCCGTTCGTGAGAGCCTCAACGCAAGAAAGGTGGGTTCCTGAGTCGTAAAAATGGGGATGATGGTCAATAACAAAAGGACGGCGTCACGTATTCGACGCCAACCTCGTGGCAAACGGTAGTTTGAGCGGAGGCGGACAAAGCTATACGCAAGTTTCGGTCCTTCCAGGACCGACGTGTGGTAGCAGACAGTGTTTTCTCAGAGGCTTTGTTAGCCCTAAGCGTTGCTGCGTGCCCTGCCCATGCAAGATTTCGAATGAACCAGTGCTGGCCAGGCCAGTTAGATCATTTTTGGATCATTTCTTCGCGGTTCAGGGACCCGCGACTCGGTTCCTGACCTGGTTCGGGGTCGCCAGGTCAAATTCTGTTAGTTGGTTCTAAGTTTGCCACTCGGAGGTTCGGGTATATGCAGGAACCCAGGTAACGGGTATTGAGAAGAGATGAATGATTCACTTTCGTCAGACAATAAAAGCAATATTTGTTGGTTGATGATTGTTTGCTTCAATGCCAAGAGCAACATCCGGTGCCATGTTGTGTTGGTCGTGTGAGGTTTCAAAGGTCAAGAACCCTGCGGCGATCTTTGTAAAAATGCGGAGACAACCACGATTGGAAATCTAGGCGATGAATAGGAAATCGGGGACTCGGGCACCACTCAAAGGCCCAGCCGAGTTGAGTCAGGGATGTTGAGTAAGAATGCTTATGCCGTCAGGACCTCAATATCTTTCATCTTAACCTCAATCGACCAGTAAAGCAGTTCGCGCCTTAACCGATTGGGATTCAGGAACAGAAAAACATACTTTGGGCTGCTCGACCATCCCGCTGCCACTGCCCATCCATAGTGACATGCAAGTTAGGTCATATTTGTCGGACTTTCATCTTGAGTCTCGACACCCGCTCCCGCTACTACCTCGCCGAACTGGGGGACGTCGAGTGGTATTCAATAGGTGAGAACAATTTTAGATTGGCCGCAAAGGGAGTGCATCGCGCAAGATCGAGAGGCTGAGAAGGTCTCGGCCAATCGCCTGTGAATTAGGATTAGCCCCCAAGACGGATGGCGGCGCCTTGACGGACGTGGCACGCGGGAAGGACAATGAAAGGATTCGCTTCGCCCTGAAGTAGATCTTGCCCTTACGTAGCGCGCTGCTAGCGAACAGGGTTTTTCGAGTTGAGCTGTCACTTGATATTGACCGCGAGACGAGAGGAGAGATGTTTGTTGCGGTGTGGACAATGCAATGTCGTCGGCCATGTTTGCGCATTTCCTGCTTGCTGTGATAGATGATACCCCGAAGCGACTCGTCAGTATGAGATAATGGAATGGATCCAATTTCGTTGGAGACATACTGGCTCTAGATATCCCGTGTCTCTGATTATCCCGTTTTTTTTTGCTTGGCATCCCTTGACGGATGACATGATTCCCTAAGCGAGTTTGTTGAGAGTCGAGGCCTTGCCAAAAGAACGGCGCCAGAGGATAGTGTCCAACTAATCGGGTAATTTTCATTGCTTCTTGTTGGTAAGAGTGGGTTAGTAGTGTCGGGAGATCCAATGCACAAAACAAAGCAAAGAGGAGATCTCGTTATTGACCCAATGCGCCTGCTGTGACTAAGTTTCACCTTGCCGCCTCCGGATGAATCAGTGAATCAGTGCTGCACTGCACCTTCCCAAAAGTGCGCGGAGGTAGTTAATTGAGAAACGGCAGGAACGAAGATCAAAGTCAAATTCTTGGAGGCGCAACACTAAGAGATCAAATCAACCTATCAACTAAAGCGGAAGAGGACAATGTAGGCTATAGACCTCACCGGCCATCATTACATTAACACGCCTCTCTTCTGTAAAGTTTCGGATAACCGCTCTGGTTTCTCTTGGCCTTGAGGATTTACTAGAGTCTTTTTGTTTGATAAGGACCTAGACCCTCGACTCATCCACGTTCCAAGCGAGAGAGGTTTGTCTCTCAGGTCTCAACTTGCAACTGTCACTCGCCATGGTGGTGTCAACCCGTCATATCATACCGACCACTTCCGCTCGCCCTTTAATATAGGTAGTATTATTATACCAAACGCCAAGATATCGACAGGTCTACCACGCTAGCTATCAGAAGCACTATTACGTACCTATTCCGCGAATAACGGACCGACAGTTCTAATATCCACATACATATCATCATCATCTCCACCATGTCTCCCTGGCTTCATCCAGACGAAGCCCTGGGCTTTTCAACTTCACCATGGACAACCTCATTGCAGGCTCTCGAGCCACGACGAGTAAAACATTTCACCATGGCCGAATTAACACCCTATCAGACGTATGCGATACACGTTGCGACTCTGACCGTTGCATCCTTCAGTATTCTTGCAACAATAGTCACTTCTTTCTGGTTCTTTCGTATGAGACGAAGTTTTCGCCATGAGTGAGTCGCCACAAACAATTTTCATAGGCCATCCTTCTAACACAATTTGAAGCCTTATTATGCTACTCATCTACAGCGATATGTTCAAGACATTCTGGTTACTTGTCTTCCCTGCCGTAGAATTGGTCGCTGGTAAAATCGAAACCGACGAAACATTTTGTCAAGTCAGCGGATTCTTTCTTGCATTAAGTATTGAGGCATCCGACGTCTCTGTTGCTCTCATCTCTGTGCACACCGCATTATTCATCTTCCGTGGAGAGCAGGGTCTCTATCCCTATCGAAAGGCTGCCTATGCCCTCGCCGCCATTCTTCCCGTTGTGATGGCTTCACTGGCATTCATTGAGAGCCCCGGCTATATCAACACTGGCCAGTTCTGTTATCTACCATTCAATCCTATGTGGAAAAGACTCGCTCTCTCATGGATTCCTCGCTACTTGGCCTTTGCCATTATCCTTTTCTTATGCATAGGCGTATACGTTTACGTTCGTGTACTCATGAGTCGATTTGGTGCGGAAAACAATACTTCTGGGAACACTTTCTCAAAGATGTCTGGTTTCGAGAGCCTTGACCCGATCCAGCAGCCAAGCGCCACTGTTCCTCCTACACCGACAATCAGATACCACGGACTCATACCATCATCTAACGCCTCTCGACGGAACTCTTGTACCATTATCGAAGACCGTCCCACCAGGCCCTCTCTGGCCACCCTCAACTCATTCCAAATGGACATGCCTGGAAGTGCATATACTAGTAAATTGCATTCAGCGCGTACGGCTCGTCGGGGATCAGCGCAGATGTGGATGTCTAACTTTGGTACTGACCTCACCGCTCAGGAAGAGCAGGTGGAGGTTGACTCTCAAAACTCAACAGGGACCACACGATGTGGCTCCGACGATGTGATTGCACCGCTAGCCACTTACACAAAACCTGAGTTTCAGCAGCAAACACATGACCCTGCACCCACTCGACCTGCAGGCATGATGCGAAACGCTTCTTATTTTTCCACAACCGGAACTTCCAAAACACCAAATATACCCAACCTATTCACCATACTCAACCGCAAAACCGAACGCCCCCAGACTGCGGAGAACAACCTTGTCTTGACTCAGAGCGACATCAACGCACCCGGAACTGTCAAGACACGCGAAAAGATTCTGCGACAACTCCGATTACTTTTTATCTATCCTATAGTCTACGTCGTCATTTGGATCTTGCCATTTATCGTTCAACTTACCGGATATGGCAAAGGAGCACCCTATGGCATGAGGCTAGCCAGTATCGTGTTTCTTTGTCTCCATGGTCTAGCTGACTCTTTGGTCTTTTGTTTAAAAGAGAAGCCTTGGAGACATAGTCAGACCTTTAACCAAACCTTTAAACGATTTAATCTACGATTTTGGAAACGAAGACAAGAAGCGCCCGATGTCGGTGCAAGAGTCGGACGCACTAGAGAGGAGATGACACTTGATTCGCGATTCGCGAAGGCGAGAAGAGAACAAGAACAGGCCGAGTGGGAGATGGAGCGACAAGCTGGCCAAGATGCTCGCAAAGCTGCTAGAGCGGCTCCTGACTGGTGGGATAGAGACGACTGATGAGGATCATATACACGGTTGGGATTTTTGTCATAAAAAGACGGCAATTAAGGCGAGGAGGATGATACCCCGTTGAAAAACGATATGTCCTGGTGAATCCACGACAGGCGCGGACATTTGCATTGATAGGCGTTATATACTTTTACACTGGACGATTATACCAGGTACATTTTAGAAGATATAGGGAAATACGAGCATTCGAATTAATATCAAAATTCATGGTACAAAGTATGTCTAAAGTCGTTTGTTTCATTAGTCTACCGAGACAGATTCGTGCATCGCGTATATCGTTCTATGTAATTCGAACGCTGATCCTCCCCTTTTATACTAATACACAATTTGCAGTTCTTCTTCAATTTCCCTAACCTTCTCTCCAGAACTTGAGGAAGGCCTTGGCAATGGCAACTCCATCATGAGGCAGAGGCGCACGCTTCATGGCATCATTGTAGACCTCGTCCGTGAAGATACCAACAGTGTGACGGTTGAACAGAATTTCTGAAATGATTTCCTCGTTGAATTCAGGGTGTCCTTGCACCGTGATGTACTTTCCAGGGGAGTAGAATCCTTGGACTTCGCAGATTTCGTTGGAGCCCAGGGGAACAGAGTTCTTGGGGAATGCGTCGACAATGTCGCGATGCATTTGGTGAATGCGCTGTGACACAACAGTTAGTCTTACCGTCGCACAAACAACGGCGCAAACCGGAACTTACCATCTTGTCCAACCCGAAGATCTCCTTGCCCTTGGCTGTCAAATCAACCTCAGTGACAGCAACTTCCCATCCCCTATTACTCCTACCGCACTTGGCGCCCTCAGCTCGACCAACGATCTGATGTCCAAAGCACACGCCCACGACACGCACGCGGTTCGACGCAATAGCCTTTTTCGTGAACTCGACGAGCTTAAGAATCCAAGGATCGTTATCGAACGCCGTGTGGCGAGAGCCAGTGATCAGAATCGCATCGATGTCGTCGAGAGAAGGGTAGCAGTGCAGATCATTCACCACGTCGTAGCCCTTGATGGTGACGAGATCAGAAAGCTTCTGAGGCTTTGCGGCTGCTTCGAGGAGTGCGGTGAAAACGCCCGTGTAGCCGCCATAGCGATCACGGGTTTGAGGCTGAGGTGTGTCGGCTTCGAGGATGGCGAGGCGAAGAGGAGGCATTTTGGATGGTAGTTTTGTGTGGGTGAGGGAATGAAATCAAAATCAAGAATATGACTCTTTGCGAAAATGGAAAAAGAAACAGGATCGCTGCAAGGCCGGAGGCCAAGGCCTGGGTGAGGATGGACCCTGGGCTTCCTGCTCGTGTAACGGCGGGACCGGTAGCGGGGGTGGAGGGGAGGGGAGGATAGGCAGAATCACAAATATGACATGGTGTTACTGAATATAGTAGGCGGTGAGAGTGATAGTCACGGAGGTTACCGTACCCTGGAGATGCCATGAAACATGAAATAACGCTTTTTTATGGAGTTTCTGGTTGATGGTCAATCTCTAAGCGAGCTTAATATATCACTACGTACTGGTTTGGATAAAGTGAATGAAAAGTCTATCATAATATGTGTAGGTTCAGCTAAAAGCTCAAGTGTCAATATGCGTCCTGGGGCTGTTGAAGTGCCGTGAGCTAGCAGACAAGCCGTGCTCCAAGTGGGAGGGTATTGGCCGCCAAAATAAAGTACATTGTCTGAATATCGATCTTACCGCATGAAGCGACCAAATTATTTCGTAGCCTTAGAGGGCTTGCTGTCAGTGTCAAAGCGTCAGAAGTCTAAGACAGTGGCTGAGACAGACAGCCAACCTTGTCTTGCAACACAAACTGACTTCATCCGACTTTGACGTGATACATAAAATTTCAACCCCATCGTTGAAATAACTGCCTTCTCATGAATGGATGTCGGCCATTATCCACATGGCAGGGCTGTTCAAGGTGCATATATCACCCACATCCGCATATCAGTCACTTTCAATGCAATGAAACAGCAAATCCTACAAACATAGCCATCCACCAAACAAACCCTCTGTCTCTATAGTAGTATCATATATCCTCTGCATTATTTAATGCTTCCGTCAGCAATGCTGAATGCCCCAACCGCTGCAAAGCAAACTCCCATCATCCTCTTAGAGAAAAGAATGGGGCATCAAGTGACAGCTTTTTTGTGGCTGACATCCCCCATGCATCCCTGCAAAGTTGGCTTGGTGACGTCTTGAACCGTTGGAGTTAACTTACATCTTACATAAATGTACATGCAGGGACTCTTGTCGTGAGTTTTGTGTCTGTTGTTTTTGTCTTTTTTTTGCATCTCGCTTTTCTTTCTCCCTTTATAAATGAGGATCAACTGTCAGTTTCAATATGTCTTCTAGGCTGTCTTTGAACAGCTTTTTGGTAAAGGCCAGGGCTGCTTTGACAGCACCTGCTGCGCAACGAACGGTACCTCTCACTTTTGTTGTAGGAAACGAGTCTGCAGGTAAGTTTACAGACACCCCAACATGAGTTTTACTAACATGAAGCAGATCTTGATTCTCTCTGCTCAGCTGTTGTTTATGCCTATCTTCGCAGCCATGCCCCTCCTCACACTCTACACATCCCCCTCTCAAACCTTCCCCGCGAAGACCTGGCCCTTCGCACTGAGATGTCAGCTGTTCTCAAACATGCTGGGCTTACGCTGAAAGACCTCTTGACTTTATCTGAGCTGCCGGACTTGGAACCTGAAGAGACACGCTGGTTGCTGGTTGATCATAATTCACTCACGGGCCCACTTACAAAATACTCCGAACAAGTTACAGGCTGTGTCGATCACCACGCCGATGAAGACGTCGTGAGGAAAGATGCCAGCCCGAGAGTCATCGAACCTTGCGGAAGCTGCATGAGTCTGGTCGTGGATGAGGAGCGCAAAATCTGGGAGGAGCTTTCGACCAAGGATGCGGAGGACAGCGACGCAGCTACTGAGAACGATAAACTCGTCAGACTTGCTATAGGTCCTATCATCTCCGATACGATAAACATGACAGCTGAAGCAAAGGTCCGCGAGAGGGATCTCAAGGCTGTGTCATTCCTGGAGGAGCGCATGACTTTCGACCGCACAGCCTACTTTGACGAAATCTCCGCCGTAAAGGAGGACATTTCTGACTTGAGCTTCCGAGATATTTTCCGAAAGGATTACAAAGAGTGGAGCGGTTCAGGTCTGAAGCTCGGAATCAGCTGCGTCGTGCAAAACTTTGACTACCTCATCAGCAAAGCCGGCGCCGCAGAGCCTATGCTGGAGGCCTTTGAAGACTGGGTCAAGGAGCGCGAGCTTGATGTGGCGAGTATAATGACCACGTCGCATCCCGAGGGCGAATTCCAGCGACATCTTCTTGTGTGGGGTATCAGCGATGAGGGTCGCGAGGCGGTGGATAGGTTCGTGGCTGATGCGGGAGAGAAGTTGAAGCTTGAGACGTATAAGAATGGAGAGCTGGATCAGCATGGCCATAGTAGGTTTGCATGGAGGCAGCATGAGCTTGCGTCGAGCAGGAAACAGGTTGCGCCGCTTTTGAGAGAGGCTCTTAAGAAGAGTTGACTACGAGAGCCAAGAGGTTCGAGGATATAAATACTATATACGATTGAGATGCGATGGTACTGGTAGTATATAGCCTGTCCTCAGGGTATCAGAAGAATTGCCCTCTATCTACCTAGGCTATAGGAATCAAGTAATCCAACTGCTAGCCTAAGCTCGCATAAGGTGACCAAATTATTTCGTCTCTTATCCCCCCGACGGCCAGTTCCTGAGACTCTGACGTCTGTGTTACTAGTATGATGGGCTTTTGTGAAATGGTAAACGGAAATAACAAGTCATTTATTTGTATTGAAGTGTCTATACTGATTTTGCTTCTCTGCCGAGTCCCCTTCAACTGTATCAATTTTGGTACAATTTTGGATTTATCGCAAGTTGCATGGCATGTTCCTTATGCAGCGCTTCAATCTCCCTGTGCAAAACGAGATACTCTCTGTTCCTGAGTCTTGCTTGAGCGTGAGGCTTCTTTTCTGTGCCATCAGGATAAAACATGCTGGCATGTTCTAGAAGATACTCAGATGCTGGGTCTGCGATTTTGATGCATCTTTTGAGAGAATCATAGACCGGGCCCACGATGCCGATCTGGCGGTCCTCGTTGCGCATTTCAGTATAGATCCAGCGTAGATTCTCAATACACATGATCTGGTTTCCAGTATTTGCTAGTGTGTTGTAAGCCAATATGTAGAGATTTGTTGGTCTTTGTTCATTGAATAGATGTGGTTTGCGGAATAGTTCCCAGAAACGTGTCCAGTTTTCTCGATCTGCATAACCTCTCATCATGCGATAAAGTTGCGTTCCTTCAAATTTGAAGTTTGATCGCTCGAGGAGGGTCTCGAAGTTCTTTCGAGCCCTTTCGAGCGCTGGATCGCCGTAGGACGGTGATGTCAAGAAACCATCAATAAGCGTCGTGAACATCGAAGGGGTCCAAATCTCCATGCCTCTCTCTTCGGCTGTCCGAATTATTTGATCGACTAAGGAGAGTCGCTCCTTTGCGGCCAGTTCTGGTGCGGATCCTGTCAGTGCGGCTCTGACAGATTGACGTATCATCTTCGGTGTAAGAGGAGATCCAGCAAGTGTGATTTCCTCGAACCACTGGCGGACGACGGCTAGGGCTCTTACATGTGTTTCGGTGTGTATGCTATCGGAATCGATTATGTTCTCGTTTGAATACATGTCGGCCTCTCGTGAAGCGCGCTCTGCCCTATGCGCTTGTTCTGGCTCAAGGTCTTGCTGTAGTCGTCGTGCGCTGGTGGTATAAGCACGCCGTTGCTGTGAGGCATTCTGCAAAGCCTGCCATTGTAAAGCCGATGCTGATTTGGGTAATTGGATTTTAGTAGCAAGAAGTTGCTCGAGTTCCTCGGGACTGTTGATCTTCTCTCCGCGAGCTTGTTTGTTCTCTCTCAGGCTCTTCTTCAAGATGCCCTTCCAAAGAGTCTCCAAGTCAAGCTCTGCTCTTCGAGAGTCTGTCATGCACTGAACCACCACCGTGGTACCAGTCTGGGGCGCACCGAAACCAGAGAAGCGACCAGTATCGTCGACCTTGGCCGCTTCATCAATCTCGTCACCACTGGAAGAAAAGTTGACGCAGACCCATCCGGTGGAGATACCGTTATCGCCACCAGGAATAATGGCAGTATTGGTTCCCATCAGCTTCGCCTTCTTTCGAAGTCGACGCAACTTTGTTCGAAGTTCACCAGGTCCAATCAGTCCATCAGCTCGTGCAGAAATGTTGTGGTGCTTTCGAAGCCATCGTACAAAGCGACCGGATGAGATGTGAAGATGTCGTTCACTGCGAGCTGTCGCAAAAAGCATGATCAAATTGGGACCAAGGGCAGCAGGAGGATCTAGATCGCGCATGTCCAGAAGTGAAATATCATCCAATCCCATATCCTCGAAGATGTATTTGATCATTGGCTCAATGACCTCCGGCGCGCCTTCAGGGACCTTTGGCAGCTCGACGGCATGCTGGCTTTCGGCGTGTCGCGGGGCCTCAACTTCAAGAAACCAGGGAACATCCTCAGATTCAGCGGGCTCCGGTGATACGTTAGCAGAATCGTCGAGGGTATCGTTCGGCGTAGTTGAAATGGAAGCGCTCTTCTCGGTTATCGGATCGATCGTTTTGGCGTCTGAGTAAAACCTCGTCGCTAGGCTAGGAAGATGTCGTGTGGTCTGTGGAAAAGTGCGAAAAGGACTTGTCGCTGGACGTGACACAACAGCGCGAACAATGGCCGATTGACATTGCCGGCAACTCAATGCTGCAGCGACGGGACGTTTCAACATCTTGAGTGTCGTCGTGAGTTGAAAGAATGACAAAAACTCAGATGTTGAAGAGCTGGAAAGACATTGATCGTCATGGTTAGATCAACCCAGTCGTGAAGTGGGGAACAGCCGAGCTCCAGCTTCTACAGTACCGAATCTGTCACAGGGCAGCGTGGTAGGTGGGGATACTAGGGTGGATGCTTTAGTCCGTTACCAAATTTTCTGACCTACAGATTTCGAAAAAAAAAGGAAAATATCTTCATGATAGATGTATACAGCTACATAAATCAGTAACGGTCCTGTTTATGGAGCAGACATATATTTCAAATAATTACTCCATCATATTCTTTATAATTCAATACATCATCATCTTTAACTTGAGTTTAGACGATGTTGTCGAACGGCCAATAACTTCCGCTGACAATTCGAAAGTGGAGACAGAAAAGTCCCTTGTTTTCTTATTTGCCACAACTTCGATCTCAGCACGTGACTGCTTCTAGTGGATGCTTCTAAACTTCCTCGCCCATTTACACTGAAAAATTTGGAGAGACCGACTTGACTTTGCCTCTGTCTCATGCGCCTCCCGGTTTTTTCTGAGAAAGACTCGGTTGGCAAGTGTTCAAGATTCAAATGTTATTAGCTTATTTCATAAGAGCTTAGCGATTTTCTTCAATCGTTTTTTTTTTTTTCGAACCCTTAAATTGGGATTCGAGCTCTCTATATCACAACGCGGCAGCAACAACGATTGGGCAATCCATGCCCGTTCTTGAGTTTGCTTGTCGCCTGACGCACCTTCGACCCCTCAAAAATTTCCGATAATATTATCCATCACAATGCTCGTCCGACAAACACGGAGGGGCATTATTGCCGCCAGATCGACACCATTACATATTGCGACATCGACCCTCGGCCGACGGTGTGTTGTTACACAGCACTTCCGACCTCAACCCCAAAAACAACGCGGCTCAGAGTCTGGTACAAGCCTGTTGCATGGTCGACACCTCGCCACAGCTGTAGACGATTTCCAGTTTAACAACTACAATGCTCTACAAGACCAGCTTGCCAGGTCGGGCCTACGTCCCTTCCAGGCCCCTCCACACGCTCACTCCGAACTTCGACCACTGGACCCGACGACGAACTTGTTGACAGTCCCAGAACCTCCAGAAGCCCGAGCATTTGGCAAGATGAACAACAAGGGTGTCCCTGGTGAAGTCGAGGAGATGATTCCTGTCTTCGATGCCTGTGTTCGTGTAGGCAAGCTTGAGAGAGCAGCTCTGGTGCTGAAGCGACTTAATGCAACCGGTTTGATTTCTGGCGAAGAAATGATTATCCTACATAACCAATATCTGCGTGCATCTCTCGATCAAATGCGAACGACCCCCGACCGAAAAGAAGCCGAAATGTTACACAAGTGGTACGAGCTACAAATACGAAACATGGATCTACCGCAAACTGCAGAGACAATCGCATGCATGCTCAAGGCCTCACTCCTTTCTGAGCGTGGCTTACGACTGGAACGCCTCGTCAACCGTTATATGAGCATGGCTCCCGGTGAAGCTGGCTTGCGAGTGTTGAGTATGGCCGATATTCTCAGCGACCAAGATCTTGGTGTCATTACCGAAATCTGCCCCACCTACACTTTCGCCCCCGCCCCCGATTCCGACGAGGTTCAATATGTCACTATGGCAGAAGAAGAGCATTTGGAAGCGGAGGAAGGGTTTGATGAGAATATGGCTTCGCAAGTGAACGTGGACTACCCCGAGATTCGACCAACACCTCAACGTGGAGAGGGTTTGAGCGCCTTGAAGAACAACCTGGGACTAATTAGCGAGCTACAAAACGTGGACATTTCCAAACTGTCCCCTGCGGAGCAGCGCGAGTTCCAGACTCGTATAGAGAAAGACTCCATTGATGTCGCTATCGGAAAGTGGCGGAACGCCAAGAAGAATCTCGACAAGATGGGCATCAACACGGCCCTGAATGATAAGAGTGACGAAACCAGCCTTGCTGCATCCCTACAAGACTGGGTTGAAGCTATGGAGGTTCGCTTGAAAGAGGAGATCCTCCAGGTTGAGCGTTCCGAGGACAGCCCCAACAAATCCGAAGAGGACCTGGAACGCTGCATCTACGGTCCAATTCTACGACTCGCCGACCCGACCAGACTGGCTGCAGTCACGATCCTTACCCTGCTCAACTTCAGCGCTCTTCAAGGTGTTGATAAGGGTGTAGTTGTTCAGCGTTTGCTCACCGATGTTGCTCGTGTGGTGCAGGATGATATCAACACGCAGGTCCGCGAGAAAACCGAACGAGAGCGTCGCCGAACCCGCAAGGTCAACTTCACTGGAGAAACACCGGCGGCTGAAGCTGAGGCGGCCCAGGCGGGTGAGGGAAAGACCATTTCAGAGCCCGCTGATGTTAAGCATCCTGCTCAGAGCTCATGGTCCACCCAAGTCCGCATTCGAGTTGGTGCGATCTTGGTCAAGAGTTTGCTCGAGACTGCGAAGATTAAAGTTGAGAAGGAACATCCGATCTCCAAGGAGAGAATCAGCCAGCTTCAACCTGCCTTCTCTCATATGCACGCACCCAGGAAGGGCAAAAAGGTCGGAATGCTGTTCCTCAACGCCCACCTAGTTCACCGCCTGAAGCGAGAGCCTATGGGTGATTTCCTCGCCAAGCACCTCCCAATGATTGCCGAGCCTAAGCCTTGGAAACGTATTAGCGAGGGAGGCTTCTTATCAAGCAAAGCTTCGTTGATTCGTCTCAAATCAGGAGATGCTGAGCAGAAGCTCTACACCAAAGCTGCCATAAAGCGCGGAGATATGGATCAAGTTTTCAAGGGCTTAGACGTTTTGGGAAAGACACCATGGAGGATTAACAACCCCGTGCTCGATGTGATGGTAGAGGCCTGGAATACAGGAAATTCGATTGCCAACATGCCCACTCTCAATCCTGATCTACCTTATCCAGAGGAGCCTACCAGCTCTGACCCTCTCCTTCGCCGGGCATGGTATCGAGGCGTGAAGCAGGTTGAGAACGAGCGATCCTCCCTTCATTCTCAAAGATGTTACATGAACTTGCAGCTTGAGATTGCGCGCGCATTCCGCAAGCAAGTCATTTACTTCCCTCACAACATGGACTATCGAGGCCGCGCCTATCCTCTTCCAACATATCTGAACCACATGGGAGCTGATCACACCCGCGCCCTGTTGAAGTTTGCCGAGGGCAAGGAACTCGGCGAGAAGGGTCTTAGATGGCTCAAAATCCATATGGCTAACTTATACGGTTTCGACAAGGCCTCTTTCAGCGAGAGAGAGAAATTCACCACCGACAATTTGCCCAACATTATTGAGAGTGTTGAGAACCCTCTGAATGGCAGTCGTTGGTGGTTGAAGGCCGAGGACCCCTGGCAATGTTTGGCTGCTTGTTTCGAGTTGAAGGCTGCGCATGACCTTGAAGATCCTACCAAATACGTCTCCAGTCTGCCAGTGCATCAGGATGGTACCTGTAATGGACTGCAGCATTATGCAGCCCTCGGTGGTGATACCTGGGGTGCTCAGCAGGTCAATCTCACACCGGGTGACCGACCAGCTGATGTTTATATGGCGGTCGCGAACCTTGTGAAGGAATCTATTGCCAAAGACGCCGAAGCCGGCAACCAGCTGGGCGAGATTTGCATGGGCAAGATCACGAGAAAGGTTGTGAAGCAGACCGTTATGACCAATGTCTACGGCGTTACCTTTTCTGGTGCTAAACAACAAGTTTGCAAGCAGCTGGACGCCATCTACCCGAACATGTTCAAGGAGACCGGAATCCCCAATCTTGTCACTGCCACCTATATCGCCAAGCACATTTTTGGAGCCCTCGGAACTATGTTCCGTGGTGCCCACGATATTCAGTACTGGCTAGGCGAGATTGGCGCACGAGCCTGCAAGGCTTTGACCGAAGCCCAACTCGATCAGCTCGTGGAAGAGAAGGGCGATGAGATGTCCACATCAAAGATCACCGCTACCACCCAGAAGAAGGAATTGAATGACTTGAGTGCGCAATTCCGGTCAACGATTGTCTGGACCACACCCCTTCGAATGCCTGTTGTGCAGCCGTACCGAAAGGCTTCTACCAGAGAGATCCGCACTTGCTTGCAGGCCATCCACTACCCTACATTCGGTCGAACTGACCCTGTTGATCGAAGGAAACAGCTTCAAGGATTCCCTCCCAACTTCATCCACTCACTGGACGCGAGTCATATGCTTCTTTCCGCAATCAAGTGTAATGACTTGGGGTTGAATTTCGCCGCTGTTCACGACTCATTCTGGACTCATGCCGCTGATGTCGACATCCTAAATGGCGTTCTCCGGGATGCTTTCATCCGAATTCACGAGGAAGATGTTGTTGGGCGACTAGCAACAGAGTTCCAAGCACGATACAAGAACTCGATCTACTTGTGTACCATCCCTGCAGAAACTCCTGTTGGAGAGGCCATCCGGGATTTCCGCAAGAAGAGTAAGCTGGGCCAAAAGGAAGAACTGCTGCTGGAGCACAAGCGCAACAGCCTTCTTCGTTCCGGAAACCCGTGGGACTTGGAGGCTGCGCGCAAGATCGTTACACCTGCTTCCATCTACGAAGATATGGAAGCCGATGAGCACCATGAGATTGCGGCCGATTCTGAGAGTGCCGGTGGTTTGGGAGAAATCCCCGCCTCAGAAGGTAACCTCAGGGAGGTCGTCAAGGAGGCCGTAAACGAGATGGATCCTGAAGGCATATCTACTGACGAGCTCAGTGCTCGGCTCATCAGCCGCCTGAAGCACACCAACTTCGAAGCCGAAGTCATCATCCCCAAGAAGGATCCCAGGATCGCAAAGAAGAAGGTCATCTCTCTCTGGCGTCCCTTGACCTTCCCCAAGATACCTGAAAAGGTACGATTCCCTCTCCCACTTTTTCTTTGGATATAATGCTGACATAATGAATAGGGTGACTTTGATGTTAGGAGTCTACGAGAGAGCCAATACTTCTTCTCCTGATCACGGAAAAAATAATGTATTACTATTGATGATGGGGGCGTTGCACATACGTACATTTGTTTGGCGTTTAGAGAGTTATTTTTCGGGATAACAAAAAGCATTGGGCATAGAGGAGCGTGGTTGCGACTATGCTGGTTTCTGTATTATAGTTGTATACATGCATTCTGGGGGTATAGATGCAAGATAAATTAAGACTTGGTTTAGAATGACCTGAATGATTAGATGGTCTCACCTCACGCATTTTATGGACGGTTTAATCTGAAGCTAGGATCGTGTTTTGAAGGCAGCATTTATCACGACCTTGGTTCCAATCACAACTCATGTAAGAATTAGCATATTAATAGTTGTCCTGGTGTCTGAACCTTCGAGTATCATTTGACATACAATTTTGTCTTTCACATTTTTGTTTATCTACACTTCTAAGATACGTAATCGATCTATACATTTATCGCACAACAGCGTCCTTGAGACTGGGAACAGTGCAGACACCACCGCTCTCAGTAACAAGACGACCAGTTCCAGTCTTGCCCAGTTGCTCAACAGCAGCAGCATCGAAAGCAACCTCAAGACCATCAGTGGTGGTGAAACCAGGCTGGAAAGTCTCCCAGACCTTCTTCTTGGGGTTAAGGACACCCTCAGGCTGGCCCTCCCAACCCTCGAACCAGACACGGTCACCAGCCTTGGCATCCGCAGGAGGAGTGACAAGCTCGACGGGTCCCTTGTGGTCGTCGACCTCACCCTCCTTGATCTTGGGGGAGGCGGCGAGGACCATGGCGCAGGACTTGATGCCGCGCATCTTGACGGGCTTCAGGTTGCAGACGACGACGACCTTGCGACCCTGCATGGACTCGAGAGGGACGAGGCCGTTGAGACCGGAGCAGACGGTTCGGCAGATCTGGCCCTCGTACTCGACGTAGTCCTCGTTACCGGGCTTGTCGCCGACGGCAATGGTGGAGACGTAGAGGGAGTCGGCGTCGGGGTGGTTGATAGCCTTGAGGATGTGACCGACACGGAGGTCAATCAGGGCAGGGGAGAGAGGAGCAGCAGCGGCGGCGGGGGCCTTTTGCTTGGGAGCCTTCTCCTTCTTCTCCTTCTTGGGCTTATCGGTAGTAATTCGTTCCTTGGCGCCCTCAACAACCTCCTTGACCTTCTCCTTGGTGCGGTCAACGAGAGAAGCCTCACCACCAGCAGCAGCAGAAGCATCAGCAGCAGCCTTCTTCTTCTTCTCCTTCTCGGCCTTGGCGTCGACGGGAGGCTTCACGTAGAGGACCTCATCCTGGTTGACCTTGACCTTGTTCTCATCCTTGACATCAAGACCAAAAAGGGGAGAGTTCTGGACGAAGTCGACATGGCGAACGATGTGGGGGTGGCCCTTCTCGCCGGTGCGCTCCTCGGGTGACCACTGAGCGACGACGGGAGCAAGAGTCTCGTAGATGGCGACGTCGGCCTTGGAGGGCTTGCTGCCGAGGAGGGTGGATCGGCTGGAGAGGTGGTTGTTGAGAGTCTCGAGGATGGTGGGCTTGTCCTCGGGGGACTTGAGACGCTCAGAGGTGGTGAGCCATTGCTGGATCTCTGCCTCCTCGGTGGGAGTGTAAGTCTGAGAAGCGAAGGAAGCCATTCTGAAGATTGTAAGGGGACGGAAAGCTGGGAGGCTTCTGGATGCCTGGCGGAGTAGGCGAAGGGATAACGTGGTGAGTGTGTGAAGCTTGGGTATAGCTTCACTATGAGATTGATGTTATCGAGATGTCTTGTCTTGATATTTTCTCTTGGTGGGGTGGAGGGGTAATTGGGTAGAGGTATTGGCGGGGAAGAAGGCGTTGTCATTGGTGTGGCGCTTGTCAATTGTGGCTGTCAAAATGAGACACGCTAACTCGTGACATCGCCCCTTTCTCGCGTCGGTTGCCTGGCAGCTCTTTACGCGGTACGCCCTTTTTTCTTGACCCTTGATATTGTTACTCGAGTAACAATAGAAGTCAATTGGCATATTGACTACTGTATGTACAGATTCTTGCCTATTTCTCTCTTGGTCACTTCTACCTAGTCCTCTTGATTCACTGCCAGTGTCTTCAATTGGTTTAGTCACTGCTCTTTTCTTTTTTTCTGCTTCTCCTTGTTTGAGGCGAGTCAACTACATCATTCTTCCCACTAGCGGATCGCCGCAACCACCAACCAACCTCGGGAGCTGAGTTCAGCCCCTGACGCTCATTTTTCTTTCTCGCTCTTATTCTCATTTTCATTTTATCTTATATATAATTATTGTTTTCAAAACTTCTCTCCAAGATGGCGACACCGAGTACAGTGAGCTCGCCGAGCTCAAACTCTCGCCTTCCAACCAGTGTACCGAGCTCGCCGCCTGAGACAAACGACGATCTCGAAGGCGCAGACGATGCGCTTGTGAAAGAGGAACAGGAAGCGCGTGCAGAAAATGAGAAAAATGAAGAGAAACGCCGTCAGGCTCTTCTTAAGAAGAAGAAAAAGAAGAAGGCGGAGACTAAGTCTGAGCGAGAGGCCAAGGCTAGAGAATTGGACGACTTGCTCGCTAAGTCAGCTGCCTTCTCGGACATTCTCACCAAGAAGACCCAAGTTCTGGGTCGTGTGGGGAGTAGCCTTGATGGAACGACTCTCGGTGAACATAACTTGAAGATGGCGCAGCAGCCTAAGTGTATGATCAACGGTACTATGCGCGACTACCAGCTTGAGGGTTTGACTTGGATGTATGAGATTTGTTCTCAGGGCATGTCCGGTATTCTGGCTGATGAGATGGGTCTCGGTACGTTTGCGCCTATGGTCATCAGAATCTCGCAAAGCTAACTTGTCGCAGGCAAAACTGTACAGACTATTGCGCTCATCGCTTTGCTCCGTGAGCAGGAGAACTACCTTGGTCCTCACTTGATCGTTGCACCTCTCAGTACGCTCAGCAACTGGATGGATGAGTTTCATAAGTGGACACCTTCCATTCCTGTGATCATGTACCACGGCACCAAAGATGATCGTGAGAAGATCTTCAGAACCAGCATGCAGAAGCATCTCAACAAAGGGCGCCCTACCGCCAAGTTTCCAGTCGTTTGCACGTCCTATGAAATGGTTCTCAGAGATCAACACAATTTGTCCAAGATTAACTGGGAGTTCATCATTATTGACGAAGGTCACCGCATGAAAAACGCAGAGGCCAAACTGTTCCAGCAGCTTCGCCAGTTTTCTTCAGCTACTCGTCTTCTCATCACAGGTACACCTCTTCAGAACAACTTGAAAGAGTTGTGGTCACTGCTTCACTTCCTCCTACCGAACATCTTCACTGATTGGGAGGCCTTCGAATCCTGGTTTGACTTCTCAGATCTTGAAGATGAGCAGGGAACCGAAGAATTCATCGCTGACCAAAAGAAGCAAGAACTGGTCAAGAAGATCCACTTGATCTTGCAACCCATGTTGCTACGACGTGTCAAATCGGATGTCGCGTCATATCTCCCCAAGAAGCGCGAATATGTGCTCTTTGCGCCTATGACGAAGGAGCAGACGGACTTATACAATGTTCTTACTAACAAGAAGGTCGATACTCGTCAGTATCTCGAGAACAAGGTCATAGAGAAGCTCAACGCCAGTGCTTCAGCGACACCCAGTGCAAAGTCATCTCGATCCAGCAGTCGTGCGCCACCAAAGACCATGTCCCTCCCAGTGCGCGAGTCCTCTCGTAAGAAAGAGGTCGCACCAGAGGTCGCATCAGAGGAACCCGAGCCCAACGCCTTCTCCATCATGATGAAGAAGCGCGGTCGCGGAAGGCCACCCAAGAATCCCAAACCTGCTCAAGCTACCGAAACTCCCAAGAAACCTGGCACAAAGCGCAAGAACCACCCTGTCGCTTTAGAGCCAGAGGCAAAGAGTACAAAGTCAACCCGCGAGTCAACGCCGATAGGTCGAGGCAGAAGGACAAGGAAGACTCGTACCTACAAGGACGCTGGGTCGGATGAGGAGAAGATGTCGGACGATGAGTTTGAAGCCAAACTTGCAGACGAGATAGAATCTGATGAGGAGGTGGACGACAAAGCGTCGATGACTCCTGAGGAGCGTGAGCGGGCAGAGACTCTTGAGCTCGCAAGTAAGTGACTCCCTTTTCTACACCTTTTGGACTGTTCTAACAACAAACAGAGAAGCAAATTGCTCAAAAGAAACTTGGCAACCCCCTCGCTCAGTTACGCTTGGTGTGCAACTCACCGCACAATTTCTACAATCCCTGGAACGCTTCTACAGATCTTCCCGTAGACGATTCCATCGTAACAGCCTCCGGAAAGATGCTTCTACTAGATCGCCTTCTTCCTCGCCTTTTTGAGGACGGTCACAAGGTCCTCATCTTCTCTCAATTCACGACCCAGCTAGACATCCTGGAAGATTACTGCCGCGAACTTCGCGGCTGGAAAACTTGTCGCATCGATGGTTCAGTCGCACAGGATAGTCGCCGTACCCAAATCGCCGACTTCAACAACGATCCTGATTACAAGATCTTCCTTCTCTCAACGCGCGCTGGTGGACAGGGAATTAACCTCGCTTCTGCTGACACAGTCATTCTATTCGACTCAGATTTCAACCCTCAGCAAGATCTCCAAGCACAAGATCGCTGCCACAGAATCGGCCAAACACGCCCCGTGGTAGTATTCCGCCTTGCAACAAAAGACACAGTCGAAGAAACCCTCCTCAACTCCGCAGACGCAAAACGCCGTCTCGAAAAACTCGTTATCAAAAAGGGTAACTTCAAAACAATGGGTCAAAAGATGGATATGCGCGAAGATCTGGACCCTGAATCCCTTCGCGCGCTGTTGCTCAAGGACGGACAAGTGTATAAAGTGTCTGGTGGCGAAGAAGTACTCAGCGATTCCGATCTCGATATTCTTTGCGACAGAAGTGATTCTGCGTATGAGAAGGCTGCGAGTGGAGAGGGCGATGCTGATGCTTTCCGCGTTGTTGAGACTGGTGCTGATTCTATCAAGATGGCGCGTAAGGACTAGGTTTGTACCATTATATTTGCTTTATTTGTGCGATTGGCAGGATCTGTGGTACTGGAAGGATTTGTATCTGGACGATTATTGCTTTGCTATAGGCGTTCAGGGTTAGCGGTTTGTCAGTTCGGACTATGAGGGTTCATTTGTCTATATAGACGTCGGTCGACATTTGCAGTGCCGACATTATTATATTAGCTACAATGTATCAGCATGTGTTATACACCAAGGAAAATTTTACATCAACGACTTCGCCCATAGCTTATGAAAGCGTGAAAGAATGTCCAAAATTTGACTTGATTTAAAGTATCGTTAATGATATCTCACTATTCGTAAGACTATTGGTATAAACCTCTGTAAAAGAATACACGCCAAACTCCTTTCCAACCAGCCAGTGATTTCCATTTTGGTCGTAGAGTCGTTAGTTAACCTCCTCCACATAGCCAATCTGCCTCCTGGCGTCCGGTCCTCCAGGCACATTTCCTATCCTCTTTGCCAGTCGTTCCTGTGTCTCCACCAGTCTCTTCTGTGCTTCCAACCTCGACTTTATCCTGTCCTCTGCACTTCTCTCAATACGATCCAATTCTTCTCTTTCGCTGATACGTAAGCTGCTGAGTGCTTGGGCATTGCCTGCTCTTTCGGAGTTGACCTTGGATTCCCATTCCAGCATCTTCTGTTGGCGATCTTCTTCGGCCGAGAGTTCGGCTGCAGCGATTAACTTCGTTCGCTCTAGACTTGACTGTGTAAGCTTGTGTTGTTCTGAAAGACGTCTCTTCAGTGCAGCGTTGAAGAGCGACTCTTCGAGATCGGCCTTCTGTCGTGCCGCATTGATGTCTTCGTTGTGGAGTCTGCGACGACGAGCATCCTCAATCTCGGCCTTGTTGTTCCAGATATCTCTCTCCACGCTTGCCACTTCCTTGGCTCGAGCAAGAGCAATAGCGTGATCTTCTGACTCGAGGGCTATGCGTCGCAGTCTGGCCTTTCGTTCGCGCTCCTGAACTAACATATCGCTTGGCAGACCAATGGCATCTTCAGGTTGGTCCCCAGAGTTGGCGTAATACACATCCACTGCCCGGTTCGCCCGAAGGAGGGTGAGAAGCTGATCCCGAGTATCCGATTCAGGCAGCACCTTCTGGATGTACATTGTGGGAGAGTAGGTAAATTCGCCGTCGGAGTAGTGGTTGTATGGTTTGTTGATCTCTTTCCACATAGCTACCTTCAAAAAGGTTCGAGTCGTCGCAATGGGATCGGGCGATTCGAAACAGAGTAACAGTAAAGATTTCCCATGCGAATGCAAGCTGATGTCAGACCCAGCATCAATCAGAAAGGTCATGACTCTCTGCATAAGCTTCTCTCCGTCCGCAGTGAGCTTGCCTGAGTAAGAGCCTGCGCCGTGGCGACAGACCTCGCCTAGAGCAGATCTTCCATCGTGTAGTGGACTAGGGAAGTCGGGATGATGACCGTGATCCACGAGAACTGTTACGGCTGCCAGGTTGAGCTCTCTCGCAGCGTTGTGAAGTGATCCGTCGTCCTTTGACTGATCAATCGCGAGCAAGTTGCCCATCATACGAGTTGAGAGCTCGCCTCCAATGTCGGTTGCCATCGCAAGAGGTGTTCGTCCCATAGCATCGGTAATATCGACGTTAGCTCCTTCGATGAGTAGTTCCTTAACAATATCCGGTCGACGAGTTTGGATGGCAAGCATAAGTGGTGTAGAGCGGGTGATAGCCGTTTCGAAGTTAACATTTGCTCCACGTTCGACCAACATCTTAATCAGTGCTGAGCTGACTTTCTTCTGAGGCTGAGCAATCGCCCAAAGTAGCACCGTCATTTCTTCAGGCTCCTCCACGCTTTCGTGAATGTGGTATGTCGTAGTTTGGTCGTGATAGAAACCAGCATCAAGCAATACCTGCAACAGCTCTGCTGAGCGTGGGTACTGCGAGATCGCCTTGATCAAAATGGGCTCAGATCCTGCGCTTCGGGTCATGACATCCAGTCCAGCTTCCCCATCCCTATATCCTGAAAACAGCTCAAACAGCTTCAACACCTCCTCAGGTGATCTCGCAGTATCGAAAACACGCTCGAAAGCAAGTGTGAGCGTTTGCGGTGACGGTTTGCAAGAAAGCAATCTTTCAGTCCAAAAAGCATTACCCTTTGAAGCTGCGCAAACAAGAGGTTCTCCATCCTGAAAGTCAACACTGACACCATAAGAAACAAAAAGTTCGACAAATGCATCAGCCAAACCCTCTGTTTCTTCCGTGCTGTCCTTCATGACCTGCACAAGAGCTCGAGTCACACTCTCACCCTTAGCACCTTTAGCGAGAAGCATTTTCGCAGTCGCAAGTCCGTTCGCAGAGAACCATGTGCTGAATAAAGCATCCGAGAATCCACTTGAGAAAGCCGCGAGTATGTTATCCTCGCTGAAATCGCAAGTCAAGATCAGTTCGACTGCTGACACCTTTGCGCCTTGGACAGCTTGAATAAGAGCATAGCAGCCATTCGTAAAAGGTGATGCCCCAGACTCAAGCAAGAGTTTGATAAGGCGTTCGTCTGGCTCGTCCTCGCCAACAGCCTTGCTCAATGCGATGTGAACTTCGTCCACAGCCGGCATGCCTGCTTTGAACAGCCCTTCAATGATGCGAAGCCTGGTATCCTGTTCCAGTTTCCAGCAGGCTTTCAGGGCTCTGATTAAAGTGGGAGGAGACGCCTTTTTCTGGATTAATGTTAGTAGGATGTTCACCGATTGCATCTCATACAACAACATACCTGATTGCCATCTTGGTGCCACAAACCCAAAAGCAACTCAAGGCTACTGACAAACGCAAGTCTCGTAGCCGCAACAACTGCCTCGCCATTGCTAAAGTTGGGGTCAGCGCCCGCTGCCAGCAGCACACGTAGCACTTCATGTCCATCTTCGCCAGACTTCGCAGCCGATACAAGCTGAATGTCCACAACCTCACCAGATACTCCCCTCTTCAGCAGACGCTGAAAGATCATCGCGCGCTTGTTCAAGTCTCCAACTTCAGTAGCAGCCTGGAAGCCACGCTCCAAAGTTGCCTTTTGGGTATCGGCATTGGACTTGAGCAGTACATCGAGGACCTCAACAGAACCTCCACGGCATGCTTCTATTATAGCCTGGCCTCCATGGGTAGAGATACTGGCTCCATAAGCAATCAGTACATCTCCAAGTTCGAGGTCTCCGTCTCGCGCTGCGATGAGTAGGGCGTTTGAGGCGGCTTGAGTCGTGACTCCCGCCTTTGCCAATCGTTTGCAGATATTGAGCCTGTTCGTCCAATCAGTGATCTTCATTGCTTTCTCCAAACAAGAGTCTCTGCTCTCGGAAGAATGCTTGATGCGAGAAAGCAGCAGATCAAGGATTTCAGGTGCTTCCTTGGAAACAGCCAGTGCAAGAGCCTCCCCATCAGAGGCATCTGCGAAGCCGGCCAAAATATTAATCAAGGTAATATCTGTGATGAAGTGGTCGATGGCGTGGATCAAAGCTCTGTTTACTTCTCGAGGAGGCGCTCCAGCTTCGACTATTCTTTTCGTAAATGCTAATCGATTCATTGGGTCTGTGATCTTCAGGGCTTGGGGGAGTGCAGATGCCAGGGATGCCGGCGTTGGTGGCTTTTGGCAACCAAACAAGGCATCGACTACGAGCTCCCGGGCCGCAGCAACAGCAGAGCATAATGCTCTGGCTTTGTGGGTGTTTGGGTCTGCGCCAAGTTCTAGAAGCTTGTGCAGCGTTGAAAAAGAGGCACGACCTGTTTCATCCTGGGCAAGGACTTGAACTTCTTGTACCAAGAGACTGTCCAGGTTGAGTTTCCTGGGTGCCTTGCCCACGATCACATCAAGCTTCCATCCCTTGTTATCGGTTGGAGGAAGTGTGCCTAAGCTCTCAAGACAAATCGGTATCGTGTCCGTGTCATGTTTGCCCAAGCCAAGGACCAGATCAAGCACCTTAAAGTCTGAATTCTGTGTTGCCTTCCTCAGAATCTCTCCCTTGAGGCCGTTGATGTCTGCTTTGCCCTGTCTTAAAATAAGCTCGAGTAGTGACATATCAACAGGTCTCTCCTCGAGAGTTGCCAATAATGCCTCTGCCACCTGCTTTACGCCAACACTCGCCCTCGCTTGGAATAGCACCTTCAACATCTCATACCGCATCTGGTGGTTATCAATCTTCATGACGTCGGCGAGTCTTGCGGCGGCTGTTTGAGGCGATGCGCTTTGCATGAGCGTATGGAACAGTTGGACGTCCATCTGGTTAATAATAGTGTGGAGTCCAACGCCTTCGTCGTAATTGATGTCTGCGCCATATTTGAGTAAAAGACTGATGAGGGCATCATCTCGCTGCGAGGGATCCTCGGCAATCGCGTCTTGCAAAGCAATATGTAAAGCTGGGCCGGTCATTGCTCCCCTCAAGAACATATCAACCATACGATACCGTTCGGTGTTGGGAAGACTCTTGACCAGAGGAAAGATCTCGGTAAGGGTCTCGTTCGAGGGCCTTGCGGCAAGAATCGTGGCAGCCATGTCTGTATTCCCTGCCGAGACCGCGTAGCGCAAGGCTTCTCCTCTCTGGTGATCAGGCGATGCGACAGCATGGCGGTTACTAATGCGCGGCTTTCCGTGGCCATTTGGCTCCTGGCTGGGTGGTTCGCGGAAGTGAGGGTTGAGGAGAAGCTCAACTGATTGGATATCACCAGATTTGGCAGCGTGGATCAAACAATCGTTCAAAACAGGACCATTCGCGCCTCTCTTCAGTAATGAATAAAGCAATGCCTGTCGCGTCGCAGGGTCCGCTTGCTGAGGGATCAATGGGACACAACTTGATGCCAGGGAGGGATCAATTTTGGAAGATCCGCTTAAAAGAGAAATCACAAGATTGACCTGGCCTTTCGATATGGCAGCTTTCAAAGCAGAAGCGTCATTATGTTCTATTGAGGCTCCATAACGAGCCAAAAGGTCAGCCATCTCGAAGAATTGTGACTCGCACGCCATCTCAAGTGATCGCTCTAATATGGGTCCTTGAGCGCCACAGCAGAGCAACAACTCGGCAAAATCGAGTTTCGACTTGGGACTCATGGTTGTGCTCTCGATGAGCTGTTGGAAAGCCTCGGCCAGACCGGGGTTCTGAGGTGCCTTGTTTCCTGTCGCAATTGCCATGGCGATATCTCTTCGCTCATTGTTAACGGCGATTTTGAGAGCCTCGGCATTGTTGTAGTTGCAGTCGGCTGTGGAACGACTTAGATGCAGGACAGTGTCGAAACATTGCGCTCTCGTGGCGTCTGTAAGCGCTTGTGAAACACAGATTTCTGACGGTCGTCCTTCAGATCTTAGAATAAGTGAGGCGATTTCTGATAGAACTGGAGCAGCGCAAGCTTTGCGGAATTCATCCTGGCCTTCGGCAGTCGCTGAGGCGTTTGCTCCCCATCTTAGCAAGGTTTCGACAATTCGCGGATTCCGTGTCCTGATAGCTGCTGGTAGACAAATATCGAGGGTGATGGGGTCGGCATGCGGTATGAGAACGTGGACCATGTCATGTTGGTCTCTTTCGATGGCGGCTTTCAGTAAACGAGTGCGATCGAGTCCATTATCAGTGCTTTTTCGTCTGTTCAGTAAGCCCTGCTTCTGTGACTGTGTACCACTAAGATCAACGCCTGCAGCCGCCAATTTTGCAATCAAGGCCTCAGCGACACCTGGTGAGCCTGAACTATCGACCCACGAGTTCAAGACCTCCCATATGTACTTGGTATCCCAGTGCTTGCCCTTTTTGAGATTGCTGGATGAGAAAGCTCTGGAGAGACCACTCTTAGGTCGCAATTGAGCCACCTCAGCAGATCGTCTCTTCAAGAGGTCTTCGGCGACATTATCGTCGTCATGTGTTCGAAAAGACGTTGGATGAGCTGGTCGACTAAGAGGAGTTGGAGCGTTGGGCGGAAGAGAGAAGCCCCATTGCTGCGATAATTGTATAATGCGCCTTTGGCGGGCGTTCGCCGTTGAAGAATTCATTATAAGCTGCAGTTAAAGTTAAGGTGAAGTGAAACGAATGTTGAGGTTGAAAATGCAAAGTGAACACCCCTCATTGAAATGTCATGGTAAGAGGAAGGCTGCAGCCTGAGAATGGAAATCTTGTGCTCCTGCCCGGCCTTACCGTCCCTTTTGTTCTTGAGGTGATGCTGCTGCTGATGTTACAGAAGTCCTGGCCTGGAGAGGTCTGCTAGGATGGGGCCGGGGGGTGGTTGGAGGCTGTGAAGGTCCACTGCCCGTGCAGTGAGTGAATCACAGCCGCAGCGCCCCACTACTGCGTGCTACGCTGCCCATCTACCGTGTAAATCATTAATGTCTTCTGGAGGTGTCCTGGCTGTCATTATTTCCCATGACATATAAAAACATCACTCAATCAATCTAGCAGCATTTATAGTACTAATTATCTCCGTACCTTTTTGATACATTTTGCTATTCTCATAAATGGTATTGTGGCGTCCAACAGTCTCAAATTTAGTGGGTGTCATGTCATCTCTCAACCACCCTAATGCACCCATTCTATCCCCCAGAATTTAGGTGACGTATGGCGGCCCAGACATCCTCAACTTTCCCCTGACAATTGGACGATGATACAGAAAAGGCCCAAGCTCCAACATTCAATATCGCTGCAATGACCATCTCAATAAACCGGCCTCAAAAGCAACAACATCCGGCGGTCATGGCTGCAGAATCCTACTGGGATCCTCCTTGAAAACGCTTGCGAAGCTTTTCTCATGCCAAGCCTCGAGCACTGCCACAGACTTTCTATACGTGCAATACGTGTATTCTGTTTTTTTCACTGACACATGAAACGAGCCTCTAGCCCCTGTCTAAAAACACTTACTGTGGCGATCACTAAACCGCAAGCAGTATAATTCGGGCGAAGGTCAAGAATAGGCCCGCCCTTCCAATTCTCGGGTGCTTAGACCGATCGCCCTTCCTGCGAGATGGCCACGCGTATGCTGTCGTCGCCCGGCCTAATTGAGTCTTTAGATACTGACTAATGTCAGAACTTCTGTAGACGACATGCAGAATGGCCTGTTTTTTGAAGGATTCTTTCGTGTTGTTCGCGTCGCTTAAGATTACACGAGTCGACGATATGTTTTGGTGTAGACAAGACATCTGGATGTAACATCGGCGAACTCGTTGTCGTAAGCCTTGCTATCAACAACAAATATTTCGATAGCAACCTTAGTGATTGGCTTATGCCCTAGTCATCCTATCATCATGGATAATATGCTTAAAATCATGTTCATGTTAAAGTATGTATCATGGAACATCGAATGGCTTACCCAGTTTGGTTACCCTATATGCCGAGCTTGAACATTGATTTCACGAAGCTATCTCCAACAAGATGGCTACTGCGTGACAAATTGAATCATAAACTCCATGACAAGGCAGGGAACCCTTGGTAACAATATCACGGCACTTCTTCACTTGACACCCGATGCTGTCATGATAACGTTTGCAATAGAGTTGACTGCCACCAGACCCGCATGTTTGCGCCTCGTTTCATGATGAACGCGGAATTGCTATGAACTCTGCCACACTTGGAATCTCGGTAAATGTTCGCATGATGGGAATGTTTTAAAACCCGACTGATCGTCTTTGATCGTCTCAGACACCCTAGAGTTCATGATTGCTATTAGTCGGTTCTAGATTACCGTACGGGGATAAGAACTTATCCACACCTTTGTACAAGGCATTCTCTATTTCTTTAATACTCAATTATTGAGTAGTTTACGACTCTTATGGAAAGCTACTAGTAGCTAAGCAGTAGACAAAGCTGATCTGAGTCTTTCACAAACTGAACGCAAGCTCAGTCTCACACACTCAAATTGGCAAGTGTCAGGTAACCGATGGGAAGTGAAAGTAAGCAGAATCGCTCAGTTGACTGTCATGGTCAGCCAATCGTATATAATATATCACATCAAATCTCATTCTCTATATATGTCAACTCAAGCCTCAGTTCCCTTCTTCAACAGCGCCTTAAATCTTCACCCATATCCGAAATCGCAAAATGACGTGCCGAACATCCAAGCGGATCCTATCTTTACCCCGCCATCATGGCCCCGCGGTAAATGGGGCCGACAGCTTCTAAAGCTTCCCGATCCCCTTCCCGAACCTCAATCCATATTAATAATGCAATCTCTACGACGTTCTTTCCTCGCCTCATTCCAAACTCAAATAAGACCATCGACAACCCAAATCGCTGCTCAGCGCATCGTCAGACTCGCTTCTCAGTTATCAACCGCCAAGATGCCTCCCGTGCCACCAAACATGAAAGCCGTCCAGATCAACAAGAACGGCGGCGTGGATGTCCTTGAGCATAACAACATCCCCGTTCCTAAAGCTGGAGAGGGCCAGATTCTTGTGCGAAATGAGATTGCTGGTTTGAATTATATCGATACGTATTTCCGCTCTGGTCTTTACAAGGCGCCTCAATTTCCTCTTACGCTGGGCCGTGAAGCTGGTGGAATGATCGTCGATGTTCACTCCTCTGTCAAGGGCTTCGAGAATGGAACTCGAGTTGTCTTTATGGGTACTGTTGGCGCGTACGCTGAGTACAGCGTCGTCAACGCTTCGGATGCAGTTAAGATCCCTGATGATGTGTCCACCGAACAAGCCGTAGCTGCTTATCTGCAAGGTCTTACAGCTTGGACGTTTATCCGAGAAGCTGGACAGGTTCAGGCTGGTCAATGGGTTCTTGTTCACGCGGCGTCTGGTGGTGTAGGTACCTTGTTGGTCCAGCTTCTGCGAACTGTGGGCGCAAAGGTCATTGGAACCGCTAGCACGGATGAGAAGCTTGAGTTGGCCAAGAAGAATGGTGCTGAGTGGGTTATCAACTCTCATGACGATGTTGTTGCCAAGGTTAAGGAGATTACTGGAGGACACGGCGTGGATGTTATCTTTGATGGTGTTGGAAGGGTTACCTTCGATGGTGATCTTGAGATGATCGCCCTCAAGGGAAGCCTCATCTCCTTCGGCAATGCTGTAAGTGGTGCCTCAATCCAGCGCTTGAATGACGAAACTAACAATCGCAGTCTGGCGCCGTGGACCCTGTTAGCCTCTTCCGCCTCACTCCCAAGAACGTCCGCCTCATGCGCCCTGTAGTCAACGGCTACGTTTCCCAGCGCGCTGATCTCGAAAAGTACACCTCAGAACTCTTCGACCTCATCAAGTCCAAGAAGCTCGAGCTCACCATCCACAGCGTGTACCCTCTCAAGGACGTGGCCAAGGCCCACGAGGACATCGAGAGTCGAAAGACGATTGGAAAGCTTCTCATTAAAATCGATTAATTCTAGCTTTTTATGTTTATTTTAAATGCGCTATATGTCTATAATGCCACGGATAGTTCAGATACAAAATCCAAAACATAAACTCTTCAGTAATTCTCATTTCACATCAACTGCGAGACGCCTGCTCGCACAGTTTTACTTTTACTTTTTTAAGCCTTGGAAGACTTGACGGCCTCGAGAAGCTCGGCGGGAGGTTCTTGTCGGTAACCCTTGGGGTTGTTCTTGACCCATCGCCAGAGGTCGTCGCAGGCCTCCTCCATGGTGAGCTCGGTCTTCCAGTTGAGCTCCTTGTTGGCGAGTGTGGGGTTGGCAGTAAGATCGAGGACATCTCCTTGTCGTCGGGGGCGGACCTCGTAGGGAAGATCACGGCCAACGACCTTGCTGAAGGCCTTGATGATCTCGAAGACGGTGCTGCCACGGCCAGAGCCCAGGTTCCATGCCTTGACACCGGGCTGGTTCTCGCGGAGGTAGTTGAGGGCCATCAGGTGACCGCGGGCGAGATCGACGACGTGGATGTAGTCACGAATGGCAGTACCGTCGCGAGAAGAGTAGTCGTCACCGAACACCAGGAGCTTCTCACGCTCACCAGTGGCGACCTGTCCGAGGAGAGGCAGAAGGTTGAAAGGGATACCCTGAGGGTCCTCACCCATGATGCCAGTGGGGTGAGCACCGCAAGGGTTGAAGTATCGGAGCAGAGCACCGTTCCATTGCTTGAACTCCTTGCCAGCCTTCTCCAAGTTACTGCGCTGAGCGTTGACGAAGTCGCTGATAACGTCCTCAATCATGGACTTGGTGCGGCCGTATGTGTTGGTAGGTCCGATGGGGCAGTGCTCGGGGATGGGAATCATGTTGGGGAATCGGGTAGCATCGCCATAAACGGTAGCGGAGGAGGAGAAGACGATGTTGTTGACGTTGTTGCGCTCCATGGAGCGGAGGAGGGAGATACTGCCGCCAACATTGACGCGGTAGTACTCGAGAGGGATCTCGCCAGACTCGCCGACAGCCTAGGAATCGTTAGTTGTAGACAATGAGAATGGTCGGCTTGCGACTTGCCTTGAGGGCGGCGAAGTGGATGACGCTGTCAATCTCGGGGTGCTTAGCAAAGACCTCATCAATGGCCTTCTCATCGGTGATATCGAGCTTGTAGAAAGCAGGGCGGCGACCACAGATCAGCTCAATGCGGTCGAGAGCGACCTCTGAAGAGTTGTAGAGGGAGTCGACAATAACGACATCGTAACCGTGCTCAAGCAGGGTGAGCGAGGTGAAAGAGCCAATGTAGCCGGTACCACTGAGAAATTTCGAGTCAGTGAGGGTATTCTTTGTTGCGACACCGCATGATCCGTTTGCTGGTCCCGAATGATGATTGCGACAGGAACAAAGAGGGACAAACAAGACGCAGCAGGGGTAGGAGACAAAGTTCAGTGGACGTACCCGGTAACGAGAACGGTTCCAACAGGCATTTTGGGGGCTTGGTTTCTTTGTTTAAGATTAAGCGACTGGAGGAAGTTTGCGGTGAAGGACAAAGTAAAGTTGAAAGAAGCGTTGCAAGATTGGTGGGGAGTTGAAAGGTAAATGTAAAGGTAACTCGAGTGTTGGGTAATGGCGGGGCAACTTTTTCTTAGCTGATGAAGGAGGGGGGGATGAGGGGAGGGGCCAGGGGTTCATTCATGCTGCGGGAGATGATCCATTTTGATTGCTGCTGCTGCTAAATTAAGGACGCTACAGCGATGAGATGACGGATTTCCAGATGGAGCATTATTCGGGATATGACGAAGCTTGAAGCCGATTTGATGATATGATCTCGAGCTTTTACTAGCGACCGAGTAAAATATGATCGCTTCTAATGGAAAACGCCAAATGAGTCAAATTGAACTTTGTGTTTAGATGCGCTCCATACAACGGTCGGGTCTTATTAATTTGAGGCGATCGCGGAGCGCGGTAAAGTGCTGTAAGTCACTGTGGAGACTCTGTATCCGTGCCAGTACGAAATGCCAACTTTTGCTATGGGCCTACGTATACTTCTTTCACCAATTACGTTATATGTAGAATAGCCGCAAGAGTTACAGTAGATAATGTCTTTCTTTCCATTGGAATTTCATTCATCAAAGAATACGGTACTTCAGTTGGAAGCCTCTCATCAAGCCATTTGCCTCAGCCGTTACGCTCTCCCCGATGGCTTAACTCTATGAGAGCCGTTATCTACTAGCCCAGGTGAAATACGAGAGCAAAAGCAAGAAAATGCGATTCAAAAGTCGGTCAGCCAAATCAATTAAGCATTCTGTCTGCTACTTGCGGTTCGAATAAGATATTGAAGTAACCTAGAAAGGGGAGAGTTGACACTCTATCCTAATTTGGATGTGGTTCAATAACAACAAGGAACCACGTTGAAGATGCCTGCGTGCTGATTTGAGATTGAGTTTAGAACGTGGCACTTAGAAAACACCGAAAAAGGATGACAAGAAATATTCAAAAGATGAACGTCATCGGTGAATCCGATTCGGATTATACCAAAGATTTGTATGCAGGTACGGGTACAGAGTGATGGAAGACAAGCCCAATGCTCATGGCAATGGACGCGTGCACGTGATCACGCCTCAATTTGCGCCGCCTAATTCTCGGCGCGCATCGCGTCGGCGCATCATGGCACCTTCGCGATAGCATCACGATAATACGACAAAAAAAGTCGGCACTTGTCACATTTTCCAGCATCGAGTCATTTCTAAACCTCGATCCCAGATACCTCAATCTATTGTGGTTGCGCGCCATTTATTACGACTGATAAAGACTCGTTTGCTTCATCTCACCGCCACCAACATGATTCTTTGTTGTTACTGCGCATTCAATCTCAACATCTAAATTGGCCAGGAAAACTGGCGCACAGAACAAGTGTCTTTGTGAACCAGAATCGGAAGCGGGGAAATACTTGGTGGTGTCGCCTTTTGGACGGGTTGGGATACACCAAAGCCCGTGCTACTATTTTCATCACATTGAACAAAGAACAGCGACCATTTCCACCATCTTTCTAAGGAATAACAACAACGACGTTTATGACACAAAAGGGCGCACCTTATTTCACGGCGACTCATTCTTGTTCAATTTGCTCTTCTCATTCACTTCACCGAATACACCCATCTCATCACAACCATGCCTCCAAGAGTCGCCAGACGCAGTACCCGTGTCTCAAGTAGGGAACCGGAATCAGTAACGACCCGTGAACCTCAGAATACACTGGTTAGACCTCAGCTACCGACATTGGAGGGAACTCCAAGTAGTCGGAGACAGTACACATATGGCTCCGGTGTTGAGCCACCACGCAGAGTAGGCGCTGGCCTACAGCGCATGGATCTGAGCAATGCTGTGAACCAGGCTCTCACAAGAGGTGGTGACCAACAGGAAGAATTTGCTCGACCAGCGAAACCGAGACCTGCAGCTACGAGAGCAGAGCAAGAAACAACATCCAGAAATAGTGAGTGCTTACACCCACACATGAGAAAAAAACCTGCCTAACATGTAGCAGATGCACCAGAACAGACAACAGCAGGCGGCAATGCACGTTTAGCTGTCGCTGTTAGAGATGATGACAGCTCGCGAAGTTTTGGCTTGGAAAGTGACTATTATGATCATGCGACGATAGAATCGGCGACTCCAAACCCGTCACAGGGACCACAAAGGTCAAAGAATGTGCGTCGACAAAATTCTGAGACGCGGGAAAATGCGACCGATAAGGTTGATCCGCAGCCATCACGACCTCGGGATCGATTGAATGCCACAACCCAGCCGAATGAGACCAGAGTTGAGAGTAGAAGTGAAGGCAGAAATGCTCGACAGTTGGCATCCGATTTCAGTGCTGCTGCACAGATGTCAAGAATCAGGGCTGAGCGCGCCACTGACAGTAGGCCAGCGAACACGCCAGCTCTAGACAGAACCCGACAAAACACCAGGCAACAACGGACGCAAATACCCGAGGAAATAGGGGATCCCGAGGAGGAAAATGATTCCGAAAGTGATGAAGAGCCAATCGCAGCAGTCCGCCGAAGAAGAGCACCACCTGCCAAGAATACAGGATTGCCCTCTTTGGGGACTCAGGAGCCTCCCAGCCAGGCCGATAAACTGAAAGATCGACGTCCTAATGGGAGGAAGAATCTTTTTGGTACAACACCAACGACAAGCTCAAGGACAAGTGCATTCGAAAGAGCTCGCCAGAATGGGAATGGCTCCGGAGAACGCGATTGGGACATCCAAAAAGAGCTCTTAGATTCGGAGGCAAGGGAGGCGAGGACTGCAGCGATCAATGGTCGGCGGAATCAGCAAGAAGAGCAAGACGACGATTCTGAAGCTGAATGGGAGAGAAACTTGGATGAGTACGGCCGCTGGCGATTTTGGTTCTGGACCAAATTTGGCTGGCTGACATCGATATGGCCATTTAATCTTTGGAACAGACCACAACCTCCACGTTTCATTTTCGATGATGATGAGGAGTACGACCAAGATGGCCCTACAGAGTACATTCGTCTGCTCTACCCCATGACATATGTCCACAGTCTGAAGTGGGCCTTTGACGGGTTTATGGATCGAGTCATCAGCTTCACTGACCGTATACGTGGCATACAAGTTGGACGGATGCGAAACACGACCGCTGAGCGCTTAATGTGGCTTCTGGCATTGAGTGCGTTCACAGTCTTTCTACTTACGGGCACTGGAGCGATGCGATATGTCCCAGATATTGGTTCTATGGCAAGGAATGCTCATTGGCCAGACACCAGTGGCTTCAGCGTTCCAAACATTATCCCTTCGATCTCCTGGCCCTCGTGGGGCAAAGGCGATGATGATAACCCTTTCGATGACCCATGGTCTGCCATAGACAAGACCATCCGAGACGGCAACAAGAAGACAGAGGCGCCGAAGAAACCGAAGAAACAAACGACCATCCACAAGGAAGCTCTCAAGGGACTCGAAAAAGACCTTCCTCCTGTTGTACAGGTGGATATTGTCGATGGTAATGGAGTTATCAAGCCAGAATTCTATCATGCTCTTATAGATCGCCTCAAGGTCGACGGAAGTTTCCTCAACTTTGAAGAGAAGAATGGCAACAACGAGATCTCTTCGGAAAAGCACTGGAAGGCTATTGTATCACGCTTTGGCAAAGATCCCGCCCTTAAAGGCAAGATCGATGACACCGTCGATCGCAGCGTCGAAGAGAAACTACCGAACCTCTGGGATACTTGGTTCAGAAACAACAACAATGCGATTGAGCCGCTTATTGAGAAGGCGATGGCGAAAAACCAGATTGCCGGCTCAGGCGCTGCGTTCGATCAGAAGCTTATCAAGATTGTCAACGAGGAGCTTAGCAAGCAGAACCAGACTGTCGTTTCTCGCGCCGAATTCCTGGAACATCTTCAGAGAGATCTCGAGAAGCACGAGTCCAAAGTCGAAGCCGAGTTCACAAAGCTCAGGACAGACATGGAGGATCACATCAAGGAGTCTATTCGGACTGCCCAAATGATGGCCCCTCAGGCTATGTCTAGCGATGACATCGAAAGACTTATTCGAAAGATCATGCACCAGACTTACACAGACGGCAGTCTCGAAGCTTTCGCAAAGAGCAATATTCACGCCCACTGGAACACCCAACTCAAGTATCAGGTCAACTACTTTGGTCCCGGAGCTGGCGCTACCGTAGAACCAGTATATACGTCGCCTGACTGGGATCCTTGGAACGGCGACAAAAAGGAAGCCGAAAAGCAGGGTCTGAACGGTATATTCGCCCATCCTCCCGTTGAAGCACTCCGCCACTGGCAAGACGAGGGAGATCGCTGGTGCGGAGCTCACGGCCTTGATAACCATGGGCGACCTCAAGGTGTGATCCTCTCTATCGAACTAGGCCATGAAGTCGTCCCCGAAAACATCGTCATCGAACATATTCACCCGAACGCAACGGTCGACCCTGATGCCCGACCAAAACGCATAGAAGTCTTTGCCAGATACGACGACAGACAGGAAGAAGAGGAGGTTCGCGTCTACTCCCTGAACAAATTCCCCGACGAGGATATCGCAGCTTCTCCTCTACCAGACCGATTCGTCAAGATCAGCCAATTCACCTACCTAGGCGATGAGCTAAACGATGGTGTACATGTTCATCGCATCAACGATGAACTTTCGAGTCTGGGCTATGCAACTGATCATATCATCCTTCGAGCTATGAGCAACTATGGTGCTAAGGATCACACTTGTTTTTACAGGGTGAGGTTATTTGGAAAAGTGGCTGATAAATAGTCCTTATTGGGTTGGAGGATATGTGTGATGGATAGCCTTGTATTATATGTAAGGTCAGCGTGGAGCTGGATGGGAAATGGATAGACTTTGACCAGGCGCTACTTATTAATGAACTTTTATCATGACAACATCACTGCTCCTTGATGCCCCGGCTATGTACCGCACCTCTATCATCATAAAATCATAATACTTTGATTTCTTAGTAAAATCTTAGGAAATCATTTTCATCCATTAGGCTTCTGATTAGCTAACTTAGGTAGTTGGAGGTACCGGATGTGCACACTCGGGGACCCAAGGAGACAAGGAATGAACGAGATAGCCATTTAAAACATTAATCCTATACTTCTTAATTCGGGCGGCTTCAACTAAAACGGGCCTATGCTTCGACAGGCCTCGAGGGGTCAACCTTAAATCACAACTTTTGTCTATCCCTAAACACGAGGGTCCAAAGGGTATTAATCCAGCAATCCCGTGGCAAGTGCCTCGAGATCCTCCAACGTCTCCGGCTCTTCCTGCACCCTGATAACCTTGCCCTTGCCCTTCTTGCTCTTCTTCCCCTCGTCCTCCGAGTCGTCCTCGAACCACTTCTTGGCCCTCTTCTTGGGCGGCTCCCTGTCGCCCTCGCTGTCCGACCCATCGCCCATAGGCAGCGATCGCAAAAGCGCCAAAGGATCTTCGCCGTCGTCTGCATTGTGCAACATGGGCGCGTCCTCGTCGTCTGACACGATACCCATGCGCTCTGCTCGCTCGGCAGCCTTGCGCTTCTCGCGCTTCTCGCGACGCTTTTGTTTAGCAAGGGCCTTGTCATCGACATCTGCTTCCTTGACACGCGATGTCTCGCCTTCGACGAATTTGCGGCGTTGTTCTTCGGCTGGACCTTCGCCCATGAAATCGTCCTCGTCCTTGAGCTCGTAGATTTCGTGAGGGTTGCCGTCTTCGTCGAAGACAGTCTTGCTGGAGCTACCCTTGAACTTGAGCATCTTCTTCTTTGACTTGAGAGCCTTCTCGCGACGCTTTGAGTCCACGACGAAAGGTTCTTCGCCACCGAGACCCTCAATGATCTTTGCTGAGCTCTTGAATGCGTTGTTCGCCTCGGCATCCAGATCACCATCCTTCAGCACTCTCTTTACTGACAAGAAATCATCCTCCTCGTCATCCTTGTCATCGCCGTCAAGCACAAGCTTGTTGTAATGACTTGACAGAACGTCCTGATTTGTTCGCTCAAACATCTTGTCGTACTTTGTGCGCACCTCGCCCTTCTTCTTGGCCTTCTTCTCACCATCCTCATCGGATTCATCACCACTCGACATACCCTGTCGAGGAGCGTTCTTTATTCTCTTAATGTCGTCGCCCTTTCGGAACTTGACCTGAGGTGTACCGGGAAGACCAAGACTGGCAGCGAAGCCGTCAAGATCAAGTTTGTCGAATTTAAAGACGTCCTTGTCTTTTTGTAGATGGATTGACCGTGTGTAACTGATGAAAGCCTTTTGTCCAAGATATTTGAGATCGGGGTTCTGGAAGCACATGCTTTGTAGGTGGTCCTTGATGTTCCTCTTCTTCTTCTCCTTCACATTAACCTTTTGGATGGGAATCTTCTTCTGCTCCAATTTCTTCAACATGCCAGGCTCTTCATTAGGGTCCAAGAACAGCACTGCGCGACCGTTGCTTTGGTAACGAGCTGTTCTACCAACTCTGTGAATGTAGGTGTCGACATCTTCGGGGCAATCGGCTTGAATAACCCAGTCGACAGCAGGGAAATCAATTCCTCGCGCGACGACATCTGTAGCGAACAAGCATGTCTGCTTGGCGGAAGTGAACCGCTGGGTAATCTCCAATCGGGCGATCTGCTTTTGTCGTCCGTGAAGGTGGAGCAGAGGAATACCGGGCTGAAGTTGACGGAAACTCTCGTATACGAATCGGACCTGCTTGCCTGAACTTAAAAAGACAATGATCTTGCTCTTTAAATTGGCCTTGATAAAACCGTAAAGGGTGTCGAGCTTCTCGGTCAAAGGTGTGATGATGTAATGTTGTTGGAGGTTTGTAGGCGTAGCGCTGACGGCAGCTTCGTGGACGGAGACGTATTCGGGGTCCTTGAGACTGAGACGAGCCAGGTCAGAGACCTTCTTGCTCTGGGTGGCACTGAACATGAGTGTTTGCCGTGTCTTGGGGAGATGCTCGACCAACGCATCAACGTCAGATTGGAAACCCATATCCATGATGCGATCCGCCTCATCGAGAACCAGCATCTGCAGATTGTTGGCGTCGAAACCGGCTGTCTGATCAAGATGCTGCAGCATACGACCAGGTGTGCAGATCAAGATGTTCATGCGGTCCAATCGCTCCGCCTCCTCCTTCAAGCTCCTTCCACCGATCAAGCAACCAGCTGAGAAAGAATGGTTCCGGCCGATCTTTTTGAGGACATCGAAAATCTGAACGGCGAGTTCTCGAGTGGGGGACACAATTATGGCACCAACTCCGTCGAATTCAGTCCATTGAGCGCGGTAGAGCCTCTCGAGGACGGGGATAAGAAAGGCCAACGTCTTTCCACTTCCTGTCTTGGCAGCGCCCATGACATCTTTGCCCTTGAGGGCGAGAGGAATAGCTCGGGATTGCACATCGGTGAGGGTCTGGAAGTGAGAGGCCTCGAGGCCGGTAGCGGTCGGAGTGGACAGAGGAAGGTCCGAAAAGCTCTTGATTTCTGACTTGGGGTCCAAGTCGGTTACTTTTTGCTCGAGGTCTTGGATACTCTCTTGCTCTCTCTTGCGTTTTTGTTGCCGTTGCTCGGTGCGGCCGTTCTTCAGACTAGGCTTGGGCTTTTGGCCCTTGTGGCCCGGTCGTGCGTGGGGAGGCATGTTGCGTTGTGTTTTGGTGAGGAAAAGATTGAGATTCGCTCCAGACCTCTGTGTCGCAAGTTGGACCAAGTCTGGATTTTTTTCTAGGCTTTTGCGCCAGCGGTACCGGCAGGATGTCAGAAAGATCAGCCACTAAGAACATGAAAGACGAAAAACTTTGATCATCTCATTATAGTTTAGCCTATCACTTAGACTGCTTTATTTTGGCTGCCTAAACTTTAGAAGAAAACTCTTCTGTCAGCCAATGAAATGACCTTTCCTAAAAAGGTCTACCGCCCGGGCAGAAAGATCTCACCGCCAAAAAATTGAATTCCATTTGTTTTTTCTGCCCCTCCATGTAGCAACAAGCTCCAAGTTGTGAACATTGAACATTAACAGCTTCATTATCGCAAAAATGAAGGGAGAAAAGAAGTCAAAGAAGGGTGGCGACTCTGAGAGTCGTATCGCCGATCAGCGATTCGCCGATTTTGAGACTGATCCTCGTTTCCGATTGCCTTCAAAGAGACAAACCAAGACTACGATCGACAAGCGATTCGCGCGCATGCTGAAGGATGACGATTTCACTGCTACCGCTAAGGTCGATCGATACGGCCGAAAGATCAAGTCCGATACCAAGAAGAAGGCTTTAGAAAGATTATACCAAGAGGAAGATGAGGAGGACGAGGATGAGGAGGATAAAGATGATGAAGAGGAGGCCGATATCGAGGTCGATGCCGACGAGATCGTTCAACGAGAACTGCGCAAGGCGCACGAGAAATACGATCCTGCTCGAGGTGGTGGTTTCTCTTCTTCAGAAGATGAGTCCGAATCCGAGGAGGATGAAGATTCTGATGAAGAGGAGGGCGGCGCGCAAGTCGATACCGAGGGAGATATGCAGCGCTTCCAGGACGAGCAAAACGAGGTTGAGGCCGGAGAAGTGACCAACCGAATCGCAATCGTCAACCTTGATTGGGACCACGTCAAGTCTACCGACCTTATGGCTCTTTTCAACAGTTTCCTTCCCGACACAGGCGGCAAGATTGAGAAGATCTCCGTGTACCCCAGTGAATTTGGAAAGGAGCGCATGCAACAAGAAGAAGTCGAGGGTCCCCCCAAGGCACTTTTCAAGGGCACCAAGGACTCCGACGATGACTCAGAGGACAGTGAAGACGAGAGTGAGGACGAACGTATCAAGAAGGGCTTGCTCCAAGAGGGCGATGACCAAGATTTCGATAGCGATGCGCTCCGATCTTATCAGCTTGACCGTCTACGATACTACTACGCTGTTATGGTCTGCTCAAGCCCAGAGGTTGCCCAGAAGCTTTACGAGTCAGTCGATGGACGAGAGTACCAGTCATCATCCAACTTCTTGGATTTGCGATTCGTTCCCGATGATGTCACATTTGACGACGAGCCGAGAGATGAGTGCGAAAAGGTTCCCGAGTCATACAAGCCTGTCGAGTTCGTCACGAACGCTCTGCAAAGCTCCAAAGTTAAGCTCACATGGGATATGCACCCTGAGGAGGCTTCCCGCAAGGAGTCCATCAACCGTGCTTTCAGTGGTAGCCGTAACGAGATTGAAGAGAACGATCTCCGCGCATATCTAGCAAGCGACAGTGAGGATAGTGACAACGAAGTTGAGGTTGTCGATGCTACCGCCGAGGCTGAGGAGAAGGAAGACGAGCCCAAGCTTTCCAAGAAGGAGCTTGCCCGCAGAAAGATGCGAGCTGCTCTCGGCTTGTCTGAAGAGCCCACCAAGTCTTCTAAGAACGCTCCTGTAGGAGATATGGAAATCACATTCACACCCGCTCTTTCAGAGTCTGCACCCAAGAAGAAGCCAGAAGAGGAGGAGACAACAATCGAGAAGTACGCCCGAAAGGAGAGGGAGCGCAAGGAGAGGAAGCGTGAAGCTGCTCGCGCCCGCCGTGAAGGACGCGATCCCAACGCTGAGGAGGAAGAGGAAGTTGAAGAGGCTCCTGCTGGTGATGATGATGATCTTGGTTTCAACGACCCCTTCTTCACCGCCGCCGAACCCGAAACCACATCCAAGACCTCCATCCGCAAAGCCGACCGCCTCAAGAAGCGCGAAGCCCGCGAGGCCGCCGAAGCCGAAACCAAGGCTCAGAAGAAGGAGCTAGAAAAGGTCATGGCTGACTCCGGCGAGGGTCAAGCCGAACATCTGGACCACTTCGACATGAACGAGATTCTGCGCGCTGAAAAGGCCCAGAAGAAGAAGGGCAAGGCCAAGAAGAAGGCACTTGCCAAGGAGCCTCGTGGTGGTCTGCAGGAGGATTTCAAGATGGATGTTGATGATGATCGTTTCAAGGCTGTGTTTGAGGATCATCAGTATGCTCTTGATCCTTCGAATCCCAAGTTTAAGCCTACCAAGGCTATGACTACGTTGCTTGAGGAGGGAAGGAAGAGGAGAAACAAGGATGTGGATGGGGAGGAGCCTAAGGTTAAGAAGGCTAAGAAGAACAGAAGGTGAAGAGGATGTATAGGGTTGATGTAATGTACTGATGGTGATTCTTTGGAGTTGGGTATTAAAAGTTGGTAATTGATAGCCACGATATATAAAGCATACGTCCAATAACACAATAACTCTCGTGATAACAATGTCCCCTACGAATACCCTCAATCGTCACAAAAAGATGAGCATTCCACATTACGACACACGTAACACTCTTTATTTAACCCGTTCAAAATGCTGTTCACACCATTGCTAAATACTATATTATGCTTGGGGTAGATACTCACGCATCCAAAGGCTTCTGCCCACTCCAAAAATGCATCTTCCCATAAGCATGAACCTTAGGATCCCTCATCGACTTCCTACACTCCGCAAAGAAAACCTCCATCTCCGTCTTATCCCAACCTAGTTGTGGAAAGTGAAGGGCTCCAATCGCAGGAAAGAATTCTTCGCATGCAGTTCGGTAGTACATGCCCACCAAGCGCATTACCCTGTAAGCATCCTGTTAGTAAGATCCCCCATATACTCATTTGGTAGACTGGGAAACTCACTTATCCTTCGGCCAAGTTCCATAAGGCAACTTAATAAAGTTATGCTGAATATTAACAAACCCCGCTTCTTCAAGATACTGTCTTCCGAATACCGCTGCGTGGGCATTTGTTTCGTATAATGCGAAGGCTTGAACTATGATTTCGGTGAAGCGTTTCAAGGGCCAGTCTTCTGGGATTGAGTCGTCGTCTGAGTGGACTTGGCCGTCTACGTCTTGTAGTTCTACCCAAGCACCTGGTCTTATGTTGCTGGAGTTTATGTTAGTATGGATGTTAGGGTAAAGAGAGAAAAGAGGTGTTACGCGTATATTTGTTTGAGGAGTGCCACGGGGGATTTGAGAATGGGGATCATGTTGCGGAGGTGGACGAAGTCAAAGTCATCGCCGTTTAGCCACTCGTCTTCTATATCATCGACCATGAATCTGGTTCGTTAGTACTGAGACCTCGTGTGTATGTGACGACTTACTTGACGTTTGGAGGGACCCAAGATGGCTGTATAGGACTCAAATCCAATCCCAAAACCTCAGCACTAGGAAAGTTCTCACCAACTACACCCGTTAGCTATACCCAAACCCCGTATCACATCAACATACCATCAATAGCCCAGATCCCCGTCCCAGTCCCCAGATCCGCAATCTTCTGCGGATTCTCTCCAATAGGCGCATAAAAGTGTCTTCCATCCGTAGCCTCCAACATCATAGCATGTAACATATCCTCTCTATTCTGCTCCGCCTCATCATTCGGTAGTGGATATCGTCCATGGCGATAACGATGGTAGCGACGACCGTTTTGGTAGCTGTGCTCGAGGATGCTAGAGCTGATTGAGGTAGAAGAGGAGTGGGTGCTAGTTGTGAAGATGGAATCGGCGTCAAAGTCGCTGGCGGAGAATTCGCCGTCTTCGTCACTGCCGCCTGGGTCGATTTGGGCGTTACCGTGGAGGAGACCTTGGGAATCGAGGGAAAGATCTGGCAGGTTTTGATCGGTTTGTGCTACCGGACTTGGCTTGTCGCGTATTTTTGGACTTTCATGAGGGATGCTCTTGACGCTGGACCTTCTGCTTCCAGTATCCGGGTCACCCATTGTATATATTCCTTTATTCAATTGTTGTATCGAGATCAACTCGTGCAGTAAGATCGTATCAAGGAACAAAAGAGATGCAACCAACAGATATATGCAAATGCCAATAACTAATACCCACCAACCACTGAGGGGCTACCCAATAAATATGACATGCTCCAAAGAAGCAACGACGGCGAGAAGCCTTCCTATTAAAGAATCATGACTCTGACGAAACGGGTACAGTTAACCGTCAAGGAACTTTCCATGCATAAGGTTGACGTTGTCTAGTGCTGTATGTGGAATGCCAGTCGGCGGGGACTTAACGGACTGTGGAAGCTTTCTCGGCAATTGGTTTGTTGGAAGAAAGATTCGAGGGCGTGATGCTTCGGGGCTTACTTTTACTAGAGTAGAATAACTTACAAGTTGTTAGTATCTGTCAAAGCTTCGGGAAGACGATCTGACAGCCGTGGGTCCTCGCGATCTTAGCTTCAGTTCCATGGATCGATCATCAAATGGTCCATTCTTTTCAACATTTTAGCGAGGTTTTGATGTTCGTTTAGATTACCGGTATGCGATTGGCTGCTTCTGGCCGAGGAACTCAATGCTGTACAGGGCTGAGACATTCACTTTTGCATGAAAACGAATAAACTGTCTTGAAGGTTACCGTTATCCGGGTTGGAAGACGTAAGTGCAAGCCGAGATCTTACAAGGCTTGTAGCTTTAATTAGTTGGCGAAAGTTTAATTGAGAGGATCGGGAGTTATTCCGCTGTTGGTGATTTGATGAGAAGTGTGGAGTGTTGATGTTTTCGGTTTGGGTTACAGCTACCAATTTGAGCTCTGTTATCCGTACTTTTGGTGGTGATAAAGGCATGGAAATAATGCCCAGTTCTCGTGCCGACAGGGTCCATCTCATCGGTATGCTCAGCAAACAACTGCATCAAACGAAATACCATACCCAGTCACTCTATCTATTTCCGTCTAGGTCTCACGATAATCCACACAACAAAACCCCATTTCCCCTCATCTTCATATCCACAAGATCCGTATAATCGGTGAGCAAGCGGTTTGCATGCATACAAAGCCTGTCCTGTAGGCTGTCGTGCATGGTCCCCCTGCTGAAGCTGATTGGTAAATCGACGCGAGATAAGAGATCTGTCCGCGTGATGGTGAAAAAGGGTGGGATAATGCGCATCCCGCTTCGTTTTAGCTGCCGCTTTCGTCGGTGCGGCTGGGTCTTTTTTAGTCTATCGCAACAACACCAAGACTAAAGTCGTGATAATTGATGGGGGGCTGGGTATCACCTCATCCATCTTGTTTCTACAAACGTTACATACAATGTCTCACACAGTTAGTTGTCAGGTTGTCAACATAGAAAATGATAGTCAAGATGATGATAGATTCGCCTCCATGATATAACCGCCTAGAACTCATCCTCCCAAGCGCTGATTATCTTGATCAATTTGTGGCAAGGCGGGCTGGACAACGACCGCTTAGTACTGCAGCCGACCCAAAACCCGCAGATGGCAATGTACGAGTACACCATCGCAGACGATATGAGTGTTGGATCAATTTCCCATGGTTACAAAGATATCCTATCGCGAGTCAGAGAGCTTTCCCCGCTGGTGTAAAAGGGTGTGGTCAAGTCGCATTGAGACAAGCTGATGTGCAGACCCTTGGAGACACGGGGAAAAAGAGAACTGGTGACGGGTCAGAGACGTGGGATGATTATGTGAGTAAGAGGTGTTGTTATCTCCACTGGTTCATAATGTTTGTGATACAGCATCTTTCGATGGTTGCAGTGTAGGTACAATAACAGGTGATGAACTGATCATAAATATCCATCAGTAAACCACAGCATTGTCTAACAATCATGGACATTTAATATGTGTGATGGATGGTAACAATTGCCACTGAAGACCCCTATTGCAGAATGATTACCATGATCATCGCCATAATTCATCATTCACCGACTCTCGGAGCTAAAGTTCCCCCAGTTCTAGCGTCCTGGGGGTTGCATCGAGATCGTGAAGGGGTGAAAGCTGCAGATGTTTCAGTGGAGGTTTTTTTTCTGGTCATGACACCCTCTTTCAGATAGCTGCACCATCACCAAGGCAGGTAGGCAACTTATCTGTGGGGAAACGCGTGAGCTATAGAATAATAATTACTCTTGTGCTAGGGTTTGCGTTTGCGTAATAGAGATAGATAATAATACTTGTAACCATTTCATCTCATCCTCTTGACTCTTCTTTTTTTTTCTGTTTACTTTTCATCGTCTTTGAGCGATATTGACCTGAGATCCACCTTTTTACCTTGGTCAAGCTCTTTCATCATAATTATCACTACCAAACCACCACCTAATTTATCTTCTCTCTACTACAACAACAATACTGCGATTACAGAAATGCCGCTCGACTCACAATCTCCTCTACTCCCCATCTCTACACCAACAGCCATCGCATCTCCCTACGAACAAACACAAACCCCGCAACAAGCCCCCACAGCAGCAAACCATGTCCAACGCCTCGCCATCGCGACATTCTCCCTCGCTCGCTTCCTCCGCGGCGTCTCGCTAATAGCATACCCACGCTTCGGCCTCTGGGCCCTCGACATAGCCCCCGATGGCTCCGCATACATGCTCGCCAGCATGATAGGCATCCGCGACATTTTACTGTCAGGTCTTCTATATTCCAGCGACACCGCCAACGCAGGCGTCGACCATGCCGCTCGTCGCGAAGTTACACGCGCACTAGCCACAAACCTCTTCAGCGATGCGCTGGACGCTTTCGTGCTGATTTTCTACGCTGCGTGGTCCGATGACTGGGGCAATCCTATTGCTGTGATTGTTATCTCTGCCGTCATGGCTATTTTCGAGCATTTGACGCTTTGGAGCTTTAGTGAGGATGATTGGAATGCGCATGAGCATGGAAGTTTGGGAGACGATAAAAAGGCGAGGATGAATGCTTGGTTGAGAGAGCTTGAGCGGTGCGAACCTGAGACATATCGACATGAGCAGTCTGTTCCGCCTTCGTCGCGAGCTTCGTTTCGGGGATATGGAGCTTTGGTTTAGGGATTAATTCGTACGTCATGGTGAAAAGTTGGAGGGTTTATGATATCCATTTTCTGCGACGGCGTTGGTTTGCATTTGACTTGACGTTTGGAGTTGGAGGAAGATGTGGTGATGCTTTACGATTGCATGTTTTTGCACTTCTATATTGCTTTCAATACCATTGCTTTTGAAGCTATTTCTATGTTATTCTGCCTTGTCTATCTGTAAATCCTGATTACATCTTGCTATTAACTTGAAGTCGAGAAGCTGGACTTCCGTCTTTCCGACATAGACATAAATAGATCATCGAATGTGTTAGACCTGACGTCGAGTCAAACATCAATGAGACATGTTCTGCGATGAGTCCCTCGTCCCTGCATTCAATATGACGATCGTTGCTCGATTCTCATATGCCGTGAAATGTCTTCGAGATCTCAGGTCTGCCAATCATCTTGCCGAGACAGTATCGCCAGTTTGTGTAATTCTGTAGAATCAAACCATTCAGTTAAACAAATCAAGCCACTCGTTGATACCGGAGATGTATTCGTCGGACTCTGGCGATGGCGTGATAAATCTCATCCGAGGCACAATGCAGAGTCGCAAGGTGTCGTCCGCAAGTGGAGAAATACCGGCCGCTAAAATCCTCTTGGCCTTATACAGTTTTCTTTTTTATAATTGCCTCTTTATAAGTAACAGCTCACTTCAACTCACTCGATATCTCACCACGTTCATTTTGTTCATCTATTTAACGATTATTTTTATACAATGGGGGTCTCTGGTGTAAAGCGTGTGGCTGTCATCGGTGCAGGGCCAGCGGGTGCTATCGCTGTTGATGCCCTTGTTCAAGAAAAGACATTTGATCGCATTCGTGTATTTGAGAGACGTGAAGGTCCTGGAGGATGTTGGTACGTCTCAAAGCACTACTTCATATGATAGGTACTTACAATTTCAGGATTGGCGACACAACAGCACCTCAACCAATCTCAGATCTGTCAAAGCTGGCAGACCGCACAGCAGATGAACAACTTCCTATACCTGAGAGTCTACCAGCTCACCTCCCCAAACCCTCTCAACCCCGTCATGAGGAATCATCCATCTATCCCTACCTAGAAACAAACGTTGATACATCAACTATGGAATACACCCAAGAACCCATCCCAATAACTCGCAGCGAACGCTCAATCAGCATGCACGGCGCTTCAACGCCCTTTCGACACTGGAAAGTCATGCGTGATTACGTTGCTTCTATCATTGAACGCAATCACTATGAAGATCTAATTTCGTACAACACTACCGTGGAACACGTCAAGAAGGAAGGAGAGGAGTGGAGGGTTGTGTTGAGAAAGGAAGGAGATGAGTTGGATTACTGGTGGGAGGAGAGATTCGATGCTGTTGTTGTGGCGAGTGGGCATTATTGGGTGCCGTATGTTCCTGCTATCGAGGGATTGCAGGAGTTTGAGAAGATGAGGCCTGGAAGTGTTGTGCATAGTAAACACTTCCGTGGTAGAGATGCTTTCAAGGACAAGGTATGTTTTGTCCAGCTTGACAAGAGGGAGTACTAATAGGTTACAGAACGTCGTGGTAGTGGGCGCATCTGTCTCTGCAGCTGATATCGCAGTCGACATCGTCGACGAAGCAAAGACACCAGTCCATTGCATAACTCTCGGCCACACAACAAACGTCTTCTTCGGCGACACAGCGTTTCACCACCCCAAGATCCAACAACACCCCTCCATCGCCAAAGTCACGGGCCGAACCGTGCATCTCGTCGACGGCACATCCATTCCGGACGTAGACCACATCATCTTTGGAACAGGCTACAGCTGGACACTACCCTTTTTACCTTCTGTCCCCGTGCGAAACAACCGCGTACCGAATTTGTACCAACACATCGTCTACCAGCAAGATCCTACACTACTCTTCGTAGGCGCAGTGGGTGCTGGACTTACGTTCAAGATCTTTGAGTGGCAAGCTGTATACGCTGCTCGTATTCTTGCTGGCAGGGCAAGTGCGCCTTCTGTAGAAGAGATGCAGAAGTGGGAAGAGCAGAGAATTGAGGAGAGGGGTGATGGACCTAAGTTTTCGGTTGTGTATCCGGACTTTGAGGAGTATTTTGAGGATGTGAGGAAGTTGGCTGGTGATGGGGAGGGTGTTGGGAGACAGTTGCCCAAGTTTAGGGGGGAGTGGTTTGAGAGTTTTATGGAGGGGCATGAGTTGAGGAAGGGATTGTGGAGGAGATGGAATGAGGCTGCGAAGGAGGAGGAGAAGGCGAGGTTGTAACTATAGACTTGTGATAGACATAGATGGATAGACATAGAGAGTCTTGTCGCATTTAGGGACTAGGGACTGAGATGGGTAGATGAATGTCTTGATCTGTGAGAGGGTTTCTGCACTGAATCATATCACTATCTTAGCGATGAAGCAAGACACATATCGGTCTTGATAAGACAGGTTTTGTCCGAAACATACATACGCGTCCCAGACTTGGAGACGCTTCATGTGCTCCCATTGATACTGCAGGAACCCTTGACGGAAAGCGACATCTAGACCATATCACTCGTAACTAAATGACTGGATTGGCCGACATTCAATTTCCATCGTTTCTATCCTAGATACTGGAGTTTTCAATATCGCATTGTCGCATTAACGTTAAATCATGTTCAGTCAAGATGGCCCTGCCAAGGGTGGAAGAGGGTCTGTATCCGGAAATATCACGACTTTGACCTGCTGGTCCTAAGTTCATGCCCTCACCAATGGCTTGACCAAAGCTGGCCTCTCCAACGCCCGGTTTCTACCAGGTGTAACTCCAAAATACACTCGGTATTGTGCAGATGACACCAAGCGAGGCGTCATTAGTGTGCCCCCCGCATCCAAGCGGACGATCAGCATGAACCCTTCTCGGGAGTTGCGATGACATTTGATAGGATAATGACAGTAAATACGGCTCATTCTAGAGCCTTGTTTTGTAATGGACTAAATTGTCTGTTTTGATGCTCTTCTTAAATTCTTGTAAGTCAAGACCCAGTTGATAGAAGTAAAGTACAGGGTTTATGGTGGAGTTAAAGCTTGGACAGACTTGCCGAAGCCATACTCCACAGCAAAGAGAACGGCTAAGACGGGACGATCGTGAGTCTCCATGTTTGACAGCCCGATAACAAGGGCCTTGTCCTCAGCTCATCTCTGACAGCATATAGAAATAGGCTCCCAACGTTGGGTCTTTTCATTCAACAGAAAATATCACTCAAACTCGGCTGCCGAAGCCTATCTTTCACGACAGATTGGCTGGTCTCTTATCATGGTTGGTTACGTCGAGGCATCTGCACTAAACGTTAGTGGCTGATAGTGATGTACTTCCCCGCGTTTTTAGTTATCTTGGTCTCCATGGACGCTGTAACGCCCTGGCTTAGATATGGAGCTTGCCACCCCCCATGTTCCCGTCTACTCGTGATAGCAGATCTTCTCTTCTTTGTTATCCTTCAATCATTTCCCCAGTATTCAATCTGTTTTTGACGAGGTTGAAAATGTCGACTAAAACTTCAACGACGAAAAATACTTGTAGACGCGCTTCTGTGTCTAAAGCAAAGAATGGACCGAACCCACGTTCAAGGTCAGGCTGTGTGACTTGCAAGGCCAAACACGTATGTTAACCTCACTGATTAATGGGATTGGCTAATTTTGGTAGACAAAATGTGACGAAACGAGACCAGAGTGTCTGAGATGTATACGCAAAGGCGTTAAATGCGGTGGTTATTGGAAGGAGTTTAAATGGTCGTTCAAGCATCAACCTGGCGAGATAGAAGTCAATCTTGCGGATTCTTCGCCTACTTCTTCTCGACGAGGTTCTGATGAGACGTCGACGGACGTTGCGATTGATCAAACAATTCAGCAAGAGATAATCACCCAGACTGAAGAGTTACCCACCGAAGATACTTCTATCCTAGACGACACCTGGACAACAAGTCCCTGCACAGAGTCCGACACAGACATCTTCGCTCGATCAAACTCAATCGTATCAAACTGCGACATCCCAGACTTATCCCTTCAACCCGATCCCTCTCTTGCCCTCGTCGAAACACAATACTACGAATCAACACCCCTAACAGTCGGTCTCATAACCGACACATCCTCCCTTTTAATAAGCAACTGGTTCGAACAAGTCTGCACTCTCTGGTCCGGTTTCGACAGCGACTTCAACCTCAATCGCAAACTCGCTCTCGAACTCTGCACGAGCTCCCAGTCGGTGTTTTCCTCGTTGCAGAGTATGTCTGCTGGCTTTTTGTCTACGAGGTTACCGCATATGAAACAATCTGCTATGTACTTTTTGCAAGCTGCTACTGGATCGGTACTTGCGGAAGCGCAGGAGATTCTTCAAGGGCCTGTGAACGATATGCCTACCGGAGCACTCTTTTCGTTATTCTGTCTAGGCACGACGGTTTGTTGGGTTGATGCGAGACAACTTGGTCTCCCCTTCTTCCGCTCAGCAAGGAAGATTCTCGATCGGTTGAATACAAGGCTTGAACGACTTTCAGCAAAAGATCTGGAGCTATTATCTTTCTTTAATCGCAGTTTGACATACTGCGAAATGCTTCTCGCAGCAGTAAACCAAGACGACACCGACACCGACACAGATAACTCACGTGCCGTACAGCGCTACATGGACGACTCTCCCCACCCATGGACAGGAATATCCCCTCTCGCATCCCAACTCTTCGCCCAATCAATCCGTCTCTGCCGCAGTTTCCGCAAGAATCTCAAACTACCGAAAGAAACAGGCCGCGATTTCCAGCGCGCTCTTGAAGAGATACAAGAAGCGCAGCGGTTAGAGGAAAAGCTACTTGCTCTTGAGTTTCAGAGTACTTGTACGGATACGGGGGATTATCGGACTCCGTCTGTTCATCTTGCGCAGGTTGCTGAAGCGTATAAACTTGCTGCGCTTTTGCAACTGTATCAGACGTTTCCGGATCTTGTGGCGTTGCGATTACCGAGTTCTTCTGTTCATGCGAATAGTCGACATATTCCCTGGGAAGAGTGGATTATCCCATTAAGTCTACGGCTCGTTAATGTTCTTGAACTCATTCCCCCTAACTCAGGCACGAGAGTTATCCAACCACTTCTGTACATTACAGCGAGTACAGGACTTCGATACGACACAACCACCATGCTCGACATATCAACATTCCCGACGGATTCAGATTTCTTCACTGCAGACCCTTTTGCACCACCGCCCACGAATTTGATATCAAGGATGTCACTGGATATTAGTAACGCGAGACATTTTATCACTGGACGGTTGAATATGCTGGAGAGTAGTCTTCCACCGAAGCCGGTTATTATGGCGAAGGAGCTTATCAAGGCGATTTGGGATGCGTACGATTGTGAACCGCCTGGCGTGGCGGCTGTGCATTGGGTCGATGTTATGGAGGATAAGAATTTGAGGTCAATGTTTGGATGATGCTCTGTAGTTGGCGTTTATTTGGAGTTGTAGGATATAATGGTAAGGTAGAAACAGTTCTCAGTTGGTTGTGTCTATGGAAGCACAATGCTATTTATCGCTATCCAATGCGTCATTCAATCCTCATAGATCATTGAACTTCCTAGCCCCAGAGTAAAAAGCCAACCCCGTATCCGGCGACGAGAAGGTAATAGTTGCACCATTAGGAATAAAAAAGACATCCCCGGCCTTAGCCTCAACCTTTTGTCCTGTTGAGTCTTCAAGCACAAAGTTTCCCTCGAGAATGATCTTGGTCTCGTCGTACTTGTACGTGTACGTCAAGGGCTCGCCTTTGTTCACGCGGAAGAGGCCGCTTGTGATGGGCTTTTCGGCGCCGTCGGGCGTGGAGTGGATGTCGCCGATGAAGGTGTTTCCGCCTGCGAGATGGGGGATTTCGAATTTGGATTGGGCTTGGGCGTAATGTTTGAAGGCTGACATTTTGACTGTTTGTATTGATGTAGAACTTGTTCCAGATAGTAGAAGAGAGATGTAAATGCAGTGCTTGCTTGTTTGATGTCAAGAGCTTGTCTGTTTGACTGTAGCCAGGATGAAGGAAGCCAGACCCTTTCATATACACAACTCCTCTTCACTTTTCCCCTCTACTCTATTCCGCATACTTTCAGCCTCTTGGTTCACAATACCTTCAATCTCCCCTTTGGAACAATGTTCCCGGTGGTATTTGCGGGGTGATAAGAGATAGTCAACTTTTTCCTATTCGGGTCAAGTTGCCCGGAGCCCGTTTCGGAGGCGGAGGCCGGGGTGGGTCGAGTACCTTGGCCGCTTGGAGTAGCGATTGCCGGAGATAGTACTTGGCAATGATACACTTGTACGCTGCGAGATGATGTTACTATATCTATGGTGGCTTACACCGTAATCACTTTGGAGCACCATCCAATTATACACCCATTGTATATCAAGAAGTGCATTATTGTCTTCACCATGGACATATCACTATCATCCTTCGGCCCCCACGAGGCAGTCATACTTCTTAGCATCATTATCAGTCTTGCCATCTTAATCTACAAAGGGAACGACATAATCCAATCCCGTCGTAGTTTCCGCTACGCAAGCAAACTACCTCCCGTATCAGCAAACTACGAACCTAGCGACTTCAAAACACCCATCCCATCCCCATATCCTGGTTGGTCCATCGAAAATACAAAGCCTCTACCCTACCGAGCTTTTCGCTATGGACCGAACTACCAAGTTACCATGGGTCTACGGACCTGTCCGGTAGAAGAGTGGATTGAACTTGATAACCATTTTCCCAAATATCACGCTGATAAAGCGGCGAGGATTGCGGAACGTGGGACAAAATGTGTTGATACGCATCCTGATGCGTATCCTGCTGCAATTGAGCTCTTGCAGGAACTTGCAGATTATCTTCCTGCGAGATATCCGAGTCTTTATGTACGGACTTCCGCGGGGATCAAGAATAAATGGTCTGGCGAGGATTTCAACATTGTTGAGAGACCGTTAGCTGAAGATCCTATGGCGATTTGCGCGCGTCTCATTCAAGATGATCTCGCCATCATGGTCGAACGTCCCGACGGTCAATATTACCTTCTTGCAGGAGCTATTCTTCTTGCTGGCTTCTGGCGTTTGTCTGATAAATTCGGCATGTCCCTCTCAGACATCCACACATCAGGCGACGTCCCTCATTTCCGCGAAAAGCTCGAGACAGGAATGTGCAAATTCTTCAAACGTCTTCGTCCTGAAACTTTCTACAACCGAAACAATTACTTCCTCCAAGTAGACGATGGTTTAGCCTGGAGCTGGAGTATCGGCAGTGAAGACGCACCATCTGTGTCATGGAGCACAGCTGAGAAAGACAAAGCTATTGAACACCACATGTTTCGCTCCGAGCGTCAGAGTCTTCGTCGATTACCCAAGACGGGAGCTGTGGTGTTTACCATCAGGACGTATTTCCATCCTGTTACGGATATTGCGAAGGAGGATTATGTACCGGGACGGTTAGCTAGTGCGGTGAGGAGTTGGGATGATAAGGTTGCTAATTATAAGGGACGGGCGAAGTACGGGGATGTTTTGTTGGAGTATCTTGATCGGGAACATGAGAAGCAGATACAGAGGGGATTGGATGTTGAGAAGGAGGGGGAGATTAGAAAGTATCCTTGGTAGTTGTGTTCTGGTAGATGTAATTGAGATCTGTTACATGTCGAACCAGTTGAACAGTGTAGATGTCTTCTTCACCTACTACGTTGTCATGAGTGAATTGCATATCTGAGTCAAATGAGTGTGCAGAATACTGGCGACATTACATTCGCAACACTCAACTCAAAAGGTCCCTCTGTCTACTCAATGTTGCAAGCGAGTGAAGCTATCATAGGTTTACACTTAAATTAGTATGCCAAGGTATAGTGTCAATTAATCACGTCGCTACGTACAAGCTCATCTCAACTCATCTTCCACTTCCTCTCCCACCCAGGAAAGAAAGGATTCTCATCCAGCGTCCCAACCTTCCAATCTTCCTCCACAAGTCCCCTCTCAACCTGCTCCCTCGCCCATCTCCTAAGCGCCGGTTTCGCAACATGCTCAACATGCCACGTCCCCTTATACCGCATAATATTCTCCTTACCCTCCTCTAGCACCTTGAGTACAAGCGCAGGAATATACGGCTCATCTCTAAACTCTGACATAGGTGTGAAGAGCGCTTTAAAGTTGAACACGATTGCGCCTGAGAGCGGAAGGCGACGGAGGGTTTGCCAGTCTACGCGTAGATGGACGTCGCGTTCGGCGAGGGTTGGGGATTGATGGAGACGGGTTTGGAATTCGGGGTCTTCGGAGGGGATGAAGAGTGGTTGGTGCATTTCTAGACCCCAGGAGCCGCGTTGGATGGGGGCGTTTGTTGGCATTTTGGTGAAGAAGCTGTATTTGTCAGTGTATGCTATGGTCTTGGGGCAATTGTGCTTACCGGTCCATGCTAAACTCCATCTTCTCCTTGTAATCAGGCACAGGGGCATGTATCTCCGGCAGTCCAAGTCCAATCTTCTCACTCAACTTCCATCCCACCGACGAACAAATCACACCAGCCCTGAAGCAATAGCGTCCAGTAGAGGGGTCTCGTAGGGTAAGCGCAAAGTCCTCTGGGACATGATTGAGAAGGAACAGCAGTGGTTCAATATGATCAAGGTCCTGTTTAACACCCAAAATGTGATTCACAAAGACTCTTCCATGAAGTTCAAAAACTTGAGGGTATCGTGCGCAAATGAATTGGATGACCATCTCCATAAGCTCTTTACACGCAAGTTCAGAACCTGGAAGAGCTTGCAGAACGTCGCTGCCGTGCTTTGCGTAGAGGTCTTGACGTTGGGCGATACGAGAGCGGTATGTACTCTCAATCTCCAACCAAAAGTCAGGGTCCAACTTCTTCAATGCTATCTACCCATTAGCCTTTGCTGGTGTCAAGGTAAAGTAAAGTTCACTTACACATAGTCTGATGATAAGCCCAACGAAACGGCCGATACGGTCTCGGCATCGCTGCATCAACATTAAAATTTCTCAACGGCTCCGGCAAAGGAACGCCCGACAATGTCGCATAATCTGGAAAATCGCCCAGACGTCGAATCTCATCTACACTAAATCCGGTGAAGTTATATGTGATAGGATTGGCACGACGATAGTCCTCGTCGAGTCTTAACAGAGGTCTGGGTGCTGCGGAGAGGTCTACATCTTCGGGAGAGAAGCCTGCGGGAAGAGCTTGGCGTTGAGAGGGAGGGTATACGGTTGTATAATCTGCTGGTGCTGCTTTCTTTACAGGTTCGGGAGGTGGTGATGATGGGTAGCGTTTGATGGTCTTGCGTTTGGAGATGAGAGTGTGAGCTAGAAGGACCAAACAAGCAGACGCTGCCGTGAACAATGATACGAGCAGCACTGAATGAGTAGAAAGAGGATGGAGAAATTCCTTGTAGGCAATCATGATGGCGATATCTTCAAAGTGTTTACAAGTAGTGTTTACAGGCACATTGCCAGGAGTGTTCTTTTCTTATGACTACCTCAAAACTTGCAACTCAAACACAATCACTCCCACCATCGTCACCACGCAATCAGTGACACAGCGATAGATCACGAGATAAACGGCTGCCCATTCCCAAATCTGGTTACACTTTGAGAAAGGTGAGGGTAACATGCCCATGTTGGGGATAGTTTAACGCGGGGTACGGGGAAGCTTATCGGATCTGCGGCGTGGAGTGTGACGTAGATACGGAAATAGAACTAGATACTGTAGTCACGCAGATAGGTGCATGTACAGATAGACGTATCTATGGTACTGATAAGGAAATACTTTGCGGGTGTTGTTGTTGTCGTTGGGTGGAGTGACTTCTTATCGTGGTCTGTTTACTTACTTGGGCAATAAGATGACGATGGGTTTGTTTACTATTTTCGGATATTTCCATGATCATGCGATTTTCTTGTGGCCGAGTATTGTTTCTGCATCAGTCGGCGACATTGGAAATCTTGTGACCGATTGGGCTTTGTTGCCAATCTCAGGTCTACTTGGCCGAGGCCACTCATCCCTCTTTTACGATATTTCTCCTCTACGCCAAGAGTACAAGGTGAAGTCGACGGCAAATAACATCATATGAATAAGTACATTAAGAAGCTGTATCATAGTTGGAGTGTCTGGAGATTATGTCGTTCCGCCTGGGAAATGCAAAGTTCCAGTAGTGTCAATTGATGTCTAGATCGGCTTTGACAGAATTTAACAGAGTCCTTCATAGAATCACCTACATCTATTCCCCTTCTATCTTTATCCATTACAAACTATAAGCGTAACAGTTAGACTGCTTAATTACACTTCATATTCTCCTAGAAATTCACTCTATGGTGTCCTATCGTGCCGTCACTCTCAAACCAGCACCTATCAACATCAGGTTCTCACTCTGAAATTCCTAGCCTATCATATTACCTGGTACTTTCTTATTGAATATCTTGAAAGTACTATCATATAGAAGAATTGAGAGTTTCAAGATATGTTGAGTTCTACAGACCTGAAAAGACGATGCCAACGAAACAGACCAGTGAAGAAATGTATGATATCAACCTCAAGTAGGTAGAATCAGCAGATTTAGACATTTGGAATCTTGCTGTAAGGAAATCAGAACACACGTTTACTTCAGAGTCATAATCGGCCACCGAAAGTAATGTCCTGGTGAAGATATAGTGCTGACATCTCCACGTGATGGAGATAACATAAACTCCGGAACCTCCGACTTGAATCTCACTTCATAAGAAGAGATTTCCTCGATAGAATCTCAATTTCCCTGTTACAATAAACTCACGAGAATCTACATCAAGCTATAAACTACCAGATTTCATAATGTGGGCATCATTCTTCCACCGCGGATCAATAGTCCTCTCCATTGTGCCCGGCCTCTTCGGCCTCCTGGCCGTAACTAAGCCAGAAAGCATGCTCAAGCTCATCGAATTTCCTATTCCGACAGAACCACAAAACCGAAAGCTTGCGTGTGCTCTTGCACGCCTGCACGGCATTCGAAATATTATCCTATGTTCTCTTTTCATCAACAATGCTCTCACTGGAGATAAGAACCTCATTGCGGCGAACCTGGCTGCGATAGTGTTTATGATGCTTGGGGACGGGTTTGTGAGCAGGTCACTTCTGGGAAGGGGGGAGTGGCTGCATTGGGGGTATATTCCTTTTTATGGTGGCTTTATCGCTGGGCTGTTGTATGCTGAGTAGGAAGATCTAAGCTTGAGACTTCAGATATTTACATCATGAGGTCTGATACGTAGGGTAGGCATATCCATGAGCAAGGCTAGAGATTTAGTGTTGGAAAGTTCTTGATTTAGCTTCTACAGATTTATGAATCAAGTTGCTTAGTGCTACAGGGTGTGCATAGATGGGCATAATATTCGGTGGCAGCATTAAGAGCCCAGCCCAAGGATCAGAATATTTCTGCTACTCCAGATCCCTATCGACCTACATAATTATTCGTGCTCGAGATCGGAAACCATATTCAATATGGAAGTTCATGGCTGGCTGTTTCAACGAACACTGCTATCAAGCTCCTCGTCAATCAATCTACTTTTCATGACTCTACATACTGACGAATACATTTACTAAAGCGAAATACCATGCATATGCCAAGACGATATGACTCGTCTCTAAACTCGGCCAACTCAAATAGCGAATAGTTGAGCGGCCTGCTCGTAACGCTGCAATCCACTCACGCATGGACTGCTATATGAACTCAACCTCCCGAAAGTGGCTTTCTTACAATAATCACAAAGAACCGTGCCCAGTGATCAATATCCGACAACCCAATAGCTGGGCTCTTGTCCAGCCTGGTCCAGCCCGTTTGACTCAGACAGCAAACAGCGTTACATCGACATTATGCGTGCTATATATGATGCTCCAATGTTGTCATTCGTTCAGCTTACTCTCTTGATACCCAACAAGGCTTTGATGGACGCCCAATCTATCATGCTAATGCAAGAGAATGATCTATATGCAGCCGCCGTACGCCAAGTTCCTATTTTCAAGCACGGGCTTTGTTGTCCGACACCATTGAAATATTCTCCGTTTTCAATGCTACTTTGTGAGTAGGCCACGGAAGGACCTCCGATATCATAAGGCTGGATGAAAATCACAAAGATAGGGCTGGTGAATTACTCTAGTCAGTAAGTACCCCAATACAGCATGCCACAGCAGAATGAAATAAGACTAGATACCATAATGTCGTCGTGGAATAAGTTCTTACTGGTGTGAATATGAACTGATTTGTTTCATCCTCAATTGATATCTCAATTCCCATAATTGAGCCTCATGTTTTGAGGCAATACAAACATCATGTTTCAGGCAGAGTCCAGGCCTTTGAAAGTGTCGAGAATAAGACAGCACATATGAACAAGGTATTACATCTGAATGATTCATGTTACCTGTCAGATAGTGGGGGTCACTCACCCGATCAAAGCTGAGCTGACATGCATGACCCTGCAGCGGCCTTTTCCGGATTTCCCCTGAGTACCTTACCGCAGTTTACCCATTGGAAAAATGAGGCCAGAAGGAGAGTATATGAATCTGGTTAGTAGTCTGTATCATGTACCACGACAATGTATGTTTCACAGATGATGATTTGATGTTGGTTGCGCCGCTTTAATCTCCCTGCGTTTAGACGCCACACAACATGATATGATTTGATATTCACTTGACTCAGCCGCACTGCAGCATGTATTCGCTCACTGTTATGTCATGGAGAAGACACTCGGAGGCCGATGCTCCGAGGCTCGGAGTGAGACAGTGAGGACCAACAATCAGGCCATATTTCAGTGAGGGAGAAAGTAACAAGATGATGCTATTCCGAACGCCTTATGATAAACCTAAACACCGTAAACCTGATAGAATACCTCCAACCTGACCCGATGTCTAACAATTTGGATGATGAAGAAAATAAAATGAAAATCATGATGCGCCGCCGTTGTATTTTGTATCCTTTTGCCAAACTTGGTGAACATCTTGGGAAAACTGCGCCGTCAAATCACGGATTTTACTGCAAACAATTAGTATTGATACGGCAACATGTCGTGTGATCAAACATACCAAAGTTTGGATAAATCCATATCCATACTAACAACAGTAGACAAATCCGATAAATGATTGTTGTTCAAAGCCTGTTCATGTGCGTCCACGACAGCTTGTTGAACCTGTCGACTCTCCACCAACGCATCCGTCATTTGCGCCCATGTTTGAGCCGCTTGCATAAGGTATTCACCAATATCGCTGACAAGATTCTGTGATTGTTCAGGTGAAGGCGAAGAAGCAGATGAAGAGGCAGGAGATTCTTGTTTGGCCATTGCTTGGGAAGTAACTTGAAGATGTTGAAGGAGGGTAAGAAGTTGCTGTGTGTCGTGGGGACGTATCACGGGGGCAGTGTTTGGGGTCGTCATTGATTCTGCGCCGTTGAAATACAGGGGGAAACAAATCCAAGCGTGATTGTATAACCAAAGAGGAAAAGGATGAAAATAAATCTCCGCGGCAGAGTGAGTGGGAAAGGTTGCAGTTCAAACACGGGATAAGACGAATTATTAGTACCTCTACTGGTTACAAGGAATGCTGATCGTAAAAGGGCGAAACGCCCGACACTGTCTGAGCGGTGGAGAAAATGAATGCGGAAGAAAAAAAAAGGCGCAGCAGTTTATTCAGTGAATTTAAAAAAAGAAAGAAAGAAAGTGATGATCGGGAGAAGAGAGAACAGGGCCGAGCCAAGATAAAGTTGCAGTATGTCTTATTTTAGCGCATGAGAATAAAATGGAGACAGAGAAGAGGAGGAGAAAACAAGAACAATATCACAAGAACAAAGAATGGCAATTAGTTATGGTCTGATTTTGCATTCAGGGTGTACGTTATGTTACGTATACATGACAGACAAGGGATAGACTTGTCTTGTCATGCTTACAGTACAGGGCAATTGTCTTCTAGAAGGATGTTTGCAGACACAGACACGGTAAGATTAGGCGCTCTCATGTTGTCTCTTTTCTCTTGTCTCCTCAAGATCGGGTGGCGATGGTCGATTGCGCCGGGTCAGCCCTGTCTCTTCGACCCGGGTACCAGTCCGGTGAGAAAACAAGGGCCCTCTCTTTGACTAACAGGGGTAGGAAATAGAGCGGGTTGACTAAGGGGGTATGAGACTTAAGACTTGCCAAGATACTTGATAAAGGGACCAGATATTCGGAGCTTTTGCCCCTCTTTCCCCGCGATAACTAATAACTCTCTAGGTTAGCAAAATAAGTCATCGTGGGTTATGGGCACCTCAAATGCAGACAACATCTCACATTCGGCAGTCGTGCATTGCCAAGAAACATATATGCCGAAAAACAAGGTAGCAGACCCCTCAAGTTGTCTCTCTTTCCTCCTTCAGGGGCTGCATCGAATAACAAAACATTTAGTTCGGTAAATGAGCCGGGGCATGTCATGCTGTGTCAGGTTATACACAGCGGTGTAAGGCCAAAAGCAAAAAGAGACAACAACCTCCATAACAACCCTAGACTGCCACACCAGCTCATATTGGGTATAGGTACCTATAGATTCAGTGGAGAAGACGCTAATGCACCCGAAACAGTGGTTCGGTATCTCCGCAATTATCCAATAAGACGTTGAGACACAGATCGATTGGAGATTCGATTTGTGACGATAATTGCGGGAAGAAGCAAGTATACAAATTTTTAGAATTAGGGGACCACTCTATCTAGCTTCCTTAAGACTGGTAGAGTATTCTTTCTTTTGCTGGTATAGACGGCAGTTTCAGATTCTAGTGGCGTCAGTTTGTTGTCATGGTACGTTATCTGTCAAGATACTATATTTGTCTATTCATGCTGTGTCCATGACTCATGATCCTTCGCTTATTGAATCTCTAATCCTTTGGTTATTACTTCTCCATCAGATCACTTGACTATACGCCAAGATCTTTTCCCGAGACAACTTTGTCTAAGTGGTGACATGTAGCACAGACCGTGTTTCCACCCCGGTGAGCGGCTACAAAAATGCATGGCATGTTTTCTGAGACGAGATCACAAATGTGATAGATGGGACACTACGTCAGATATCGTGCGGCAATTCACGGCTGCCACGTTTGGCTTTGCATGGGTGGGTGCCGATGCAACTGTATCGATCCACTAACGAGAGAACAAACTTGGTTTTGAGGGCAGGGTCTCGGTATGTGTTGGTTGGTAGCAAAAGCCGAAGTAATATCCGGGACAGCTGTCAGTATGAGATTTGTCTGTGCTCAAGAGATCTCAAACAGCAGCAGCATCTCGCTAAGCCTTGACAAACGCCATGTTTGTATCATGAACAAACAAAGGATGAACCAAACATAAATCCCTCTTCCAAGACGTAAAGGATTCGGTAAACATGTAGCAATGAATCTAGACTCCAATCCATGCAGCATAGCCGCCAGCCGTACTAATCAGGAAGAGTAAATCTTGCGAATCCTACATACGAAAACCAAAAGTAACAAACCGATCCGAAAGTTCTGCAAATTCCAGAACCCGTGTACAGCATGTACTTTCGTCGTATAAATCCCATGTACACCATGTTAGTGTCAAATCGGCCGCTAATGCAGCCAGCCCGACGATCCTCGAATGCAGGGTTATCATTGCCCTCTCCGCTAGACTAGATTCTCGGTCAAACTACAAAATACATATCTTTTGCCTCGCCAAGCGGTCATGTGGTCTGTCTAATCGCTTGGTCTTACTCTTTTCGTTGGATCAAGAGGCAAATTCCAATTGAGGGAATAACAAACTAGAGATGAGAAAACAAACTAGAATGAGAAAACAAGCGGGTAAACTAACGACAAGTTGAGGAAACTAAATTGGTGTTGTTGTCTCTTTGCTAGTTGTAAGTGCAAACTCAATTGTTTGGCGGGGAATGAGAAAACAACGTTACTGTTATCAAACGGTAAGACTCTCAAGGTTGGAGGTTGATAGTGGCTTATTCGGGTATAAAATCTATGTCTCGTCCGATAATAAGTGATTCATCACAAGCCACTTACAACAACTCACCCCTCACCTCACTTACTACAAAATGAGTAAACCCTCAATCCTCATCATCGGCGGCGGTGTTTTTGGCACCTCAACAGCCTACCACCTCTCCCAACGCGGCTACACCAACGTAACGGTAGTAGACCGCTTCGCAGCACCATCCCGCGACTCAGCAGGGACAGACTTGAACAAGGTCATCCGCGCAGACTATCCCAATCCGCACTATGCTAAGCTCGGTCTTGAGACTATGAGCGTGTGGAAAGATCCAGAATCGCTTTTCAAGGGTTTGTATCGGGAGACGGGGTGGATTATGGGTGGTCATGATGATACTAATCAGTGGTTGGAGAATGCGAAGGCTTTGGCAGATAGGACTGGACGAGAAGGGGTAGAGTACTTGAGTAGGGAGGAGATGATGGGAAAGTGGCCTGCTTTGACGGGGGAGTTTCCGGGATGGACTAATTTGTACAGTCCTCAAGCTGGATGGGTAAGTTCAACGTCTATCATCAGAAGCATTACTGACGGGTATAGGTTCCCTCAGGCCAAGCTCTTCTTCGCATGGCCAAGGCCGCAGAAGCTTTGGGCGTCAAGTGCATCACCGGTGCATCCGGACAAATCAAGGCACTCGTCTACGACGAAGATAACACCTGCAAGGGTGCTATCGCTGCCAATGGCGTATACCACTCCGCCGACAAGATCATCGTTGCAGCCGGCGCAAGTCTCCCAGCTCTCATCCCAGGAGCCAGAACCGATGTCAAAGCAGAAACATCAGTGATCTGCGTCATCAAGCTTGAGCCTGATGAGATTGAGAAGTACAAGGACATTCCAATCATTGATGATTTCGAGCAGGGTAAGTCACATATCATCCTTTGTTGTAAGATGTCGAGCTAATTATGCAGGTATCATCTTTCCTCCCGATGAGGACGGCCTTATCAAGTTGTGCAGCGTAAGACTTGTGACCAACTTTGAGAACCATGAGCACAAGGGTGCTTCAGTATTACACTCCATTGGAGATTATCCATTCGATGGATGTCCACAGGAACTCGAAGTTGAAATCCGAGAGTTTGTACGAGACATGATTCCCGAACTCGCAGATCGTCCTTTCGTGCACACCAGAATGTGCTGGTAAGCTTCCCATCACCCCATACTATCCACAACACTAACAAGTATAGGGATGGCATGGCGACAGATCTCAATTTCCGCATCTGCAACTACCCCAACACCCAAAACCTCATCATCGCCACAGCCGGCTCAAACCACGGCTTCAAGTTCCTCCCCATCATCGGATCTTACGTAGCCGACCTCATCGAGAACAAACTCGATTCCGACCTACAGGAACTGTGGAAGTGGAAATTCGGTCAGAAGCCGGATGATTTCCAGGATCCTCATCCGTACCCCCGAAGGGACTTGGCCGAGTTGACGGGCTGGAAGGGAAGGAATGCACCAGCTGGTGGAAAGTTGCCTTGGACGTGGAGTCAAAGTCGTCTCTAGATGTTCCACAGCAAGTCATACATCCCTGTATCTTAGTCTCGTTTACTCATATCTCAACTGAAAGAATCGAACATGTTCTCGATGTCCTGCTGCATGTACTTTACTATAACGAGGTTAGATAGCGATTAAACAGGGGATGAATTCGTCACATGACGGGTTGCGCTAGGAGGTTGTGCATTCGTCTAGCCCATTCTTGTTGTTCAAGGATCTGCGTGGAGACATCGCAGGGCTTCGTTAGCGTTGTTGTCTCGAGAGAAAACAGAGCCGCGTATCTTTTTTGTGGCGATGCTCCACTGAGATGACGAGAGAGGAAAGTTCGGAGATGCCCAATTTCTGGGAGAATACTCGTAAAGACGGAGAACTGTCCGTCTGGGCTTGTGGGTTTGTCCAGGTTCCCGGTTTGCTCGGTGGATCGAGCTCTTTGATTGTTCTGCAGAACAGGATCTTGGAAGAACAGGGACCTGTTTTTTGTCATATCGGAATTAGCCCGGGGATAACCTCGTGTCAACCTTTGCCAGTTCAGTTAAGTATCATGTTTTACAAGGGGCTAAAGTGGTCTTGATTCATCTTCCTACAGTGGCATAAGTACAAAGTTACAGTTCACATCCTTGCCGTTAGACGGCACATGCCGAATCCCAAGGTCTTATCATCGCCGTCATCCTGGACGTCAAACCAAACCATAAGCCATCATTCCCGAAATCAAAAAGCCACTCAAACAGTGAAGACCACTTTAATCTTCAGCCCTGCTCTTGCCCTTGTCCGTGGGCTTGCTCGCACCGTTCACATCACCAGCTGCTCCAGTTACAGATTCATCAACCTCGTTAGGCCGGTTGATTCTGTTCGCATCGCGAGCTGCGGCTGGTATAGGTTCACCTGGCTCAAACATCACGCACTGAAATCCATCAGGAAAGGTAAGAAAAACAAAGGGGGTGCCACACGTACTGTGAGAGTATTCAGGTCGGGATCGGTAGTTGACGTAGTTGACTTCTCCGAGGAGAGGTCGAGCATTCGCGGGTTGCTTCTTGGGAGCATCGGGATCGCTGGGACTGAAGCAGTCGCAGGTGAGGATCTTGAGGAGGGTGAAGAGACGGCGGAAGTCAGGCATCTTGAAGGCTCGAGTAGGGTATCGATAGTTTTGTTTCGTTGATGGATAGATAAAGTGGTAAAGGGGTAAGAGATAGTTGTATCGATGCTGAATAGATGTAGTCAGTGCGTGGTAAGACTGTATGGATGGATGCAGTATGGATGCAGAGTGTGTAAGTATAGAGTTGTGGATGTTGAGGGAAGAAAGGTCTGCGTTTGTGTAGTCGAAGTTGAACGGGAGTGGTAGTGTTCGTGCTGGACGGGGTCTCGTTGCCTTAACAGAGGATATGGCAGTGCCAGATGAACAGTACTAGTGGTTAGCTCTTATAGTGATCGTGTTCGTGCCAGTTCTCTGGATCATAACAAACGAACGCCGCCAGCTGTTTGCCTAGAACACGAGGTCGTGAATAGGGGTCAAATTTCAAAATAGCAACGGCAGCGGACGAATGTTACCAACGGTTATCAGAATAGAAATCGCTCCTGGATGCTGTGTATCTGTTCAGTTTTATCGTACAGGAATATATCAAGGATTGAATTCTGTCGAGCCGCGAAGCAAAATGGTTAACGGAAATTGGAACTCATAGTGCAACTAGAACCTAAGTATATCTCTTCGAACGCCGGAGACAGGTTGTACCCGAGCATCCGTAACCCGTTTGTAATTATACGAACTCAGTTACACACTGTCTGACAAGCACGAGAACCTATATCAAGCAACACTGAGCGACGAACGCTGTGGCTGTGCAAAGTAATGAACTGCTAATTAAAGTAACTGCTCGTTGTGAAACACGATCATGGCGAGGAACAGCATCAGAGTCGGACTGTTCTGTGATTTCCAGCCTGACAAGGTCATTCATCCCTACACTGGATTCTGTGCATTGAATCTTCAGGTCACTGATGATGGACATCCAATGGCCAGTAACCCGTCCATTGTGGACTGAGGTGCAAGTTGTCATGGTGATCAACGGTTGAAAACTCTATACCTAATATGCGGATGATTATAGGTTCATACGATGGATTCCCAATAGCCCTATCCGAAACCTTACCTTACCAAAGCACATTTCTAATTATTCCACTTTTTCTGTCCTCTTTAAATGCAATCCCTCCTCCGATTTCAATCTCCAACGACTTCTTTTGAATACCATCCAACAATGTACTACCTCAGGAGCGTCGCTCTTCTTTCACTCCCAGCTTCAATATGCCTCGGGGGAGTGGCAAACCCGGTCGCTAATATCCCGCCTCTCCAAGTAGGAGGGGATATCCGTCGTATTGAACGTGATGCTGTGTCTTCTGGTAGCCCACCCTCTATTTGCCTTGGAGGCTCATGCATGGCTGTTCAAGGAGGCGTCAAGCTCCGGATTCTTGGTGTTGGGGCTTCGATCACTGTTGGATATGGCCCTGGGACGGATGGGAATGGGTATAGGAAACGACTTCAAGAGAATCTTGGTGGTGAGTAGAGAACGACAACCCGATCTGTGTCTGACTAACGTTGGGGTAGGGAACGAAGTCGTCTGGGTCGGAACTGAAAAGAACTCCAAAAGCGATATGGCACATGGTTATTTCGTAAGTTCTCCATTGAAGCTCTGGAATACCTCGCTGACGATACACTATAGTCAGGCTGGAACGGCAAAACAATTCAATATATAAACAACCACATCGATCCAGCCCTCTCCCAACGCCCCAACCTAATCCTGATCTTCGCCGGAACAAACGACATGAATAGCAACCCGCACATCTCCAAAGAAGGCAACGACCCAGCCCTCGTCGCCTCCCGTCTTAAAGAAATGGTCGAAAAGATGATATACAAGTGTCCCGACGCAACTATCCTTCTCGGCATGATAGCCAACACTTGCGACTCCAAACATTACCACGGCCAACGCGAGCGAACAAAGGTTTACAGACGTCATATTGCGGACGTGGCTGCTGGGTTGTCTGCCAAGAGATCGAAAGTTCTTGCTGCTGATTTTGGACCTTTTGAGGATTCTTGGTTGAGTGATTGTGTGCATCCTACACATTTTGGATATCAGGTTATGGGGGATTGGTGGTTTGATTTTATTAGACAGGTTCCTGAGGGTTGGATCACGAAGCCTGTTGGACCTGACCCCGTTCGGAAGTCATGATGAGTCTTGATAGTGAGACTCATGACGGAATAGAACTCCTGGATTCATAAAAGCGATACTGTGTATCAACTAGCCGTCTTCTGGCCAAGAATATCAAACAACCTGAAGGGTATCCGCGACTTCTCAGCTCAACCTCAAACCGATCCACTACAAACTTGATCTCCCATGTCCTGTTTAGACTCTTGAAGCAACCAGACTCATATAAATACCCCAAAGAAGCCCAATGAAGCTCAAAAACACAATCCGTCGCTGAACAGGAATAAAGCTGAAACTAATAATACTCGCAATAGGCCAAATCTTGTAACCCGCAACAATAATAGGAATCGTTTCCTGCATCCAGTTAGTACACCCCCCATCTCTCAAAGGTCAGGTACTTACCGTCTTGATATTGTTCACAATCTGAGTACCGCCCTGTCCCTTCAACAATCCCATAATAACCAAAAACGCAATCGTGTTCATGATAGCACCGGCAGTAATACAATCAACGAACCACTTCGTCAGGGTGTTTTTCATGCTGAATTTCGGGTCTTTCTTCTGGGGCTGCCCGACTTTGACTTCTGCGTCTTGAGAAGGTTGCATTTCCAGGTCGTTGAGACGACCTAGGTTAGGGCCCTTAGGTGCCGGATAAGCCGGGAATGTCTTTTCCAGATAGGCTTGCCAGTGGTAGTTGGGAGGCGCGGTCATTACTGTTAGAGTAATGAACCGTAGGAGCTGGATGATGTCGAAAGTCACAGGACGCTTAATGGTCAGTTTGAGTAGATTCCTTGATATGAGCTACTCACATTCTGTTGACGAGCTTCAATGATTTGAGCAAGGATGTTAGAAGCTGTTGACAGGCCAGCTGCCTGGATTGTAGCGGTAACAATTGGAGAAGGCATTTTGAAAATGAGTGACTCAAACAAAATAGCAAGAACAAAAAGCAGGGGTTTGATGGCAATTCGATTGATGTTGTTCAGCTGTCGCGTCAGCTTCAGCTTCGAGATTAGATGAGAATCTTGAGGTGGAGAGCTTCTCACGTGCGCTCGGGATAAGTAAGATCCGCGCACTTGTTACCCCTTTTCATCCCTTGCAGATACGAGACATCGATGGAGGAAATATGAAGATTTTGGAATTTTGGTAAGAAAAGCAGTAATAGCAGTCGCAAATCCCATCTTCAAAACGGTGGGAGACTTGTATCGGGGTTGTGTCTTCTGCTCGACTGTGATTGGTCCATCAACCTAACAGACGACATCTAGGAATGGAATCCTAGACATCCTTCCGAATTCCGGGTCCAAATAGAACAATTTAGTTGCGAAGTCTGACAGATTAACGATTCTTAAGGTCACATGTTTACTTGAACTTGAAAAGATCGCTTGTTCAAGAAACAGGTCGCTGTTCCTTGGTATATTCTCTGACTACTCGTCTGAGCATGTAACAGGGACGAAGTGACACATGTCGACCGAAAGGTATTTAGACATAGCCTGACGATTCCAGTATTTATTGGTTGTTTATCGGTTCATCATCTTGGTGTATTTTGCTAACGATGAATAATTTTATCTTCTGAGAGCCTGGATGGTTTCAAAACTATCTCACACTAGTTTCTTGGTATAATGACATCTTGACAAATAAGAACATCTTGTTGATATAGAAAGGTTCGAGGACATGTCACATACTGGAGATGACTTTGATGGACGGCAGGACTTTGGCCGTTTTCAATCATTCTGTGGTGGTTCGAAAAATGGTGGGCAACGAGGTCTTCAATCTATCGTCGAGAAAGCCCACCGAGAAATTAGACAGAATTTCTATTGCTTCCGTTGCTGATAATCAACACCATCCAAGTCTATATCCCAAAAGTTTGAGATACAATGCCAGAGGGTCCATACGTAACTAGGTAGCACACCTCCCCTATGAAGAACAGGAGGTTGAATCTTTGAAATGGCCATATTCATAGCCATTCAGTCAACTCATGCTTGGTACTTTGATATATTTTCTAGCTTGAGCCATTTACCTAAATAATAGTACCTTCGAGAAAACAGTGCAAAGTTCGTTCATTGGCCGTTGAGCCTCATGCTCCTGCAGCTATCCGCTCCCGTTTCGAGTTTTGCTCGAGCACCAGATACGCGTAGCCCTCCAGATCATTAATTCATCTATTCCTTATTGCTTTACTATGAAGTTTCCGCTTGTTTGGTAGACTGTTCGGGCCCTTCCACAGAACTTGGCACTAGTTCATGCTGCCTACCAAGCGAGTTCCCAGACGTCTGCCAGTGATCTCGCAACGCGCTCGATAGCGGGCGTTACAGACGCGTCGCTGCTGCGAACATCTTGAAATCTACTCTGCGTACTTCGCAGTGCCAGAGGTGTATAAGGTCCCCCCTTTTTTTCCCCGTCCAACTTGGAACTTCTTTTCCTTCAACCACTTACCACACTTCACACCCATCACTCTACTTATCATCACCACACTTCACCAACTACCTCGCCTACCACCTACTACACATTACACACAACACAACACAAGCCAACACACTATCAACATCCTGAACCAACCTAACATTATCTCACGAACATCTCCCACACGAACATCTACGCCTAGCAAAATGCCTGCCACAAACAACACCAAGTCGACTGGCCGCCGCCCGTCGGCTGCTCTCGGAAACTGCGGTAATGATACCGTAGATAGATCCAAGGACACTGCGGTCACCCGACGCCAGCAACGCCAGAGACACCGAGAGAACATGCGCCATCAGGCGGAGGTTGCACCCTACCTTGGCCTCTCTGACAGTGAAGATGACAAGGCCGATGAGAAGAAGGAAGCCATGGAAGAGACCACCGACCCCAAGGATTCTGAGTCAAAGTAAACTCCTTCCTTCACGGCGACCAGGAACGAACGAGACCTGATGACCTGATGGAGGAATCAGTTGTCAATGTTATTGAGTGCGACTTGAGATGAATTTTGCGAGGATACCCGAATTGTGAGAGAGAATATGACGAGGACTTGGTGAGCAGATGCGATAGTGAAGGATTCTACGGTACGAAACACCCTCTCTTGACTTTCCTTTGTAACAACACATTCCTTTCCATTTCCTTTGTCGGTATTAACAATAGATAGATAGTTGGGAATAGATAAATCTTCCCCCATTACCTCTTCCATGAAATGTGACACTCGATCACAGTAAGACTATCCAGCTCTGCAAGACTTATCCAAGCTAACATCAACTAGGATTGTCTTTCTATCTTTTCCCTCGAATTTCGACTGCCAGACTGGACCTACGAATACCCCTACACCCCTTCCCCGGATATTTTCGACTGTTATGTTTTGTTACGGTATGTCGAGTTATTTATGTGGTTGTTGTTCAAGCTAACATCTACATAGAATTTTCTTCATTACGCTCATGTCCCCGAAGTCCCCTTACTGCACTGAGAGATTGTTTTCAAAGTTGGAGCTGGGCTATGTTGCATCGCAGGACGAGTAAGTCGTCTGTAAGACGGGCGAACCTTCCGCCGGATCATCTGCTGAGAGGAACAACACATGTTGGAGAGAGCTGGCTGTTGAGATTTGATACTGTATTGGTTTTGGAGTTGGCGTCACGCCCTCATGTATTGAGCTAGATAGCAAGAAGCGTTGATCAGACCACAAACCAGGCGTAAATAAATGAATTGACCTTGCGATAAAATACTATCTGGCTTAAACAGTGAAAGTTATCCCTTGTCTTTGACGTCTGTGGGTGTAAGCACTACCGGGATTCGGACCAGAAAAACACCCCCGACTCCGTAGCGAACCCAGTCAACTCCCCTCCAACACACCAAATTCCCAGCAGGATCGGACGCTATAAAGATCTCCGACGCCCGGACTTATCACCTTTACGTCCGAAAACACCACTCGAACAGTCACTCATTTTGTTTCTGTTTCTTTCTTTCCTGTTATTGATGCTGTTCTTGGCTTGATAACGTTGTTCGTCATGGAAGACTGCCTTGTCAGCAATGTTCGGCCGGCGGACCAATGTCCCAAGACGAGGGCTTGTACGAATTGCGCCAGACTGAAGATGAAGTGTCAGTGGCCTAGTTCTGGATCTGGAAGACTAGAAAAGACTTGTTCAAGGTATGCGCTCTTCCATGTTGAGATAGTATGTACTGATTGAGGCGGGATGTAGATGTTTACGCATGAAGCTTGACTGCCAAGTTCCAGAGATCACACAGCGAAGAAAGCGAGGAAAGTCAACGTAAGTACATCTCCCCTTCTTACTAGATACAGTTATTAACAGTATGTATAGGAGAGTCGCGCAGCTGGAGAAAAAGATCGACGGCATAGTCTCCCTCCTCGCCAACCGCCAAAACCTCCCTCCAACCCCCGAAAGTCCCAAGGAACAACAACCTCGCCCCCAACAACCAGTACCACCTCTCTCACTAGACCCCATAGCTCTAGAAATCTACCAAGGCGATGTCTCCATTCCCTCCCACTTGACCGACAACGTAGAGCTCTTCCCGGGCTTCAGCGTCTCTCACGCCGAAGCCTGCGAGCGCCTCAAACTCTATCAGCGCGACTACGTCCCGCACTTCCCCTTCGTTCCTTTACCAGAGCACATGACGTCTCATGAGTTGTATGTCGAGTCAAGTTTGTTATTCTGGACTATCTTGGCGGTGGTTTCGCCGTTGGAGGATAAGGTGCAGATGGAGTTCAAGGCGTGGTTTAGAAGGTATTTGGCGGAGCATGTTTTTGTGAGGCAGGAGAGATCAACGGACCTTCTACAAGCGATAATCATCTATCTTGGATGGTAAGTACCTTGGGATTCCTATACCCCTTGACAGGGGAGAGCGCGGGCGCTGATGGTGTTAGGAACGACTTTCACTTCTACGGAGAGCTTCAAGTCACGAACATTGTTCAGATGGCTGTCGGTTTGGTCATTGATCTGAGACTCGACAAGATCGCGGGCTCCTTTCTTGGCGGTCCGAAAACCCTTCTTGGAGATGCGTGGACGAGTATGGGCAAGCAGTGCACCAAGGGGAAGGCCTACCAGACTCCGGCCGACAAACGGGCGGTACTAGGCGTCTACCACATCACCAACATGTGAGTCACATCAATTCTCGCTCCTCAAACTCGAGCCTCCTTCTTTGAGCTGGAGCTAACAAGACACAGACTCAGCACATACTTCCGCAAGAGCACCCTCTTCAACTGGAGCACTCATCTCTCCCAATGCTGCGACTACCTCCTCGAGTTCAACGAGTGCGAAACAGACATCTATCTCGTCTCGTTAGTCCGCATGCAACATTTGACCGATCGCGGTTTCAGCATTCTACCGACCATTGATCCTTTCGATTCTACCATTCCGACATTCAACGCCGTAATGGCTATGGCGCTTGATAGCGCCCATCGCGAACTGGACAAGTACTTTGAAGCGCAACCAGAATCTGTTCAGAATAGTCGTTAGTACTATACCCGCAGAGTGTCAGAAGAATTAGTCGCCGAGAGCACAAGAGACGAAATAGCTTGGTCACCTTATGCCGGCCAAGGTCAGCATTTTAGGGGGGCTACTTTATCTCTTCGGTCGAAGCCTTGAAGAGCAATTCTTCTGACACCCATCTCTATCCTACTCAAGCTTGATCAATTACTAACAGTTATTAGCTGGCTTCAGAGCACACTACAACTCCATGATCGTCCGCCTCTACGAACCAATCCTCAGCATGAAGACTTCATCCTTCTTAACCACCGACACAAGCCTCTCTGAGCCCTTCCTCCGCTCCCAATACATGTGGAAATGTCTCGAAGCCGTCCGGACATCCCTAACACAACACACCACCGCCGTCCCCGCGTCTACCTACTCCATCCTGCCCATAACGGTATCTTGCATCCTAGCCTTCGGGACAGTAACAGCATCCCGTCTAATCCTCGCCGACACCTCCCCCGACTGGGACACCAAATCCGCACGCCTACACCTCCAATTTCAGAACGTTTTACAGAAACTGAGCGATCAGTTCGCGCAGGCGGATGAAGAAGCTATACGGCTCAACAGACGACGGCGGGTGATGGAAGATGGGAGTAGTGTTTTCTTGAAATCGAGTTTCAAGGTCAGGTGGATTAGACAGTGGTATATGAGCAAGATTCCGCAGGATGAGCAGAGGGAGATTGAGCAGGCGCAGGTTGTGCTTGAGCCGGCGAATCCGAATTGGGCGGGGGATTTTCAATTTGATGATGAGTTTTGGGCGGATTTGATGGCTGGGTATGATGTTGAGGCGCTCAATGGTGCTACGGCGGTTTCGTAGACCATGGGAATAATGTGCATTTTGTGTATAATAGACTGGAGTTGAGAGCTGGACAAGCTGGGGATAGCTACCTCACTCATCCACCGCATGGTAATTTGGACGCATCATGACAGACTCAATCAATCTGGAACACTTGGGCTGCACGCCTTTTGCCATCAGTCTTGTAATTATTTGCGGTGTTGAGTTTGACTTATACGGATTTCGCGCATCGGCGGCCGAGAATCCCGGGGTGGAACTAGGGTCCGGAGCCGAAGGCCACCTCATTTCATTTCCCAACGCCAAACAGGCCGATCTTCAACCATCTCATAACACGACAGTAGCAGCCATCTGCAGCTCAATTGATCTCATAAACACCTAACCACTTCATATTATTCTCTCGTTATTACAATCATGGCTCAAAAACCCTTCCGCGACTGGGTCTACGTACTCATGATTGTCCCCCAAATATTCGGCATGATCGGTACCTTTCACCTCCCAACTCAATCCCCCAGTTAACTAACACCCTCAGTCCTCGACTTTTCAGAATTCTACCCAGCATCATTCTCATCCCCTTCCTCTCCCCTTAGCATCATCCGCAGAAACTACATCTCCATCTCCGGCGACCCATTCTACGGCCCCTCTTTCTCGGGTGCCTGGCTGCACAGCATGTACTACATAGAACTCCTCGTCCAATTCCCCCTCGCTGCGTACATTGTCTGTAACATGGCTTCTAAGAAACCTACCACCGGACCTACGGAGCTGGCGGGGTTGGCGTTTGGATGTTTAACTGCTATGGGGTCTGTTGCTTGTGTTGCTGAGTTGTTGAGTATGGGTGGGGATATGGTTAGTGAGAGTCAGAAGATGAGTTTGGCTTGGGGGACTTATGCTCCTTATGCTGTTCTACGTAAGTTTCGTTACTCAAATATTTGATGTGTTGCTAATGATTATAGCTGGGATTATGGCGGTGGATATGTATATGAGACTGTTGCGACGTGTGAGCGGCGATGTCAAGCCCAAGACACAGTAATCACGAGGACAGATAGAGGGACATTTGATGATACACTGCCAGGCGAATGTACTCCCCGGCTACTTTTCACATTACAAGCTCTAAAGAAAAAGAACCCATATCCTCCGACTCCATAAATGCATCATACATAGATCTAATCCGATCTCTTATTCGGCTTTGAATACCCCCATCCATTCCCAACAGTACCAACCCCATATCCCAAAGGCGTCGCACCACCAAGCGCCCGTCCTTTAAGTCGTCTCGGCAAAACGACACCCATAGTATACATACCCGCAACAAGCACACCCGCGCCGAACGAAACAAGACTGTAGAACACAGTACTAGCATAAATATGCCCTCCAAGACCCTGCCACTCCACCTTGCCCTCCGTTTTGGGGAGTGCAGGCGTAGGAAACCATCGCACTGAAAGCACCAACGGTAGCGGATCACCAATAACTAATTTTCTCGTATGTGAGCCCTGCAAGTGATGCAAAGGACTAGTACTGTACGCAATCGCAGAATCCAACACACCGCTATCATGCGGATGCGCATGATGTTTCGGCGTGCTATGCAGCAAGACATTCATCTTGGTGCTGATATGAATATGGCTAAGCTGCAGTGTACCCGCTAGAGCAAACACCACGGGAACGTACTCCCTCGGGGGAGCTTTCTCGCCTACGACTTCGACTTCAGCGGCTGGGCGGGACGGAACGCGGCAGGACAGAGGCGCATCGGAGTGGATGTAGAATTCGAGGAGGTGGAAGAAGGGATCGTCGATCATGGCGATTGTACAGTTGACTTCGCCTTCTTTTCCGTAGTTGAATTCGAGGGGACGACCGGTTTCGTTGCATGTTGGGAAGGGTTTCCATTCGATTTCGTGTTTTTCGTTTTCGACATGTTCGCCAGTCTCACTATTCTCTGCATCAGCACTCTATCCAATCATTTGTTTAACAGATCAACATACGAATTACGACTCATACACTCAACGGGTATGGGAGCGCCGTAGTGATACGAAGGAAGCGCATCTTCTCTCGATGGTGTCGCGGCGACTAATGCGCCGAGGGCGAGGAGGGTCCATGTAGAAGCGATCATGATGGCGATTTATCCCTCTTGTAATTGAGAGTCCGGATTGAGCATACACGTCATAACATGGCGATAAGAAAGAAAGAAAAGTAGCTCGTCCCCCTCTTCTAGTTGTGGTGATTGAAGCTCAGGTCGAGGCCATGTGGAGATAAGCTAACAAGTTCCCCTTGGCTGGATGTATCACGTGTCACCTTCATTCCTTGCCAAGGGGGACTTCAAAGGGGGCTTATCAATGGATCCTAAGAACATTTAATCACAAGGGACTTTACAGATACACTGATGTTTTGTAGAGTCTTTGTTCTGAATCGACGGGGCCTTTGTGAAAAATTGGCGAGAACACGACTCTTGCAGGTCCCTGCAGAAGCTATCCACGGATGCTGCAGGTTAGCCACCACTTTAGCAACAATTTTAAAGAACAGGATCGCAGACAAGACCATCAATTGACCTGCATATCAAATCTCAAGTCTTTTCTGTGTTGGTATATTAGTACTGGAAATGGAGAACAGATCTGAGCTAGGTATCCTTCTTTATCCAATTTGTTAACGCCAGAACGTCAAGTTCAGGCTCCCATCCCTATCGTTTATTACCAGTGTACAACTTGTCCTACTCAACCCTTCCAGTCATAACAATCACCTTGTACTCAATCTCCCACCCCTTGCCCTGATACTTCTCCTCCAAATGCTTCCTAACCAACTCCTTAACCTCATTCACATCATGTTCCCGTCTAACCTCCTCACTCCAATAAGCATTCATCAACCACCCCATCATCATCCCAACCTGCAACACATACTCTTCCGCACTTCTCAAGTAGTACTTGTCGTGATCAACAGTAACTTTAACATCCTGGAAGCCTTGTTCTTCGAGATGATTCTCGATCCAGGCGGGTGATGTCCAGTCGCCTTGATCGTGCATTTGCATGGGCGCTACGTCTGGCAGAGGCGCTGGGAAGGGGAAGGATTCAAAGGCTGTACGGATATCAGGGTACCAGAATGTGTTTTCTGAGTGGAATGTTGTTGCGCCGAAGATGCCGCCTGGTTGGAGGATGCGTTTGCAGTCTGAAGTGTCAGTTTTGCTCGTAGATGTACCGGAGAGTGGTTACTTACCAGCAAGCACAGCATCAGGCTTGGGAATAACGTGAAGTGCTAGACCGAGACCAACATGCGTAAACGAGTTCTCTGGCAGCCCTGTGTTCTGTACATTTTCGTTAGTCTCCGATACTACACGTCAAAGAGTCAACTTACTGTAGCGTCCAACTTCTTAATCTCAGCATTAACCCAACCCTCAGTGCCATGTCTCTTCTTCGCAACACCAAGCATTCCATCCCCAACGTCAGCCATCAAAAAGGTACTCTTCTCAAGAACATCCTTAGACAGGATCTTCTGAACAGCATCCGTCAAAACACCAGACCCACAAGCACTATCCAAGAACTTGACAGGTGTAGTCATATTCTCTGAGATTCCCATTTGGGGAGGCAAGTTTCTGATAAGTCTGGGCATGAGAGTCTTTGAGACGTAGATCATTTGTTCTTCGAAGTTGTCTTTGTCCTTGTTGGCGTAGAGGTTTTGGAGGGTCATGAGTGCGGGATCGACGGTGGAGGAAGCCATCTTTGCTGTTTTTGTTGCAAAGGATCTTAACATGAGAATGAATTGTGTTGTTGATACTGCTTTTCGGTGGTTGTGATGGGGATATTTATATATACGAAGTATCCGAAAAGTCGCCGCACGGAGACTACATCGGAGTGTTCATCAAGGTATAATAGAAATGGGAAGAAGACTGATAATTATTAAGCCAGAATGCAAAGGAATTTAATGTGATGGTTCTCTATCAGATCTATTCGTGTAAGATGATTAGGTATATATGTTTTGGTCGAATTTCTGACAGTCCCATAACCTAACCCAACAGTCTAACCACCCTATAATGATACAAAGGATTAATAACGAACGAGTATAACCTCCTTTCAACATTATATAAAGACCGTTTACCAACCCATTCTATATATCCCCTCTTTTCTATAATTCCTCCCAATCTATAAAACGACCGAGAAGTGACTCCCCCCATTACTCCAAGTATCTAACCCAAGTCTTGCCAGACCACAAGATACAAGAAGTCGAATTTTTGAAACCATACCGGACGCCGGATCATGTCGAGTATGGGCGACCAGAGCCTCGAGAGATTGATGCTTGTAGTTGTGGTGAAACTCTGAGGGTGGTCTTGAACGTGGTGCCCAGCGAAGCAATGTTGCTAATCGCTGGGTGAAAAGCACGCCGGAGCGTGGTAAACGTATGTAATAAGCATCATGGTTGATGAATTATGTTGTAATCGTTGATGTGTAAAGTTCTCATCGTGGATGGTCGAAGTTGTCGTGCTAGTTGACAGTATATCTTGCCATCGCTGTGGTTGATGCTTCATCTTGTCATCGCCGATGTATATAAGTCGTATTAAGTAAGGGAGTCCAGCTCCAAGAAACAAAAGAAAGAGTATATAGGTCCCAGACCATAGTGAAAGTAACGTCGTCAAAACAAAGAGATAGTCATCAAGACTGAGGCAACTGGACTGAATACTGCCTCACCATCATCCCAAACCTCACTTATATATCCAACATCCTCACAAGCACCCCCACAGTGCCATCTGCGTGAGGCCCATTCCAATAATGGCGTGTCACCTTTTTTTCGCCTAACTCTCACGTCCTTCCCAAAGTGAGGCGGGCAACATATGCAGGCCTCACCCACACCTCACCGCTGCCAGCAGATAGGGCGGTAAAAAACGCAACGCTGCGGTCGCCTTATGACAACGCTGGCACAATGACTGGGTATTGTTGCAGTGACTGGCCAGCACCTGCAATGACCGGGTATTGTTGCAGTGACTGGACATCACCTGCAATGACCGGGTTCTGTTGGACAGCAGGGCCATTCTGGACAGCATCTTCGATGACAGGGTGCGAACTGCTGTGGACAAAACTGCCCTGCATTGGCGGTCAACACTCGAGGAGTCATAGATACAGCGCATATTCTTCTGTTGCCATTTCTTTCCATTCTTTTCAAGGGGCGCCTACGATACCCCCCATGTCTTTAATAATTACAATGTAAAAAAATAAAAAACCTTTGAACCTATACAGTACAACGCACCCGTTTGGCGCCTATAGCATATTCATCATCCCAAAACACTACTCAAAACTCATCTCGAATTTCTTTGATCAAACCTCTAATGCGTTGTTTCCGTCACTTATGCAAATCTGAGACTTCCTGTAGGCACCCGTTGCGAAAGACCCTCAACCTCTTGCTTCAGTCCCTTGAGCACCCGCCTGACATCGGCCAGGTCTGCACCGCCGGCGTTGTTGCCATGTCCGGGAGGAGGCAGGGCGGCGTCGCATCTCTTGAGGAGGTCGGCTACAGAGGGGCCAATGGCGCCGCCCTTGCCTGCACCACCACGTCGGCGGGCTTCGGCCACCCAGTCGCTAACAACATAAACAATAAGCTCAATCATGCGGTTTCTTACGGATCCGCTGAAACCGTAATCTTGGCTATCGAAAACACCTTCCAGCACTCGGACAATCATGTCATGAGAAACACCCAAGGTGAGGAACAGCTGGACTGGCCAGGTAGGATCAGCACCAATTGTGGCATCTTGTTGTTGCGCCACAGCGTAGCGGCAGAGTTCTGGTAGGAGGTCTTGGATGGGGAAAATGAAGCTGTCGAGTGATGTACGGTGGGCAATGTTTTGGATCTTGCTGGTGACGGCTTCGTAGGGTAGGGGTGGCGAGGGCATGCCGGGTTCTGACATCTCCAGACGAGACATGACTTCATCGTGTGTCTGCTGGATCAAGTTGTTCCAGGTACCCGAAATCGTCATATGGTTACGGTAATCAGCCACATGGTAAATAAGCAGACAGAGGTCGTAGTAACCGGCCTGGTCGGCGTAGTCATTAAACAGCTAATATTTGTCAGTAAGGGTATGTGTGAACTGGGTTATGTGCAACTTACCTCGGAGAGACCTTGAATCTTGCCCTTGAGAGCATCCTCAATCTCAATAGCCCTCTCAGGATCGATACGGTCATCAGCTCTCAATCGCTCCAACAAATCATCCTGGATGTGTGCAATCTCGAGCAACTCAGTGACACTGTGGTTGAGCATTTGCTGCTGCTGTCGGCTAATACCAGTTGTAGAGACATTGGCATTGGCCTTGGCCAGACTGAGCAATCTGATTCGGTCCTTGATGCTGATGGGGAAATCGGAGTTAGCAAGTTCAGCCTGAACCTCAGCTGCATCAAAGAATCGGCTGCGGTTGGTGTAGAAACGACACAGCAGATCAGCATGCTCGATATTGGTACCAGCAAGTCGCTGGAGGAAGGTAACCACGTGGTTCGATTCGATAGCCAAGATGCGGTCGGTCCATCCTTGTTGAATATACCACTCATAAAGGTCGAAATGGAACACCTCATCATCGGACTCATTCACCACCTTGTAGGCCTCAAGCCTCTTGGTTGCGATAAGAGTCAGTCGGCCGTCAACCATTTCAGGCTCACTGCTTGATGCAGCGTCCAGGTGGCTCAAGACATCGTGAATCATATCATAACAACGCTTGCGGTCGTTGAAAGCATTGGCTCGAGGGTCACTTGAAGGCTTGCCATCATTGACCCAAGCAAGAGCTGTGTTACCCCTATCCTTCTCCCGTGCCACAACCAGGCACAGCTGGACAGCGCCGGCATAGTACTTGAGGTCGATATATTGTTGGACAGCGGTCTGGAGGTTGGCGAAAGTGAGGCTGCCAGCAACCTTCTCAAATAGTCTGAGACTTTCGTGCAGCAAGCTTCGGGACTGGTTAGTCTGAAGAGGTTGGTCAGAAGCACGCTTGAGCTGCTCTTGGGCCTTGAAAGTGACGACATCATCTGGGCTGCAGAAGCTGCCACATCGGCGTCGCAGGGCGTCGGCAACGGTCTCAACGTTGGAGCCACTCTCAATGTTGCGGTTAACAATAGCCTTGACAAGGAGCTTAGCCAGATCCTTGCCATCTGTTTGAGAGAAAAGCTTCTCGTATGTGAGTTCCCTAAGCTGTTGGCGAGCGGTGTCGTCAAGACGAGTGTAGATATCAGACACGCGCTCGTCGAAGAGCATCAGAACAAAGGAAATACCCTCTGAGATGCTCTCCATCAACTTCTGCAGAGCATGCAGAGCCTGGTGCTCGGCTTGAAGGGCGACCTCCTCCTGGCGACTAGACACATGCTGGAGATCAGAAGGACCAGACAGACCCTGGATAAGGCCACGGTTGGAGTCGAGGAACCTCCTTAGACGCTCCAGGGCTTCTTGAACAGTGCTGAGCTTAGAAAGAGGGATTGTAGAAGCGATGGTGATGCCGCCCGTAGGGGACACACCAGGGGTGATGACTGTAGACTTCCACAACTGGCGAATCAGTCGAGAGAGGTACAGAGCCAGGGCGTCGTGTCGGGAAGACAGGTTGACAGAGTCTATTGTGAGAGATGCGCTGTCAGTCTCGGCCATGGTGGGCTGTCCACCAAAGTCGACAAAGACGGATCGGGCCCGGTCTTCAGTGGCCTGGTCAATCGCACGTGCTGCGCCAGGTCGGGAGTCACCTCCATGACCACAAGCAACAGCCAAAGCAGTAGTAACTGTCTCCACTCGGCCGTAAGTGTTAATAAACCGGCGGCAGACAAGCTCTAATCCTTCGTCTCCAACAGCACCTCGAATAGCAGAAGCAAAGATATCCACAAAACGTCTACGTCGGATGATGTGAACTCCAGTGTTGGTGAGAATCGCAAACTCGCTGGGCGCATCGTCGAACTGAACAGCCAGCTCGTTACCAAAACCCACAGGCTGTCCTGCAGCGGCGAACGGCTTTCCAATGAGTCCCACCGCCTCAGCCCGACTTCCAATATCAATCCAGATGCCGCTCTCGTGGTATTTCAGAGGCGAGGTGGGGACTGTGTTCTTAAGACGTCCCGTCTCGGGTCCAGAAATAAATAGAGTATCTTCGTGTTGGTTCGTTTCCTTGCAGACAAAATCGAGGAAGTATCCAGGCGAGAATCGCGCGCCCTTTCGGCTGTTTGTCAGAGCAGGGGATTCGAGATCGACAATCGTTTCACCACCAGGATAGGGCGATCTTCTAGCGCTCTGGCCTGGAGGAAACTTGATAAACTGAACCTGCATACTCTGGGGAGCCAGGTTGGTCGATGAGCCGTACAAATAGGACGCAGCACTAGTAGCGCTAAAGAACAGTCTGCATCCAGTATTTGTCAAGGCCATCAGATGCAATTTCGCTGCCTCCTGTTTAGAAATGGGACTAATCGCAACGATTTGAACCTTGTCGGTCAACAGACGAGACTGGCTGATCATATGGGCGATATCTCGAAGACAGTGGACCTTCTCCTTCTCGATAACCTTGTTCAGTCGATCGGGCGACTCCATATGGTATGTTCGGATGGTTGAGCGGCTCGAGAGGGTGTATACAAGGCTTCTCGAATCGTCGATCACGATATCAACAAGGTGTTCGGGAGACTTTTGCGACCAGAAACCTCCTTGTAGGGTGACAACTGAAGACCAGCCGGGGTTGGTATGGTTAATCTTTCCACATCGGTTGGAGAACCACTTCTCTTCGGATTGGTAGTAAAGCTCATGAATATCGATGTCGTTGCTACCACCAAAGAAAACTCGACCGTTGGCGGATCCACTGATTACGCGAACTTCGATGCCACGAAGAGGAAGGCTCATTTTCGTCTGGTAGAGGCTGACTGACTTGGTACCGGAGGGAGTATCGGAAGCTCCAACACCCAGTAGCACTATCTCCTGAGAGGTCGCGACGACTAAAATATGAGTAATTGAGGCCACGAAAATGCCCGGCTTAGGGGGAACGAGCGCGACGGCGTGGATAGTATGCGGTGAGTCTTCGAATCCGATGAGCTCGGGGTCAGGATGCGTGTAGTCCCATAGAAACAAGGAGTTGTCAATAACAACCCAAGCATGGTTAATCTCAGCAAATAGACCCATAAGAGTTTGGAGCTCGCCAGCGTTGTAGTGATCGAAGACTTGGTTCGGGATAGGATACATTTGAGTCTTGTGAAATGGGGCCATGGCGGAATCGGTGTTTTCGAGATCGTAATCGGAAGACGCGCCCTCTGGTATCTTGTTAGCTTGTTCCTCCATCCATAGAAATCTTGCACGTACGTCTGCAGTATGAATCGAGGTCGGGGTAGCGTCCATCGGCCTGAAGGCATTGGTTAATAGCCCTGGCGGCCTTGACAACGGGGGCTACATTCTCCGCTCGTGGAGGTGGCAGCTGGGCGGGAGCGATCAAGCCATCGCTATTAGTTGACCTAGGTACTAATGAACCAGCGGCGTTGACGGGTCGCGATGAGCCTGAAGATGGCGGCGCAGGACTCCTAAGATTCGAAACGGACGGGCTGCTCTCAGAAACTGGGAACAGCTGTCGGCGCACAGGATCTTGACCCTGCTGAAATCTGGAAGCAACAGCCGGCGTATTCAAGAATGCGCCAGGAACTGGGCGAACCGGAGTTGTTTGTGGAAACGACATTATGGGCAGCAAAATCGAAGCCCTCGGCGGGCCTGGGAAGCTTCACCAGTTTGGGTTCGTTGCTATACCGATGGAAGCAGATCGCGGATCATCAAAAAGTGAAAGCGACGATTGCCAGGCGCGCGGGATGAATTATGATTAGGATAACAATCCCTCGTAGTCGCGTCGATAACCGTGGCCGTTGGTTGTCGATTAAATCGCGTCGTCGTCGGGGCTTGAGATAGAGTCTATTGCAAGTGTTGCATGCTAGAGAAAATGATAAACAATTTGACGAGAGCTTGGGGAGGCTGGATATGGAGCACGGATTTTTCGCGACTGGGGCTTGGGCGCTAAGACTGTTTTGGTGCAAGGCTGAAAGAGCAGTAACCACGCGTCATGAAATGCAGCCAAATGCACCCAGACAGGATGCTGCATTCATCTGGGTGTACAGTACAAAGAATTACGTTAGTAATATTAAAAAATCTCTGGTCTCTTCAATTGAAGTGTTCTCAGCATATTATCGTCAACAAAGGTTTACTATAAGCTTATCAAATGTTCAACGTCCTTGTTCAATGCGAAACTCAAAGCATCCCAGCTTAATTAATTTCTTCAAAGCAGGCCGCGCCTATGAGCTGTCTGTGTTACCTCAACATTTATTCCTTGCAACAGTCTTCAAGTGTTACCAACAGGTGACGGTGCCTTGGTCGTGTTCCATTCTTAGTCGGTGAGAAAGAGGATACCGAGCCACTCAACTATGGGTCATCTACCCAACTACCACTATCAGAAGCTTTGAAAGCGTTGTCAAGACACAAATGATTAGAACGATGAATCAGACAGGCAGACGAACTTTAATTATCTTGTATTTACTCTTCCTATTCACTCTCTCATTCCTTCTTTTTGTTCAGCTTAGATATACGATATCCAGGTACCTAATTCTCCAACCATCTTCTCCTTTTACTATATCTACATTTACTGCTTCTTGGCCTCTCGGGCAGCCTTGCGGAGAGCCCTTCGGCGGATATCCTCGTGCATCTTCTTGTTGACAGACATGGTAATAGGACCGTTAGCACCAGGAATGTTCTCAATGAACCACAGCATGAAAGAGTGGCTCCACCAAGGAGTGTAAGTGTAAGGCGCAGTCTGGTAACCACCCAGTCCAACCTTGCCGAGAGTAGCCTTGACGAAGTTGCGAGCGTTGGGAACAAGAAGACTAGGACGGCGGATCTTGCTCATGGCGGTGGTGACAAGGTGGCTCAGAACGAGGTAAACATCAACCTTGTCATCAGCAAGCTCAGCAGCAAGAGCGTTGCTCCACTGCTGGAGGAAAGCCTTGCTACCGGAGTAAGTAGCCAGAAGAGCAGTAGGAGTCCATCCACCGAAAGATCCCATGGTCAGGATAAGACCGTTCTTACGGGCCTTCATGATAGGAGCGACAGTCTGGGTAACGCGGAGAGTACCAGTGCAGTTGATAGTGATGATGTTCTGGAGCTCCTCCTTGTCGGTCTCGAGGAAAGGAACGGGGATGCTGTGGCTCTGGCCGACGTTGTTGATAAGGATACCAATATCCAGACCGTAGATCAGCTCGCTGAGGCGCTCGTAGTCTTTATCGCTGTTCTTGGAGAAGTCCATGTCGAGAACCTTGATCTGAAGACCCTTTCCGGGGTACTTGGCCTGGATCTCGGTAGAGAGGGTTTCTAGCTTGGACAGAGTTCGGGAAACGAGGACGAGGTTGAAGCCCTTGGCAGCGAGCTGCAGAGCGTACTCCTTGCCGAGGCCATCAGAGGCACCGGTGATGACAGCCCAGGTACCAGGCTTTCCATACTTGCGCAGCTAATGACAGTTGTTAGTTTGGGGGAACTCAATTGAGACACAAGATGACTTACGTTGGTACCTCCGAGCACGAAAGCGCTGAGGACAAGCTGGAGGAAGCTCAAGATCTTGGAGCCCAGGAAGAGAGCACCAACACCAGCAAGACCCCACTGCAGAGGCTGCGGTACGTTTTCGAGAAATTCTGCGATGGCAGCCATTTTGAACGATGCGCAACAAGAAAGATAAAATTGTTGTGCAGAAGAGAGAAGAAGAAATGGACAGGGAAAAAAAGTGTCAATCACAAGGCAAAGCACCTCTTCTGCCCCTCGGCTCCTTGTCTTGGCTTAGGCTGGGCTCAATTGAATTTTAGGGACCAGTAGATTTGCTACCCCTGACCTGACGTTGTTGAGATGGTCCAAGCTTCTATCCCCGATGACAGGTCCGTCTCTCCCACCAAAAAACATACGTCCGACCTACGGACCCGGATTAATCGTCTTATACCAATTTCGTCCTTTATTTAATATCTACAACCACCGAGACTGCAATTGACGTTCTTCTCTTACTACTCAATCCGTTTATCATTCATCATGGACGCTCTCAAGCCTTTCCTCCCCGAAGCCAAGGGTGTTCTGCCCTACTACATGATCATCGTAAGACGCCCTGAACCCGCTCCCTCCAAGTAAGATGCTGACCACACAGCTCTCTATTATCTCCATAGGCAACTCACTGCAGGCGTACACCACCCTGCACTTTTCCCGACGAGTCTATAACGGTCGATTCATTCGCAACCCCAAGCTTCCCACCAAGACCAAGAACTTCGAACCCGAAGACCAGGCCAACAAGCTGGTTCCCGCTCAGAACGACCCCAAGGCCACCGACCAGTTGACTCCCCTCGCTGGTAGACTTTTCGGCACTTGGACTCTTATCACTTGCATTGTTCGATGCTACGCCGCTTACAACCTTCACATTGGTCCTGTCTACACCCTTGCTTACTGGACCTACATTGTTGCCTTTGGCCACTTTGCCAGTGAGCTTTTCATCTTCAAGTCCATGACTTTCGGTCTCCCTCAGTTCTTCCCCTTCTGCCTGGCTTCCACTTCTCTGATCTGGATGCCCCTTGTCCGCGACTACTACGTCCAGTACAACTAAACGGAGTGCCGTAGTGAAATCGTACGACGGGTTCGATGTAAAAAGGTACAGTGGGGACATTGCATGGGTTGAACATGATGACATAAAAGCATTTAATGGGTAGATATTGTATAAATTTTAATAGATCAAACGGATGGGCCAAACCTATAGATTCTTTCGGTAAAGCTCACCGCCGCAGTTCCTCAAGCGGGCTGCGGCTTGCTCAGGAGTGATATCACGCTGTGGCTCAGCCAAAAGTTCGTAACCGACGAGGAACTTCTTGACAGTAGCGGAGCGCAGCAGGGGTGGGTAAAAGTGCATGTGGAAATAAGCGCTCTCCAACTCTTCAGGTGTTCCATCGAGAGGTGCTTGGTGAAGACCAGAGCTGTAAGGGAAGCTGCACTCGAACAGGTTGTCGTATCTTCGGGTAACTTCTTGAATCGCCTCGGCAAACTGGAGTCGCTCCTCGGGCTTGAAGTCGAGAAGGGATTGGATGTGTCGCTTGGGGAGGACGAGGACCTCAAATGGCCAGACAGCCCACCAAGGGCAGACTATAACGAACGCATCGTTCTCCCAGACAACACGTTCTTGCTTTTCCAATTCCAGCTTGACATAATCGCCTAGAAGATGGCGACCGTCGTGCTGATCACGGTATTTGGCCATTTGAACAAGCTCCTTGCCTGGCTCCTCAGGCATGGTCGATGTGGTCCAGACTTGGCAGTGAGGATGGGGGTTAGAGCAACCCATGGCAGCGCCCTTGTTCTCAAAGATTTGCATATATCGGTATTGCTCCGAGGGGCTAGGGGCAGCGTCCTTGGGCATGGAGATAGAAAGCTGATCAGCCTCAGCCGCGCGAGGGTTTGATGGTGTCAAGTGGTTGGCGTAAATGCGTGTCCAGTGCTCAATGACAGGGACAATTTCCTCGGGAGTCATATCGGGAAGAGTGACATGGTGCTTGGGGGAGAAAGTAAGGACGTAGCACACGCCCTTGACACCCTGAGCCTGGAGAAGTAGAGATTCCAAGTCGTTGGAAGAGGCCTTGGCGTCATATTCGGGCTGCTCTTGCTTGACAGCGCTGTAGTCGTTCACAAAGGCAAAAGTCTTTTCATATTTCGGGTTGGAGTCACCAGCTGCTCGAGGGTTGCCGGGACACAAGTAACACTGAGATTGTCAGACGAAGGTCTCATGATGTGATGTCATGGGCGTACTTTGGGATCATATTCAGGAAGTTCAGTTGCGACAGCAGCCTCTTGCTGACCTCTGTAACATGTTAGATCATTTCTCATATAAGTTCATAAAAACGTACTGCCAAGGTCGCTTCGTGCGATGAGGTGACACAAGCAGCCATGAATCCGTGAGGGGATTATATCTGCGATGAGAGATATCGTCAAGAATTTGATCAGGCATGATGATGGTGGGGTAACAGTATGAGAAGTGATAGAGGGGTTGGAAATATCCAATTGACAATTTCAAGGTTGGAGAGACCTCAATTTATCACGGGCCAGGCTGAGTGAAGCGAACTAGCAAGATAAATAGCTCTTATAGCAAGTCTGGAATTCTGAATGGCGCGGATAACGGTTTTATTCTCGGCCGTGCTTTCGGGGGAGTCTACGGATGGAGAGTGGGCTGTATTCGCTGCAACAAGTTTCGGCTGTCAAGGAATGAGTCTGGTATTGTTATGAGAAGGCAGACACATCGGAACATTTTACATGGTAACGATAACATTCCTGGATTTAACCAACTTTGAGGTCTTCCATCATATTCACCATTCTGAGAGGAAAGTATTGAGTACAATGTAACACAAAATTCATCCCTCAAAGACATTCACTCCATTCTTCATCGTCACTTTGAGCTCTCAGTGATCAATGTGGGGATTAACCATGGGGATTGGCGTCGCTCGTTCATTGGCGGGGATATCCAAGAAAGTTGAGAGCTTCACGTGATCTCGGACAACCTGAATGTGGGGTCATGCTCAGTGACGACTGACTTCCCCGATTCGATACCCACAGCAAGTGCGCTTCAGCCCAGCTCAGACCAGCCCCAGAGTAGCTCAGGCAAGCGCCATAATCAACAACATCGCAACTTCCAAGCCCCTCGACCAATCAATCCATCACCAGTTTCATCAACCACGACCGCATTTCTACATCTTCCATCAGATTTCGCGTCGCGTAATACCCGTCAACAATTGCGCATCATCGAGAGCCCTCTTTTTCGTCTCTGACGCGCCCTGCGTGGCCTCCAGCCCGTTGCTACTCCTAGACAGGGGGGTAATTAACAACTCCCCGGCCCGACATCGCAACCGACGATATGGGTGTCATACGAAAGAAAACCATCTCAAGAGGGAGTGAGGGTGGTGTCAAATACGTTTGCGACGTCTGTTCATCAGATATTACATCCACTGTAGGTACTTTTGGCTGCTGCCTGATCATTGTTTGGAAACCTCGAAACGCGCTTCGGGGATATCCCGGCTAAACTTGATGGGTCGTCATGATGGAGTTGCTAATCATGTTGGTGGTTATATAGGTCCGCATTCGATGTGCCGACGCAGCCTGTAATGACTTCGATCTTTGTGTTTCGTGTTTCGCCAAAGGTGAATCTCGAAATGCTCACAACCCCGCGACGCACGCTTTTCGTGTAATCGAACAAAACTCATTCCCCATCTTCGACCGAGAATGGGGAGCCGACGAGGAACTGCTTCTCCTTGAGGGTGCAGAGATCTATGGTCTCGGTTCATGGGCAGACATTGCCGATCATATTGGTGGTTTCCGAGAGAAGGACGAAGTTCGCGACCACTACTTATCAACCTACGTCGACTCGCCTGCCTTCCCATTACCGAAAAGATGTAGCCCCCACGACTGCGAGCTAGCGAACGAGATTCCTCGGGAAGAATTCCAGGCTCGCAAGAAGCAAAGAATAGAGGAACGACGAGATGCAGCCAAGAATGCGCCAGCCTTACAACCCAAGACGAAACCGACAGCCAGTGTACCCAGTTGTCACGAGATTCAAGGATACATGCCTGGTCGTCTGGAGTTTGAGACGGAGTATGCGAACGAGGCTGAAGAAGCTGTTCAGCTGATGCAGTTTGATCCTGGTGATGGACTCAACCCCAGAACTGGCGAGCTTGAGCCTGAAATGGAACTCAAGCTTACAGTGATGGACATCTACAACGCGCGTCTGACACAACGTGTGGAGCGGAAGAAGGTCATCTTCGAACACAACCTGCTTGACTACAGGGAGAACACGAAACTAGAAAAGAAGCGCACAAAGGAAGAGAAGGATTTGTTACAAAAAGCCAAGCCATTCGCCCGAATGATGAACCGTCAGGATTTCGAAGAGCTAAACCAGGGTCTACTTGATGAGCTCAACCTAAGACAAGCCATTACGCAATTACAAGAGTGGAGGAACATGCGCATTGGGGACCTCCGAAGTGGTGAGAAGTATGAGTCAGAGAAGGCATCGCGGATTCAAAAGTCCATCCCCATGGGCTCCATGGATCGCGAGCGCCTGGCATCTGCTCAGCGGTCTAAGCAACCTCCTCCACCTGAGCCCGCAAGTGGAGCAGCTCTTTTAATCGCCCCAGAACTGCCGGCTCGAATGTTGCCTCCTGCCAACCCAGAGGTAAATGGAGAGACCAAGGCATTGACGAATGGTCACTCCGAGCAAACCAACGGTCAGACAAATGGTCAGGTCAATGGTGTCAACGGAGTCAATGGCCACGGTTCTGCTCCCAAACAAAGATACACGGCCCAGCCAATATCAGGTGTACAGCCCATGTCAATGACACAAGACACAGCCCCAGACTTGCATCTCCTGACACCAGAAGAGGCCAAACTGTGCGAAGTTATCAGACTACAGCCCAAGCCATACCTGATGATCAAAGAACAGATTTTCAAGGAGGCCATGAAGAGCAACGGCACACTCAAGAAGAAGCAAGCAAAGGAGATTTGCCGGCTGGATTCACAAAAGGGAGGGCGCATATTCGATTTCTTTATCAATTCGGGATGGGTGGGCAAAGCGTGATTCGTGTTTAAAAAAATACCCTTTCGAAGATGTGTTTGAACTGGCGCACAGCGTATATGGGGTTTGATGAATTTATTTGATCTGGTGCTGGGAGTCTGTACTTGTGGTTGTTATATAAGTAGATGCAAGAGATAATGTTACTCTGTTGGTCCAGTCATAAGTCCCTTGTGTGCAGTCCACGGCACCGACGAGCTGTACAAGGCCCGGAACATGAGGCCATATAGAAGAAAGCCATGGCAAGTGTTGTTAAATTCCGCAACATGGTTGGGGGTGATGTATGGCCTTGTCCCGGTCCTCCATGCTAAGATAGTCGAACAAATCTGCACCGTAGAGCAAAAGCTGTCAAACACCGATATCCAGACAACAAGAAAAGACAACAACTGCTAAACACCTTAGAACCAAAGTCCTTTTCCTCCCCTGACAAACAGAACAGTTCAGCTCCCACATCAAACCTCAGACCCACTCGGCGAAGTCCACGGACACACATCCCTCTCCTTAACGATCCCCAAGCGTTCTTTCTCCGCTTTGTCCGCCTCGACAAACTTGTTGAATCTCTTTTCAATTTTTTTGCTCACTTTTTTTTCTGCGTCGAACCGTTCCTCGAATTCGTCCTTTGCTTGCTGGTTGAGTTCTGCTTCCTTGGCACTCTCTCCGCTATGGAGACCGACGACTAGGAATACGACGCCGATGAGTACCAGGACGGCGAAGAGTATCACCTTGCTGGTGTAGCTCATGTTGAGGAATCCCATGGTGGCGGTTGGGCTGTTGATGTTAGAAAATGACTTTGGATAGGGATGTGTTACTTACTTGGTGGTAGTTGTAGATAGTTGAGATAGGGCCTTGGGAGTGGTGATGAGGGATGAAGGGCAGTCACTTGGGTAGTAGAGTGAGAGAAGACTTGAGTGGAGGACACTTGGTATTTTGGTTGTGGCAAAATCACTGCCTCAACATTTTGATTGGAAAGTTTAGGATATTATCAGAAAGTGTATTTTCCTCCCTCGTGATGACAAGTTCCAACAATCCTGGAAGAAGGTTCACACAATCCCAGGTATTTCCAGACATAATTCCATGCATTTCTAGACATAATCCCACGCAATTCCAGATATCATACCACCCGCAAAAAAGGAAACCTGGTGTCGAGGTGGTGTTCAGTTTTTCTCGTTCATGCTTGCCCCTGAACTTGGCCTTGACTTCGCTTCTTCGTCTGTTGTTAGAAAGCAATATCACGATGATAGTCTTGGATGTACTTGCCTTCTTCTTTGCTGAACCAACCTTCGATGGCGAGAATTGGGAAAGCCGCGAGGTGGAGAAAGCACCAGTTGATTGCATCTTTGGCCCTTTCTGGGATAGACGCCTTGTTGACAAAGATTCTGGAAGGCATTTTGGTAGTTGTTTGTGAGGAAGTAGTGGGTGGATGATAGTGAAAAGGGATGTAAGAACAGTCGAACTTTTTATGGCCCAACCAAAGTTGATTGACTTTGATCGAAGTTCAACGACCTCTGTAATGCCCTCTTCTTCCTTCTTACGCAGAATCCGCAGTTGCATTCTTTACCAAAGCGATGGGAATAAGAAGGAGAGTCGTTGGTCTTAGCATCATACACGAGAGCGATGACGGTTATAATAATGAGTAAGCCTACACCGCCAAAGATGAGGATCTGGTGCCAGGGCTTCGGTTCTCTCATCTTGAAGTGTAGATGTCTCCACAAAATAGGGGTACACGGATGATGGGGTTTGTTGTAGATTGCAATGGAAAGGCAAGGTGACTTTCCGCTGACTTTGGCAATATCTACAGCCAATGATTACATGCCGTATTTCATGAAGGGGGTTTATTCGTTTGGAAGGTAATTGAACGCATCTATCCATGTGATCATTCTGTAGAACTTAATTGTCGAAGAGAATTATCTTATAGGCAGGTAAGTTCCCCTCCTTGTTGAGGATCTCCACGTCCAATGATGACTTTCCGGATGGTACGAGGGGAGCAACTCAATTCTATAATCATTGGTAAACATTCTAGGGTGAACATTACCTTTCTCAAAGACGTGAACACCTATGGTGTCTCCCTTATGAACAGGTCAGTGGCTCATTATAGCGTGATCATTAGCATTGCTTAATATGAAGAGATGTAACCAAAACCCATAACTATTCGGACATATTGGACACACCCATGGGCATAAAAGTGTTCTCTTGAATCGTCTTCCCTTCTTCAACTATCACCAACCTCGACTCCTGACAAGCTATCCAAAAAGGCCCCCAACGCCAAAAGATTCCCGCCGGTGCCCAAGATGAAGACCTGGCAAATCTTCCTAATCGCCTTTTTCAGTATCCTTCTTCTAGCCGGCTGTCTTGCCATATGTGCCGGTGGAAAAAAGGGCCCGAAGCCGCTCCCGGATGAGTGAGTACTAACAAATCCCTTACAGTGAAGTGGTCTAACGCTTGCAGTCACCCTTGGCATCTTTCTCAGGATGAACGAATCCCAACCAAGACGAACAAATATCCACAACCACTGAGACCGAAACGACACCCGTCGACTGAGGACGATCCTGAGGATTCCACTGAGATGTTCAAGGAACTTAACAAGTTTAAGATGAAGAGGGATACCCCTCTCTATTGCCAGTGGTCGTCGAATCTTTCTACGGATTTGAACGACTAGCGCTGAAGCTTCAGGCTTGGATGGGGAGGTGAAGAATTTGGGGGTTTTATTCTGGCTATCCTAGACTTTAGACTTTCACTTCCTAGAACCGTACGTAATCAAGGTTTTTGTTGTAAATGTGCTGAGACCTTGATCCATCCCTTCAAAGCAAGACAAGACCCAAGTGATTCCCAGTTCCTCATGCCGATGCTGTTCATGTTTCGTTGGCCGTTGCATAGAACAACATCCAAGTGTGAACTGCTCGGAGCGGCGGTTAACTGCCTTATTCCTCGTACTCAGTCTCATCCTCGCCTTCGTCCTCGGGCTCTTCTTCGTCCCCATCCTTGTTTCTCAACTGGTTTTTGCTGGCAGTACAGGCGGCACAGAGTGCAGCGCCTATAATGGGTAGGCAAGGAACACATGCGAGTATTATTGTCTTTGTGCCCCAAAACGGCTCGTAAACCGCTTTTTCAACGTGATTGCCCACGGAGGGTCGCGCGGACGGCTTGACGACGGGGTTGACGGGGTTCATCGTGGTCGGAACCGGAGGTGGCTTGTCTTCCACATGCTTGTTGCATCCCCCGGGCTTCTTGCATGTTCCCCATATGTTGTGAGGACGAGGGACAGCAGATGGTAGAGCTGGCTTTGGGTACTGCATTTTGTCATCGTGGTTGACATACGGTTCATTGATGACAGTGCTTGGAACCTGAGGTGGGTTCATAGCCTTCCGATACTCCTCTCCGTAACCATGTACCGTCGGGTGATCATCATTGATTGGTTTATCTGCCGGGGGAGGGCGAGTTGGTCTGGTCGACCGGTCAGGCACAGGCCTGGGAGGCACAGCCCTCGGGGGAGGCACAAACCCCGGAGGAAGCACAACCTCGGGAGGAAGCACAACCCCTGGAGGCAGAGATCCTGGAGGCAGAGATCCTGGAGGTAGAGACCCAGGAGGAAGCTCCCCGGGAGGCAGAGACCGGCTGTCGAGACGAGGCGAGGCAGCTGATTGAGCTCGTTTCGGGTACCTCATCCTGTGCTCGTACTTTGCATCCGGGGCAGGGGCCGCATGATCATGTCCAGTTGAGTAGTGCGACATGGTGTTGTGGTTGTCCTTTTATAGGACGGGGCAGGTGAGGGATGAGAATAAAAGATGAGGAGATTATGATAGAGTAGAAAGACGAGGATGGGAACAGAATAAAGGGGACAGATCTTTATGTGCTTGGCTCAAAGCCCTAAGGCGTTTCTATGTTCTAATTAATATTGTCATTGGCATGGAATACTTTAAGAACAAGATGGATTGTCTCTCTTATTGGCTCGGTGCTGGTTTGAAGTCTGGTCATTCACGATGTATCTTGACTGCAGACTGCGTAGGTACGCCTCAGTTTACAACCTTCAACATCGAAGCAACCAGTGGTTAACAGAGAATTGGTCTCCAAGGTTCAGGGCGTCAAAATAAGTTATCCAAAGTGCATCTAATCTATCATAAGGTGGTCGATCACTTATATTATCATCGGCCAATTCTTCTGACACTCTGGCAGCAATCCAGCAGCTGATCTCCAAAGTCGTTGCTGGCCACCGAGGGACATTCTCAAAGCTACATTGCAACTGAAGCCATCCAAACCCACCCCTTCTCTAAGCATGATAACATTTTTCCGAACCCTTGGAAGCAGTTTCTTACTCCCCTTCGGACAAGATAAATTTCTTATTGAAGCACTTCTTGTTACATTTCTTGCAGTGCCCTTTACATCCGGGGATGCCATAGTAGTCGGTGCACGTAGCCCTACAGATATCACATTGTCCGTTACAAAGCCTTTGCCTCTCCTTCTCTGCCTCTTTTGCCCACCATGCGACCTTCGCCTCCTCATGCTGAGCGTACGCTTCGACACGCGATCGGGTCTTGGCTCCAGGGTCGGAAACGCCGAGAGAGGCCATTCCAATGATCAAGGCTAAGCCGACAACGACATAGATGATGATGGCCCATGTCGAAGTCCAGAAACTGCCGCCCATTTTGACGGTTGTGGAGAGATTGACGGATAAGTTTGGTTGTAATAGAGCTATTCATGGTTAGTATTAAATATGGAGAGATTGAGGCTCAAGATACGTACGAAAAGGGGTTCTGCAGTCGCAGTTAAAGTGCGTTGTGTAGCCTTACTTGGAGGTGAGGCTAGATAATAACGATGCCAAGGGCTGTGTTTTTATCCCTCCAACTTCTAAGAGGGAACGAAGCTGAATGGAATGGAAGTCCAACATCTTGACACTATAGCCATCGCCATCGATATGCAACCAGGTATGATCACATCTTAGTAAGGGAACCCTAATTTTGTTGAGATCATGGTCTTATGATGGGATCAGAGGCTTCTTTAAGTGTTCTATACTGGTGGACAGCAGTTATCCTTGTAACTCAAGACCAGCTGTGAGTGAGACTTTGGCGTACTCATTGGGCGGGCGAAGAGCATATTTAGAGAGTTGAATGAGAGGATCGCCATGTCGGCCATCCTTCCACGCAGGGAAAAGGGGGCCACTCACAGACAGTACTCCAGGGCAAATTAGCCAGACAAATGGCAAGGAACTCGGCGACTCAGTCAACAGGCATAAAGCGAACGGAGACAATCCCCTCTCCAACCTCCTGAAATGTGTGAGTTTACTGTCCTATCTGATCGATAAGTCAAATCCTCTGCCACCGAAGTAACGTGTCAAGGCATAATGACAACTCAGCGACAAAGTTATATCATAGACGCGTCTCGATATCTTGTCTCGTTGCGCCTCGGAAGCTTTTTCATCCCCTCATTCGCTGTCCTCTCGGTAACAGAAAACCTTGACAACAAAGGTACCCAATGACAAACCAAGCAATTATGTCTGTGATGTTTATTATTTATTCATCTTCCCAACCATGTGCTTTTTGTTGTCCTCGAAGACTTGTTCTTCTTCCTTTGGATGAAGTGCGGATTTGAACAACAGGTGTGTAGTGAGAGCCTTGTTCCTTGGCCATCATCTCTAACTTCCTTGCTCAACTACAGAGCTGAGTTCATCATGGCTCCTCTACCTGCAGGTCGGGACAAGATCCCTGCCCACGACACTCTTTTCACCCGCGACACGCTGCCAGAGGAATACGATGCACAATATGAGAAGACTTATCACGAGGACTCAGAGCTTCTTTCTACTAGCAAGCGCGGACTGAATCCGCTCTCGCCTGAAAGTCTTTCAAACTGGGCCTATGATCAACTTCGTGGTCCTTATGACAACCAGCCTCCTCCACCAGGTCAACCCCCTGACTATTGGAAGCATCGCCGACCTGCTCTTATCTATATTCCTGACCACCCGCCGACTCATCCACCGGCTCGACAACCTCCTTCTTCCTATGATCCTGGCTACCCAGAAAATCCTGCTTATGGTCGTGACAACCAGCCGCCGCGACCTGCTCCTGGTTACGATCCTGGGTATAGCCGTGATAACCTACCGCCACGACCTGCTCCTCATTACGATCCTGGGTATGGCCGTGGCCAGCTGCCGCCACGACCTCCTCCTCCTTATGAGCCTGGGCACCCACCAGCTCAGCAGATGCCCGCGATACACGATCCCCACGTCGACCAAACCCCTGGCCACGTTCCGCCTAAGCCAGCGGCTCCTTCGCTCGCAGAGAAGGCAGGGGGCGTCCACAACATGGTTTATATTGGTGGGGTTATAGGTGCTGTTGTGATTATTGCTGGTTTAATCTTGATCCTTAAGACGTGGATGGAGAAGAGGAAGGAGAAGAAGGAAGCAGAGGGCGGCGGTGATGGTGGTGGTGGTGATAATTAGACGCCTTTGTCGGTGAGTATCTACAAGTCTTGACACTGGGTCACTTGCTGATAGCGACAGTTCTGCGATAGTGTTGGGAATGTTTTGAGAATTTTATCATTTGGACTGTAATTTGCATGACTCGTTGATTGAGACAGGATATCTTTCAGTACCGACACTCCTTCCTCAAGCGCTATTCTATAAGCCCATAGCGACACTTCTATGGCTTAATAAACCCTCTTTCTAATAATTCTCCCAGAGATCCTTAACGTACCCCTCGGTCAACCTCTCATCCTCCCCATAAATCTCCTGCCACCCCGTAAACCCTCTATCCAGGACATAAACATCCTGCTCCTTAGCCTCCTCCCCCATAGACCTCAATAAACCATCCCTCTCACGAAGATACTTGAGCGCCGCACTAGGACCACGCTGTTGACTCAAAGCACAGTGGAACACCACCGTCTTCTTATCTTTGAGGCGACGCACGAGCGTCGGCAACATAGCCTCCAAAGTATGAGCGGGAATATTTGTGCAGCCCTTGATATGACCGCCAATGTAATCTTGACACATCAGCTTGTGTGTAAAGTTCAATTTGGTGGTGAACTTACCATTATCACGAACGTCAATCACTGCAAAGGTTGGGTCGGTGGCGTTGACTTCCTCGAGGATTTTCTCTGAGAGGGATTTTGCGGATAACCGCTTGAGTGAGGCGATTGTTGTCATTGTGCGAACGTGTGAGAATAGTGCCCTTCTGGAAATGTGCATGTGTGATGAGTGAGGGTGCAAGTAAAGATGAGGCTCTGTCAAGGTTGGAATGCGTGGAGTCTAAATTTAGTGCTGTGCTTGGCGGAGTTTACCCCACGTGCATGGGTGACACTTTGGTGGGGGATCTTGTGAGGGAAAGAAGATTTGAGATAGGAGCAGATGACTCGAATAAATATTTTTTCTAATCTGGATGATGTTAATTATTCTTGAGGACCGGGAGATTACTACTATGTATGTATCATGTAGGCAATTCAGTGCAGACGTTCACTGTGAGCAAGTGTCGGGGTATAAGTAGAATTGGCGGCCGAGAACATCAGAGACGAAATAATTTGGTCAGCTTTTGCAAGCACTTATGCTCTTTTATTTTAGCTAGCTGCGAACAGGAAGGCTTTCATATATCTCTAGCTTGTTTCTCATAGATATTGCCGTGTTGCGTCCTCCAGCGTAAATCCACCGTGATGCTGTATTAAACTTCAAGACATCACCTTCTGCCCAAGGCCACCGACTCAGCATTTGACTCGACGATGGATGCCTCATCCTCCAGGTTCCCAGGATTTATACTTTCTTCAAGACAACCAAGGCAAGGTTATATATCCGGTTAACACTATACCCAGTGTCCAACAGAGGACACCGGCCAGAACAACTTACAAAGCGGTTCGACGTACATACATCCAAACCTTAACCAAGAACCACCACGTTCGAAATCACAAAATTACAAAAAACATACACAGCACTTACATAATCACGGCTTCTGTCCACGAGATGGCCAACATGATTCTCCACACTGGATAACTCAGCTTCTGTCTATGAGACGGCCAACATGATTCCCCATACTGGATAAAATAATCAGCTTCTGTCTCGTGACGGCCGAAAAATAAAAACATATTCGAACCTTAACACCGACCCTCCTCCTGAACTTGCTAACCTTCTGTCATTAATTCGTCAAAATGACAAACCTTCTTAGAGCATTCTTTTTGTCTGATGCTGTAAATCGATGTACAAATGCTACCCTGAAGATGATCCCTGTCTAATGACGCACTAACGACTGGGGCAATCACAACCTGCCCGTGAATCGCTCCTACCCGCTTTAATTAACAAACAATCTTGTGTTATTCTAGTCTCTTCTTTCCTTTATCCATTCACCGATTGTGTATTTGTTATGATTATCTCTGCCAAGCAAACCCTTCGTTTCGCTAGTACTACAACCAATTTTCTGCGACCGCTCTCTACTTCTTCAATTCGCACTCCAACATTTACCCCGCGACAACATCGCTTTTATTCTAAAAAGATGGGCTCGCAACCAGAAAAGAATGGACTCACCTCGGAGGAAATAGTCGCGGATCTTGGATTTACACCTATGATCAAGGTCGAGGACCCTTGGACCGTTGACAAGGTCGTCAAGGAGATTCCTGGCGGTGCGCCTCAGGAGGAGGCTTCGTCACCGCTTCCTTTTTTCCACATGCTTGAACGACTCAAGACGACCAAGCGCGAAGGATGGAGAAGATTCGGCATTGACAGGTAAGAACACTCATTCAATCTACGGGTAGAGGAATACTGACATATTGCAGGGGAGAGTCTATCGCCGACCACATGTATCGCATGTCTCTAATCTCCATGTTCGCACCACCCACCCTCGCCCCCAAACTCGACCTCGCAAAATGCATGAAAATGTGTCTCATCCACGACATGGCCGAACTCCTAGTCGGCGACATCACCCCCGTTGACGGCGTCCCCAAGCCCGAAAAGAGCCGTCGCGAGTCCGAAACAATGGACTTCCTCACCAAGAACCTCCTCCGCAACGTTCACGGCGGCACAACAGGCGAAGACATAAAAGCTATCTGGCAAGAGTACGAAGACTCTGAGACATTGGACAGCCACTTTGTGCACGATGTGGACAAGATGGAGCTTTTGCTGCAGATGGTTGAGTATGAGAAGCGTGGAGAGGGAAGGGTTGATTTGGGAGAGTTTGCTTATGTCGCTACGAGGATGCATTTGGAGGAGATGAAGGCTTGGGGTCAGGATGTTTTGAGGGAGCGGGAGGCTTTTTGGGGAGAGAAGAAGCATGTTCATGGTGAGAAGGGGGAGACTGGGGGTGTTACTGCTGAGAGAAAGGGTCAGCAGGACAATTACTACAACAAGGCTTGAGGGGTGTTTCATGGGAAGAGCTGGATGAATGATACCAATGATGGCATGGCGTATGGGATAGACGAATGCATGGGATGGGGGTTTAGATGGTGGCCACATAGACGTTAGAGGGATGAGCAATGATTAACGACATGCGAGCATACACTGAATTATCGCAAGACTTTCTTTCTTGTATTCTTTTATTGAAGCAACCATGCATCTTAACATTAGAGTAAATAAACAACCCGCCCGCCATTATCGCTCCACACCCCCAGACACCAAACTTTTATTCTTTTTCATTCATCATTCATCGCTCATCAACTTGCATTTACTGCTCGTTAGGTCCCTTGATAAGAACCTTGATCGCCTCTCCCTCCTTGACCTTCTTAAATGCCTCCTCAGCCTGCTTAAAGTCCACAACACCAGTAATCAGCTTCTTGACATCGACCTTGCCAGTAGCGACAAGCTCAACGGCAAGAGGATAATCGCCAGCGCCGTATCGGAATGATCCGCTTGCTGTAGCCTCCTTGATGCAGAATGCCATGATGGGGAAAGTAATGTCGGCCTTGCCCATACCGCCCTGGACGTAAGAACCTCCGTTCTTGAGAACGTGGATAGAGGCTTGGATGGAAGGCTCAGCACCGGATGCATCGATGACTACATCCGCTCCGTCAGGCAGACCAGCCAGGTCACAGATGTTCTTGGCATTCTCCTCAGGCGCAATGCGCTGAGAGGCATAAGTGTGCGTGGAAGCAAAGTCCTTTGCAAAGTCAAGCTTGCTCTGGACAATATCCACACTGACGATCTTGGAAGCACCGTACGCCTTTGCGACGGCCGCGCAGAGAAGACCAACAGGTCCAGCGCCCATGACAACGACGGAATCACCGGGCTTGACGCGCGCCTGCTTAACGATATGCACAGCGACAGCGAGCGGCTCAATCAGCGCACCCTCCTGAAGCGAAACATTCTCAGGCAACTTAAAGCAAAAGTCCGCAGGCGCAGACCAGAAACCGGTAAGAGTACCATGGTAAGGCGGCGTAGCGGCAAAGACCATATCAGGGCAAAGATTGTACTTGCCGGCGAGACAGTTACCGCATCGTCTGCAGGGGTAACCGGGTTCAAGAGCGACACGGTCTCCGACCTTGAGGTTCTTTACTTTGGAGCCAATCTCTACGATTGTGCCGGCGGATTCGTGGCCGAGAACCATGGGGTCTTCGACGACGAATTTGCCGATTGAGCCGTGGACCCAGTAGTGGACGTCTGAGCCGCAGATGCCGGTGTAGTTTACGGCGACGAGGACATCGTGGGGGGATTCGAGGGTTGGTTTGGGACGTTCGGCGAAGGAGACGTCGCCTGGTTTGTTGAGGATGAAGGACAGGTTCTGGGGGTGGTTAGTATAGACGTCATGAGGGGCCATGATGGCGGGGTAGAAGCTGAAGACATACGCTGGACATGTTGACTGTGGTTTGCTGTAGTTTGTTGTAGAGGTGAGAAAGGGTAGATGATGGAAGAGGAGAGAGGAGATGATTAAGTAGGTAGTCGTCACTCGTTGCTCAATGTGGGATGTCCGTCTCTCTTATATGGATCTGATCTGATCACCCCAGTAGTGTCAGTGTCGCAATGTGGAGTTTATGATAACAATTGTTCGCCGCAGGCCTTCAATCGCAACAAAAATAATCCTTTCGATGAGAATAGCCTGAAGTTATCTTAAGTTATTCTTCTATCTGGTGATAAAGAGAGGACATGTGTACTTGATATACCCACGGATGAACTGACGAGCATCACATGGCCATTCTCAATTTTTCTCCTCATGTCCAATGGCTGTGCTACGGTATCTGCCATCATGGCATTGTAGCTCTAGCTACACCCCCACGCAGCCTCAGCTTTCGTGCCTCGTCTTTACCCTCACCAATCATGAAGCCATGATATTCCAAGCTCATACGCTAGAGACCCGTCATGATGGGAGCGCTTTTCGATGGACTTGTCAATTTAGCCGGTCCAATCTTCACCGACGGATTCCACTCCACTTGACCAACCCACATGTAATTGGGGCGGTTAAATGCATCCGGGAGAAGCCACCAAGAGGTGAGGATAGTTGTTGTTTTACGTATTGTCTTCATGATAATAATTGTTGGATAGACTGCAATTGAAGCTTGGTGCTGCGGATGATATGAGGGAATTGGGGGATCATCACTCAGATCATGAACCAACTTATTCGTTCGGCACAATCCCCGAGGTATATAGCTTACAAGGACCTCCTTCCGAGCGCCGGCTACCGGTTGACAGCCGGTGGTCACTTGACCATCTCGTCTGACATGCAGTCTCGGGGAGAACACGACCTAAATGGAGCATTCAGATTGCAATCTAGACTTTGCTCTACCGGCATCAGCTTGTGTGTTTTTGTTCCTGCAGCGGGTATTGCTTAGCTCCAATTGAGTCGGACGGGGCGGAGATGCGGCTTTGGGAATAGCGTCCGGTGATGGGGCCGGGGCGGAGCGGGGACAGACTCCGGGACGAGTAGGCGGGATCCTGGCCTCCCGGAGCTGTTCTTAAAGTACTTTGTATATGGCCAAAACATAAGGTGAAGAATACAATTGGTAGTGTGATATCGAAGGTGAAAAAGTGCGACATGGCAGTAGGTAAGCATATCACAGAGCTTCACGTCAATATAAATATAGAAAATCCTTATTCGCTATTCCTAATTACATACGCCATTTCCTCTAGTTAAGGTTATAGTGCTCCTCCTGGTGACTAATAGAAGAATGTCTCTTGGTCGAACTCTCATGAGGATGATCGTGCTCAATGCTGGGCTCACCAAGGTGCGCCCTTAAAGCTGATGGAGGTGCACGAGCAGCATCGAAGTGACGGTGGTGCATATCCTTTTGGTATGAAGGGGTGTCACTACAAAGAAAGTGTTAGCTGTGAGGGATGCCATGGGATTGAGGTTGTACGTACAAGGTAGGCTTGGATTGTGAAGTAGAGGTAGAAGAAGAAGAAGAGGTAAATGTCTCAGGAACTCCAGGAACGTTCTCAACCAAAGACCTGACCCGCTGAGTTCGGCCACCCTCGTTGTGCTGTGTCTGGTTGCTAGACTCTAGGCCAGAAGTACGGTTGGAATTGTACTCATTGCTGGTTGACTCCAGACCAGCGTTGCGGTTGAACTCGGACTCAAGACCGGTGTTACGGTTTGTAGAGCCGAATTCACGCTGGTTGGAGCTGTTCTCTGTTACATCGTTGTAGGAGTTTGAGTTGAGGGAAGAGCCAGGGTTGAAGGAGGCATTGTTGGTGTTGGAACCAAAAGTGTTAGTGTTGGAGTTGTAGGACTCGCTGTTCTCGGTGTTGGAGGGGACGAGAGTCTCCTTAATCTTTCCCAAGAGATCAGAGGCCATTTTGAAGGTATTTGATGTAGTAGAGTGTAGTCGGTGTAAATAGTGTAGTAGTCTTTGGTGTAAGTGGTATTGGTCTGGAAGGATTCTTGAGATGCGAAACCCTCCCTTTTATACTCCATCAAACCGCCTCCCAAAACCACTTCCATCATTCTTCCATAACTATTAACCAAATGTCTCGCCATCAAATTCCCCCAATGAAACCCTCCTATTCGACCTCGTCGTCCCCTGCGTCATGAGAAACGAGCCATGACGTCGAGTGATCGGCAGAGCTTGTGATAAGCATATTTTAAACCTAAAATTAGTGTTCCCTGTTCCTGGAATGATCTAATGATTCCGATGGTTCTGGCCAAGATCTTCTACTCTAAGGTAGGCATAGCCGCAATTGTTCGGTGATTATTGCGCGATTAAGGGTACCCTGGTTTAAAGACATCATCGCATGGCTTCATTGGTGCCGAGGATGGAAATGCCAAGATTGAGACTCCGAGGAACGTTTTAGTGCAGGTGAATGTGAGGATTACGTTGTTGCGGATGTTTCGGTCGGTGTCTTGGTTTGAGGTTGTTAGATCTTGTGCTACGAATAATAAGCTTAGATCTGGTGGCACGTAAGCCTTGCTGAGATCGACCGTGATGGTTGCGTGCTTGAAGGTTGTCAAATCACATGCAATCACGCAAGCGCCATCAACTAAGCAACAAACCTGTTTTCAACTAGATAACATAATTTCTGTCTCTCTATCATTCATGCCTTGATTACCGCTTCATCACCATCCAAAGCCCAACTCCCAAAACACCCACCGCCCCAATCCACGGCAAGACAACCTTCGCAGCCCCAACCGCATTCCTCTGAACCTTCGCCTTGATCATCCTCTTCAACTCCGCCTGTTCATTAACCCAAGGAAACTCCACCTCTGGCACGTCCTTCCCCAGAAACTCACAAATAGGCTCCCAGCCCTGTCCCATGCGATACTCCAACAATTGGCCCTCAGGCACCATCTCTCTAATCACGCGATGATGTCGCTCCCAAGTCTCGCGCCCGTTTGCGCGTGCTTCGTCCACGTTCTTCGCTTGGAAGAGACCGAGCATCTGTTTACGCGCTGAACGACCTGCTGATGAACCAAGAATTGGTTCTAGGAAGTTGATGCTGAAGTTGGCCATGCCGTTCCAGAGCATTAGAAGGACGCCTTGGTCAATGCTTTTGAACCAGGGTTCGTAGTCGCGAATTGCCACGATGACTTTTGCATCGGGATACGCCTTGATCAATTGCGGTGCAAAGACAGAAGCTACATCTGTAGTGCCTTCACAATGACCGAAAAGCTCATCCCACTGCTCGCGCGTAAACGGCTTGCCTGTGTAAGAAGGCAAATTAGGAAAGGACGCATCGCATGCGCGTTCGAGAATGTCCCAATCTTGTGGTCTGTCGATTGCTTGGGTGGCATGGTAGACATTTTTGTAGCCCAGGATTGTGAGGGCTTCGCACATTGAGGCAGAGCCTGTGCGGGGGAGGCCTAGCGAGAGGACCTTCATGTCTCTCTTTTCTCTGGATGCTGAGTTTGCCATTTTGATGATTTGATCGAGGTGAGTGTAGAGTGGTAGATGGGAATGTTATGGTGTTGAGATGCGGTTGAGTGTAAGCCCTAGTTAAGGTACGGTCAGACTGTCGATCGCACCTGCATCTGTGGAACACGAATGCGAGGCTGTCAGATTCACGTCGCAATGGACGTTAGGCACACATCACGGTTATACAAATCTGCTGCAACAGTGACTTCGGAACATTCCTGCATTGCAACAATTATTGAGTGATTAAATGCGAAGTTGACCCGGCTGTGGTAGTACTATGTTGCCAGACTACAACGGTCAATCCTATATCCGTAGATCTTTGCTATTCATACGAATGCTTCATGCAGGCAATATCGGCTTGTCACAACTTCAAACTATACTGGTAGAGCGATTCATACACAGCAAAATAGCTAAGTCAGGACAAAAGCCAAGACCAGCGACCACGACTGTATACAACAACCCTAGACATCCGGCTCTCCCGATATCTTGTTTTACTTCAACGCCAGACGTCAATCGATCGGCTGTATCCGTACAGTATCCCATATGTCAAGACACCATCCGATTGGCACTCTCGCCAAATCTCCTCGGAACACTCAACACTGCCACTCATATAACGTCACAAAGTAAGAGTCAAGATTGTTCATGTTTATAACATTTAACTTCATTATTAAGGAACTACTCCTCTTATACTAGTAGATAAAATCCCAAGGGAACTGGTATATCCATCCATCCATTCGTTCATAAACCCTTTCTTTCATCCTCCTCGGCCAACGGTATCTTTGTGGGGTCCTCCATCGGTAGAGAGTATCACGTTCCAGTGAAACTCAAGTTCATTTCTCCTTCTCTTCCACCTTGTGGTAACCCTTCCACTTTTCGTTGGCACATCGCGTTTCAGCGAGGTGCATCTTTCGCGTGGCCGTTGAGCTGCTTCTCTTTTTTTCGTTCCCCCTCTTTCTATCTACTGGATATAGCATCGTAGTGTATAAACTTTATGTTCATTCAAATCATTTACGCCTTCTTCTCGTTGTGGGCGTCAGCGTTGGGGCGCTGGGTAGCGTTGCCAACCTTCTCAGCATCGTGGCGGACGCTGGCCTCGCTGGAGTCAGGAGTCATGTACTCGCCGAAAGTGCGCTGCTCGAGATCCATATCCTTCCAGTCAGTGCCCTGGGACTTGCGAGCCTGGCGACGGAAGAAGACACGCTTGGCGAACTTCCAGGCCTCGATACCACTGAAGAAGAGGGCGGCGGCGATGAAGACAATGCCCCACTCCCAGGTAATACCCTTGTGCTTGAAGACGGTGTCGCTGATGACGGGGATATACTGGATAGGGAAGAGGGTGACGACACCGAGGATAATGGCCCAGAAGAGGAACTGGTTGCGCCAGATGTCGTGCATCCACTGAGTGAAGTAGAGCTTGGAGCCGGGCTGCATGCGGAAGAAAGATCGTCGCTTGTCAATCATCTCCCAGGCAAGGAAGAGGGAGAACCAGGTAAGACAAGCAAAGGTGGTGGCACGAGCCTTGAACACGGTCTCACAGCTGTCACTGTATCGGTCGTTGCATTCGGTACCGAGGTTACCATCGCCAAAGGCGTACATGCGGAGGACGAAAGTGCTCAGGCAAAGGGCAGCGATCCAAATACCATAGACGGTCGTGTCGACAAGAAACTCGGCGGAGAAAACACCAGTCTTGAGAGAGACGGGGGGTCGTTCCATAATACCAGCGACGGCACGCTCGAAACCGAGACCCATGTCAGGAAGACCAGAGGTAGCCATGATGATCCACATGATCTGGACGGGGGCGATAGGGAAGACGGAGAGACCAGAGTCATCCTTGAAGACAAGACCGACAAGCAAAACAATAGCCTGGGCGACGTTGGTGGCGAGCACGTGGAGAATGAACTTCTGGATGTTGTCGAAGATACGGCGACCTTCCTCGATAGCGGCGACGATAGAAGCGAAGTTGTCGTCACTGAGAACAATATCGGAAGCATCCTTGGCGACATCGGAACCGGCTTGACCCATGGCAATACCAACATCAGCACGGCGGAGAGAGGGAGAGTCGTTAACACCATCACCAGTCTGTCACGAGTTAGTCGAATGCATCAAAGGAAGAGAGAGAAAAGAACATACCATAGCAGCGAACTTCTTACGGCGGTGAAGAGCTTCAATCATGCGGACCTTGGTCTGAGGAGCACATCGGGCGATGACAAGAGGGAGGAAAGGAAGCTGGTCGACCTCGTCGTCGGTAAGACCATCGAAGGTGGTAGCAGTCATAACCATGGTAGCGACAGTGTCCTCAGCAACCATATCCATGCGGCTGGGGAGGATACCGACCTCAATAGCAATAGCCTTGGCGGTTTCGGGGTGGTCACCAGTAAGCATGTGGACGGAGATACCAGCCTGGTGGCAAGCACGGACGGCAGGAGCAGACTCAAGACGGGGAGGATCGTAAAGACCAACAAGACCACGGAAGACGAGATCACACTCAACAGTAGTACGGTCAACCTCGTCACCCTTCTTCATGTCGACAGAGTAGGGTTTGGAAGCAAGAGCAAGGACACGAAGACCCATACCGGCGAAAGACTCCATGTTGCGGAGGATCTCCTCCTTGAACTCCTCGGTCATGGGGACCTGCTCCTCGTTGTCCTCAGGGCAGTAAGTAGTACAAGCACCAATGACACGTTCGACGGCACCCTTGGTGAAGGCAAAGAGTTGGCTGGATCGGTTATCCTTCATAATGACAGACATGCGCTTGACATCAGAGTCGAAAGGAAGCTCGGCGATCTCACTGTACTGGTTGGCACCATCGTGGCTGGTGAGCTTGAGACGGTTCCAGTCGAAGCGAGAGGCAAGGACCTGGATAGCAATTTCGGTAGGGTCACCACGGGCGTGCCATTCACCGTTCTTCTCGTTGACGGTGGCAAGGTTGGCAAGAGAAGCAACTTCGAGGAACTTGGTAAGACCGGACTTGCTCTGGGAGAGGAGCTCACTGATGGGAGAAACGACACCACACTCATCACCGCCGGCCTTGAGGGGAAGCTGGTGAGGCTGCTTGCGGGACCAGCGAAGTTCACCAATGGTGGGGTTGTTGGCCTCGGTAGCGTTCTCGATAAGGTAGGTTCCCATTCCAGGAGTCCAGGCACCACGAGCAACCATCTTACCTTGGGTAAGAGTACCAGTCTTGTCGGAGCAAATATCGGTAACAGCACCAAGGGCCTCAAGAGCCTTGAGGTTTCGAACAATGACATTACGCTCAACCATACGCTTAGTTCCGGCAGCCATGGTGATAGTCAAGACGACGACCAAACTGGCAGGAATCATAGACAGACCAGTAGCAACGGCATAGATGATAACCTGTTGGGAGGCGTTGAAGTTGTTGGCGGCAAGGACGATGATAGCACAGATAACAGCGGTACCAAAGAGGTAGATTGCCAGTCGGGACAGCTTCTTCTGGAGAGGTGTGCCGACGTTGACACCGAGGAAACGGCCAATAGCGTCGGTAGTGGTGAGAGTGTAGGCTTCGAGGTATCGGTGAGGCTTAGCAGAACCGTCAGGCTTACGCTTGACAGGACGGACCTTGCTGTCCTTCTTTCGGAGGGCGGCAGCGATAGCACCAATCTCAGTGGAAGTAGCAGTAGCAAAGACAATACCCTTGGCGCGACCCTTGGTAACGGTGGAGGAGCTGTAGGCAACGTTGATACGATCACCAGGTCCGCAGTTGTCCTCGAAAACCTCATCCTCGTTCTTTCGAACGGGAAGAGACTCACCAGTCAACATAGCCTCATCAGTCTCAAAGTTAACCGCCTCAATCAGTCTAGCACGTATTAGTAAGAATGACCCAGTATAAAACAAGCATAAGTTTAAACTCACCGGACATCAGCAGGGATGGTGTCTCCGGTCTTGATTTCCACAAGATCACCGGGGACGACCTCGACGGAAGGAATAACCTTGGCGTCTCCATCACGGACAACACTAGCGGTGGGAGAAGACATGTTTCGGAGCGAATCCATAGTCTTCTCGGCAGAGTATTCCTGGAAGAAACCGACGGTGACGTTGAGACCAATGATGAAGGCGACGACACCGCCTTCAATCCAAGACTTGATACCGAAAGAAACGGCCATGGCAAGAATAAGCACCTTGGCAGACGTCAGTATACGACCACATATTGAGGGTAATGATTAGAGTAATCATGGGAACGGCGGGATGCCCAATCGGGTGAAATGCATATGTGGGATAGGTTGAAGATGGGAAGAGGTAAAATAGTTCCAGCCATTGAAAATATGCTTAAACCATGACGTTGAAAGTGTGTGTGGGGGCGCGCCCAATGGCTAGAAGGGAAAGGAAAAGACCGTCAAAAAACTTACCAATGTCATGGCGTTTGCGACCTGGGCAATGATGATCTTGAGGGGCTGAACACCATCGGCGTCACCAAGATCGTTGTTGCCGAACTTTTCATGTCGAGCTTTGGCTTCAGCAGATGTGAGACCGTGCATGGTATCAGTCTGAAGCTCCTGGACAACCTGATCAAAAGTCAAGGCGTGAGCTGGGCGGCTCATGGGCTCGTTGCTCTGACCCGAGACATGGTTGTCAACGGCGGCATCCTGCGCTTTGCTGTTACCCATGGTTGAGAGTCGAAGCCAGCTGGCGCCAGCTTGATGTGTGTTGTTTTCGGTGGTGATTGGGAGGGGGGTCGACTCGAGAGGGTGAATTAGATTGTTTGTTCCATGCGCCTATGTCTGGGGGATTCCTGTAAGGGATGTATTTGCAGGAAGGCCTTTCGTCTGGCGTAGGGTATTTGAAGATCAAGAGAGAGATCTTTGAGGAGAAAGGTTTCCAAAGATTCTGGACATGATGCGGGGAATGGGGAAGTCTTATAGACGTCTCATCTCAATCTCGAGAGAGCCGGTTCAATGCTTATCTCGTGTTCTCAAAGTCTTGGCTCAAGTCACCATCGGGGTCAGGGAGTGTATAGTGTATGGTTCCATCACCCATACTGGAGTAAACCCCACAATGCCAAGCATGTTCCCAATTTTTCCTTCTCTGCTGCTTTCTGTTCCAAAGGCGGGGGGTCTGGATTTGGGAGCGATGGTCTTGGCTGTAAGACCAAATCTTGGTTGTTGTTATTGTTGAGAAAGCCCCCAGAGTTCCTGCTAGACACTAACAACCACCGGGCTTGGCCGAGCGACCCCGGTGGATGGCCGCCGGGGGCCCATAACTTGATAAAAGCTGATTGGTTGGGTCAGGACCGTACAGAACGGTGTTTTTACTGCTGGACGGCGCTGTAGAGTCGGGGGGACAAAAGACTTCGCACGTCATTTGGGGACTGGGCAGCAAGTGTGACGCGGCGTGGCGGGTTCGGTCTCAATTGGCCTCTCTTAGTGGACGGCGGAGGGCTTGGCAGAGGCTTGGTATTCTTGGGAGACCAGGATGAAGGCCTCACCAGAGTCATTGCTTGCTGCTGGGAACCACTGAACCCGAACTCGAGCCTTGGAAGAGGAGACCGCATGGATCAAAACAGCGGTCATGAGAGGATATCGTCAGTGCTGGTCTGGGGTTTGGGGTTAGATTTGGGGTGAACGGGTCAAGACAAACTCAAAGCCTTGCTTGAAGCCTTGTTCAGCCATCACCTGGTGAGGCTCTCGTGAGGCTCAAGGCTGTCCATGGTGGAGCAGTCTGTATTTTTCTGCAACCGAGCTCAGTGAAGTGCAGCACGGCGCACTGGCCCCCATAAAATGAACCGACGTTAGACGAGGCGTTGTTTGGTATGGATGATGGCTGCTGGTATGAGAGAGTGAAAGCCAAACAAAGCCACCCCTCCCCCTTCTGTTCCATGACACACACCATTTGTCGCTCTACCTTTTCGGTAATTGTCTTGTCGACGAGGGAAGGGTTAGCAAGATTGGCATGTCTGGGCATACATAATTTCTGTTGACCAGGTCGTCACGTCATTGGGTCTATACAGTATCGTCTGTGTCGCTACTCGCTAGTCTGTTTGTTCTTTGCTGACCATGGCCATGCTTGCCATGCCATGGCATGAGGCTTGTTTTTTTTTTCCTGCACGTTGAAAGATAATGTCGTAGTGGTAATCCAACGCAAGCAATAATGAAACGATTTCTGAGGCAAACTTTGCTCAACACCAATCGCACCAAGGGAGCAGAACAGGGCCGTAGAAGAGCCGCCTGCTTATTCTTTCAGCTTGCATTGCCGAACAGTGATTATCAAGAATCGGACCACGGAGATGCGTCGCCGACGCCGACACCGACAGTGATATCGAGAAGAACGGCACGGACGAGATTATCCACAACCGCCTCTCCTCAATTGTCACTGGCCTCTCTCTTCTTCCGTGGACCGGGGAGATCTTGGGGTTGCGATCAGATCTCGAGATATGTTTGGTCAAACCATTTGGCGCGTTACGCAACGTCCTTGTCGAATGTTGTTGCGAATGGTCGCCAAGCATGAGGTGCAGGCACTGCCACCCTTGGCAAGACTTGAAGCTGTTAGTCACAGAGTCTTATCTTTGCCCAGATTTTGGAGGATGCCTTAGCTAGAGCAAGTACCTCGACGTTAGCGCCTCCAGCTTCCCAGGGGTCCACAGAGCGCCCGAAAACGTGAGAGGATAATGTACTAACGGGAGCTATCGAATCTGGGTGGCAACAACCACCGCATCTATCCGTCAAGTGTCAGTGTCATATCAGTCACGTGATGAAAGTCCACTGCTTCTAGAAGACATCCAAGCATGCGAGGTACATGGTACGTAATCTGTCCTCCACCAGATCATCCAGGATCTCCTTGAAGGTGACAATAAGCTTAAATCGTCGGCTTTTTTTCTCTCATAATGGCCCACATTATTGATAATTCTCTTCGAATTCTCTGCACTACCCCCCTTTAGCCGCATCAGCTTTTTCGTGAACCCACGAATCAGGCAACACGTAACCATCGCGTTGCATAACCATTGCGTCCAGCTTCCTCGACCAGAACCAGATGCAATCCTCTACGACTCAGTTCACATGCGCTAGCCTTGGAATGGTCTCCGTTCGGTTATTAATACGACCCATACAATATTGAGAATGCCGTTCAATAGACGGTAAGAAGCTGCAAGGTGCAACTGGAGACGATGTGCTGATCTTTTCCTCCTTCAGAACCGCAGATCACAACAGACGCCGGACGCGGAGACGCCAGACTACTTGTGTGTGAACTACCAAGGCGAGGAGCAAAAGAAGCGCCGTATGCCGCAGCAAAACGCAGCAAGAGGATTCGCCCGACCCACTCTAAACGGCACTTTGTCCTCACAGAAACGGGGCGCTTACGGCTGGCACCAGGATGGCCATCTCTCACAGGCCACTGGCTGGGCTCTTGCTGGCATATGTAAGGCTTTCACGGGGGAAATAACGGGGCAGTCATCTCCTGATTGGATCCGTCCTCCGGATGCTGTCTCGGGGCGGACACAGCGGGGACAAGCCTCCCCACGGAGGTGCCCCGGTCTCCAGAAGGAGGCTCCAATGCGAGCCTCTCAGCGGCGGAGATATCATCTCTCCTTGTGGGGATAAACCCGGAACCGTCGGCGTCGCGACCGCAATCGCAGCATTTTCGCTACGGACGTGAGACAACGCGTGGGGGCTTTGCTTTTGCAAGAAAAACGCAGCACCGAGGAGTACCATTATGGAGAAAGGCCGTCCCGTATCTGCCTATCTCCGTAGGGGGGGAAAGAGAAAAAGAAATTTCTACCTGCATGTTCCAAAAACTGTGCCGTGTTCCAACATTCACGATCCTGACCCAATGGTATTAAGTGATACCAATTATGGTGCCGTTATTGCCGTTGAGTAAAGCCGATTGTGATTGGGATCATTGAGCAATCTTTGAGGCTGCCTTTATGAAGATTCTCGGTACCAAGATTATGATGATCGGTCACCCTGGAGCGGGAACGGCGGTCAAAGACAGCATAATTGAGGCCCGGGACCGGAGTCTTTTGACAAGTCACCAGGGTCCAACGACTCAGGCACGGACGGATTGTTGGCCGGGGAGTTTGAACTGAACACCAACGGGGAGTATCAATGACACACGGCATATGGTACGCTCGGGCTTCGGCGATCATGTTTGCTACTCAACACTTCAGACTCCGGATATCAATATTCAGAAGCAGTAAGCCGAGCCTCCTATATGCGATCCACAGCTGTCTGGTCTACAAACTCCAAAGCGACCGGATCATGGTTTCACTGCTATCAGCCGCAGGGGGCCCTGAAGCACGAAATATGTATCTACCGACTGTCTGCCTTGACCAAGAACTTGGCGATATGGAACTTGGCCGAAAAGCTCGCAAATGGCGAGGTTGAGCTTTGGGACCTATCGTACCATAATTTCGAGGATATGTCTTGGCTTTCAGAGCCCTGGCATAAGCGTCAGATTTCCCCAGGCTTCGACTCCGGCTGCATTCAACAAAACTCCGGGGTGAACCATCACAACTTCAGCCATTTTGACGCAGCCAAGCCTCCTTGCTATTGCAGTCACGGTCTGGGCCTCGATAATCTGAAGCTGTGCAGCACTGTCAAGCCTTTTTCCAAGGACGATCCCTGTGGGGTTCCAGATGTTGTTAGTTGTGTTGAATATGTATCACGAAAACTAGGCGGATACTAGTTGGTATAGTTCGGGCCTTTTCGGTTGTTATCTAACAACAGCTGCAGGTCAAGATCCTTAGATCTCTATCTGGGACTATCTATTCACGGCAGGCAGATCTATATTCCGTGCGCGTATCTCTTTAGACGCTGGCTTTATCTTTGCGCGATTCCAGTTCTGGAGAGCATACAGTACAGGGTGGACAATTGATCCGAAGAAGGGTCCATCCAAGATTCTGTTTGCCATAGTCTTGGCTATATGCCAAGATTTTGGAAGTCAATCAATTACATAACAACGATTCTTAGCAATCTCGAATTGATATAGAGCCCGTTATTGTAGCCATCCATATTCTATCTGTGACAATATTGCTGCAAGAAAACGAAGAGGCGTCTGCATCTATCTGCAGGTCGGATAAAGAAGCAACAAGAACAAAACGGCAGCGGAAACGCCCAATCTTGGAGCATGAGCGGAACGGTGGGCGGCCCCACAAGAGTCCCATTGCCAAGTGCAGCGGGTGTCTTAGGTTTACGAGGATGTTGCATGGATAACACCAGACCCAACAGCGGAGTGGGCGCGGCGGAGCCACTCGCAGCAGAAAGAGAAAAGAGGAGGACACGTGCCCTCCGCTGAAGACCCCGACCCCCGAACATGATATGGAGCGGAGGGTGAGGTGTTGCCTGAGGATAGGCTGAGTCTGAATGGGAAGGAGGTTGGTTTACAAACTGACCAGGCGACCAGGTATCATCAATGTCCAAGCACAGACATGTCACTGCGCACCTATTCTCTTCTCGCCAAGTTGAAGAAGCATTTGACAAGCCCTTGGCTTGAGACATTAACATGACAGCCATCGACAAGACCAAGTCCAAGCGATCGGTTGTTTAAGCCGGGTATCCGGTGCACCTCGCCAGACATGATTCTCGAGGAATATCGCAATAATTGACACGCATGCATTATCAGGAGGCGAGATTATTTCTGGAGTTGCTGGTCATGAGGTGAATCCTCAGCATAACTATGAGTGGAAATCAAGATCAATTGACAAAACGACGTCACGCCCGTAAGAATATGTCCGAAAAGAACACTTCACATACATCCAAAGTCCTACATGGCTAAGCGATCCATGATGACCTCGGGACTCAGATTCATCGGCCGGATAGAAGGGAGTTTTTTTTTGAGAAGGGGGGGACCGGCAGCACCAACAAACGCTCATTATGACAAGAGATAAAAAGAGCCAAGAAACAGATTTTTTTTTCGAGACACACCCAAGTTTCGATGCTTGCTTGTTGCTCGATGAGGTGCACATGGGGGAGGCGAAAACGCCCAGGCTCGCCAAGAGAAAAATAAGACGACCTAAACTAAACGTCCCAAACAAGAGACCGAACAGACACCTCAATCCTTGCCTAGGAAGGTTCAACGTGCAGAAAGTTGTCTGGCGCTGAATGGTTGCAATTCAACAGCCGTTTCTTTGATCGTCAACCACCAGACCAGATCACCAATGGTCATGCGTGGGGGGAAAGCAACGATAGACAACGCACGCGACCACATTCAGAAAACAGATATCCTAACTCTGTTCTGCACGAAATAAAGGGCCCCTCCCCCGCCTGTGGGAACTCCTCATTTTGAAAGCTTGGCGGGAAACTCTGTCTCCAACCCAACCGGACTGTATGCATTCGAGAGGCGTTCCCGCGGGTAACTATCGTTGCAGCATTATCTATCAATGGGTAGGGGTTTTACGAAAAGGAAAAGGAAGAGAAGCAAATACTGACAATTAGAAACTCGGACTATTACTTTATCGTGGAGCCAGAGGCTGAAGTTGAGCTTCTTGGCGACTTTGCTAGACCGGGTTATAGTCCGGTTGAATGTTGGCCTGAACTATAGTTAAGTTACGCGGATAGACATACATGGACGGAGGTCAAAAGTAAGAATATGTATGTTGTAATACGTTAACGTCGTTTAAATTAACATGACAGGCTAGATGAAACATCATCCAGCAGAGCAAAAAAGTCCAATATTCGCCAATATCCCCCAAACACCCAAAGCACCTTCACTCATTACATCCCATCATCTTTATATCTTGGCCATGTGGTGAAGACAGCACTTCCAATCTCCTCCAGGACCTTGTCGAAAGACACTGTGGCACCAAGCATCAGTGGCCAGCATCTCTCCATTGACCAGCTTCCAGCAAGTAACACGATAGTTGAGGGCGGAAGCCATGAGATCGATCTCGACAAACTCTGGCTCGTCGTGGATCTTGTATGCGGTCCAGGGCTCGTACTGCTCCTCGAGATACTCTTCGAGGGCGGGCTCGGTTCGGGGTGAGTAGACGCTTTGGTCTGGTTCGCAGAGGACGGCGTCTTTGGTGATGTATTTCCACATGACCTCTGGTTTCTCGGAGGTGAGGGCGCGCCAGAGGAGGGCTGATGCGTCGAGGGTGCCCTCCTTGTTGCGGTGCTTGATAGTTCCTTTCTTGATTTCGCCCATTGTGATTGTATGTAGTGGTTATAGACAGTATTGGCTGATGATTAAACGGTTGGTGTTGATGAAGATAAGGGATGAAAGAGAGAAATTGCAAGATAAACTCGATCTCATTGACTACCTGACGTAGACACTGGGAATTTCTGCTTCCATTTCTTGCATTTGCATCTCTCAAAACCTGGCATCCATCATGTTTAGAATCCCTGCCCATCCTGACGTCAGAGCTGCGCAACCCTTTCAAAAGCAGGATATCAATTCTACCAATTGCAAGAAATATTATCTTGTGAAACAACAGGTTATTATCACTGTTATTCTATTACTATGTATGCTCATTCTCGTGATAATGCAAGACTTGTTTTTGTTGCATTATCTCAACTGTCCGAATGCCAAGACATGGTCCGTGATGACGGTAGCTTCGGTGGTAGAATCGTCTTTTTCAAACACCACCACGTTTCTACTTAATTCGCTATCGTTGACGGTACTATTCTCGGACCGGAAGGTGTTTAGGTCAACTTAATTTTGCTTAGTCTCACGATAGTTGAATGCCAAGAGTAACCTCCGGAGGTGGAGAGAGCTTCGGCGATGGTGAATGTGACGTCAAATCAGGGTCCAGGGTCAAACAGTAAGCATATTTTTGTTGAGTGAATGGGATTGTGAGTAAGGTACTGTAGTTGGTATTCATCATCGTGGACTCGTTATATTCTTTCATAAAAACTAAATACACATATTCCTCCGGTATAGAAGGGTCTGTAGGTCACATGCGGACCAGACCCTGCACACTAACAATATTACCCGGTATCCTGTCCTTTTTTCCAGCGCCGTAGTACGAAGGGCAAAACACAGCAATCATAAAAAAGAATGTCGATTAGTGGAAGCGCTCCTTGATGTACACCATAGCTGCGAATCCCGCACAGCACTTGGTGCTCATCTCATGCTTGCACCAAGGACACTTGACAGTCATGCTCACACTCCCCGCATACCCAGCGCTCAACACCTCATCAGGGTTGGACATGGCCTCGTATAACTTGCTAGGCATGTCATGATAGCGCGTGCACGCGCAGCATTCAACAAACATCTTAGCTGAGGGTTCGCCGTGGTTGAGATGTTCTAGGTTGGATTGCCGACGGAGCGTTTTTATACCAGCTTCCGGATCTGAGAGGGTCGCTCTATGGCCCTGGATGGGAGATCGGAGGCTGCGGTCTTTGTGCTTGAGGGGATGCGATGGGGAGGGTGAGGGGGTTTGTTTGGGGCTGCGTGGTGTTACGCTGCGGAGATTGGCGTTTGAGAAGGCTTCCATTACTCTGTTGGCAGCTTCTTGGATAGGGTCGATGTCTAGGTCTGAGCTGGGTGTCATTCGTGGGGAGTTTGTGTAAGACCAGTTCGTGGGCTTTGCGGATGCGATATGGGGAGAGTGACCCATCTCGGATTGAGGAGGGGTGCTGCGTGGTGTGCTCAACGGTGAGATAGACTGAATCGCATCAGAATAGGAGGATTCGGATGAGCTGGTCATGGGTCTGCGACCTGTTGGTGAACAGGACGCTGGCGGAGTCACATGTTTGGGGACGTGAACGTGCTGAGTACGAATAGGCGCACTATTCGCCGTTCCCCAACCCCTCGAATCAGTCCTTGGTGGGAATGGTCCAGAAGCAACAGGAGGCGAAGGTTGACTGTACTTTGACGCCGAACTCGTCGTCGAAGAAATCGATCCCTGAGTAGAATGTCCTCTACTGAACGCACTCCTGGCAGCCTCCTTAAGGGTCCATTTCGTGGGCGCGGGATCAGCTTCTGTGGTGATGGGTTTAGGTCGCGCACCGGCTTGCGTCTGTTCGTAACGGATGCTCGGTGGGTTCTGCTTGCGTGATGCTTTGGAAGCTTCGTCGGGAGAAGGTTGGTGGTTGAGACGGGTTAACAAGGTGAGTGAACCGCGTCTCTTTGAGCTTCGACGAGGTGGTGTGGGAGGAATGGATAGATTTGACGCGATGGATGATTTTCGGGGTGGATATTGGGCAGATGCTATTGGTGGTCTTGATACGGTGATGGTGTCTTGCTTGGGCGGGTTGTCAGAGTCTCTGGGGACGTTGACTGTGGGAGTTTGCTTCAGGCTTTGGTTTGAAGTGCGTGGTGTAGGCACTGCTGGCTTGTCCTCCGTCTCAGCTTCTCCATTCTGATCTTTCTTGACGTAAAGACCACCTCTTCGAGTCAGGCCTTGAGCCTTGTGGTATAGAATCTCGCTGTCAGGAGTCTGTGCCTTGTTCTGCTCACCCTCATCCTCTGTATCATCAACCGCGCAGTCATCACTGACAGAACCCCGTCTCGCACGAGCGCTCCACAGGTAGATATTGACAGAACCCCTCCTTCCCGGCGACTTTGGTGATTTCACCGATTGACCTCTCGCCCCAGAGGTGTTAATCGAGATAGGAGGATACGCTCGTTTCTGCGCATCAGCCTCCTTGGTCTGAGGATTCACCTTCAGCGGCGTAAACGAGCCATGGCCCAAGAACGTCTTTCGCATAGCAGGATGGACCTTGCTACCACCCTTCGCTTGGTCCTCCTTGACCTTCAAGTGAAAGTCTTCTTTCTTCTTATCAAGCTTGTTACCACCCAGGAATCCAGTAGGGCTTGTCTCGTCAAATGAAGCCCTCCTGATCTCAAAGGACTTGCGGAAGATGGATGTGAGAGAGCTGGAGCGGCTGCGTCTCGGTTCTTCAGGATCGTCATTGTTTCTACCAATGGAGAAGCCTAATAAACTGGACGAGCGCGATCTTCGCTTTTGTTGGACTGGGGTTGGGATTGGGATTGGTTCGGTGTTGCTGCGGCCTGGAGAGGGTGGCATAGGCTTGCTCAGTTTTCTACCGCGGGGCTTGGGAGCGTTCTTCCATGCTTCTTCGAGAGCTGCGTTCATAGTCTGTTCGCGTTCTTTCTCCTTTTCTTTTCGTCTCTCTTCTTCTTTCTTTTCAAGCTCTTTGCGCTTTTCTTCCTTCTTCTCCTTCTTTTGACGATTGTAAGCCTCCCAGGTAGGTGATTGGCACATCGAGCGCTTCTCTTCCATGTCTGGGGGAAAACAAAAGGCTACTGTCTTTTGAGCAGGCTTGTCGTCTTTTTCCTTGAGCTGTTCGTTTGAAGATGGTCGAGACATGCCTTGGCCGACAGGTTTCCTAGGAATCATGTTTGGCGAAGCTGATCGCACAGGATCTGAATGCGCTGAAAAGAGCGGCGGAGGAACAGCAGAGTAATTTCGAACAGGCGGTGGCACTTTCTTGTCCTTTGTGACCAACTCGAATCGACGAGGAGTGTGGCCAGGACTAGGAGGAACAGAACTACCGCTATCAGTGCATGGCGGAGAAGGCGGCACAGAGCCTTGGTGAGTCCGTTGAAACTGTTCAAAGTCAGGGAAATCCTTTTGGTGAGTGATCGCTTGTAAGCTTACATTGAGCTTCTTTTCCAAGTCGAGCATTTGCTGCAAGCTATTTGAGCGAGCGCGCCCTTGAGGCTGGGTTTGGGTCTGCATCATGGTTGAACTAGACTAGTCGTCTGGCGACTTGCACGAATTCTGTGCACATGCGAAGATTGTGAGACAGACAAGATGTTCGGGAGAAAAAGCGAATCTGAGATGAGAGTTCGTGTCGGACAAGAGCAGCGGATGGTGGGGTGATGGGGTTCGCTGCAGGTAAGCGCAAATATTAATAAATCTGAGAACAGCTTCGCGGGCGTTTGCGTTTTCGTTTCTGCAGTGTCCGAAAGCGCCCAGAAAATGGAAGCTTGTTGTATTGCTGCGTTCAGCAAGAAGCTATACCGAGAAAAGCGGGCTGTGGTGAGATGTCTCGGGAAGATGTTTTATTGCTTGCAAAATTGGATATTGTTCATTCCAATTACTTCACGACCCTTCTTTTCCTACTGTTGACGATTTTGAAAGCGGTGGGATATTTGGGTGAGGGAAAGACGGATGCGGGTTGTGGTGTCAATGAGCTGATGCAAAGGCGGTGGGCAAGGTGATGATGCAGGTATCTCGTGATAGGTCTGTAGGTGTTAGGACGAGACCAGACGAGCCGACCAGAAACCACTTTCCCAATGTTGCATAAGAGTAAAAAATAAGAGGATGGCTGAGAGAGAAGTATTATGGTGACACGAATGTCAGAGGAACGGAGAGTAGTAGAAGAAGGTAGTATCCTGGCTCAACGTAGCATGGATGCATCCATATGTAAGAGATGGAGAAGGGAGAGAGAGGAAATGAGAAAGGGTGGGAGGAAGGGAATCTAATGAGTAAGAGGAAGAATCAGTGGAAATAGAAAATTCCAGAGAATTCCTATTTACTGAAGCTGTTTAGTTTCTCTTTGTCTGACTCCGAGATTGCCAAGCAGTGTCAGGCAATCATGGAAGCAGATATAGCAATAGCAATAGCAAGCAATTGGGTTTCTTTTTCTGGGCTTGAACTAGTCTGGACTCTGCAGGTTAGACCAACCCAACCCAAAACTAGCTGAGTTGCGGGACGGGATATCACATCCATGATCATGGCTGGCTAGTCAAAGACTCTACTCTAACCAGGATAGCCCATGGGTCATGATAGAATGGATCATGCCCGTTGTGCGGGATGATGGGACTAGGGTGAAAAGCCACTGCAGGCCTGGTTGGATCTTTCTTCTTAAGATTGATGGTAAAATAGCTGAGACAGGCGGTTCACATGAAATATCACCGTTGTATCAACCCTTCTCAGCCAAGAACCATCAAACTCTACACCCTCTTCGGCTTTGTCAACTCGTAAAGAGTACAGTATCTACTCGATCTAACTATCTATCACCTACCAGTGGATTCATGAATACGAACTGTTGAGGTGGGCACCCACACCAAAAAGACGTGCGTGGCTTGAAGTGTCATCCGTCAACCGTAAAGATCCATTGGTTCGGCACATGCGGGAAGACGATCCACACTGCAGTGTGGCCTTACAGCTGCACTTTTTTTCCCTTCTTCTGTTGCAGTTGGTCAATGCTATTTTTATAATCCTCTCCCTGTCAAGTTACCCGTAGAAGCGAATGATACGCGAATAGTAACACGGCTACTTGCCCGAAAAGATCTTGTTCTATACGATATTCTGGGGTTTTAGCGGTCTGCACCGAAACTCGTTTAGGATTTTCTCTTTTTTATTTTGGCTTTCTTTTAGTTAGACGTGATTTTAAAGTAATGGCTGGCCGATACGCCATGAAAAAAGGCTGGGCGGGATGGGCAAAGTTTAGCATGAGAGCCTCTTGTAGTACAGCATTTAAAATGCACTTTATTCCCCTGATCTCTCTTTCTGGTGGTGTCCCAGCCCTCTTGTCGATCAGTAAGAAATCTCATGACATGGATCCAACCTCCCCGCCGAGAAAGTATCGTCTAGACTGACTTTGTATCCGTACAGTAGTTTCCTTTTAGTTGGATGCGCAGTGATGTGATTTTATCTGTGAGGGGTATGGTATGTGCTGAGCTGTTTCCTGCAAGCAAGATTCTGTGCTCCAGCTCCAGCTCTTCATGGGTCTGTGCATCTTGGGGCTTGATTTAGACGCTGTGCTGGATATCATCCAAGCTTCTGATGTGATTGAGGCCAATATTGACCAGCCTTACAGAACTGAGTTTGTGATTCGTATTTGACATTCCAACTGATTTTCATCATCTCATTCAATCGCAGAGGTTATCGCAGAGGTTAATTGATGAATCTCTGGCTTCCTTGAAGCGACACCAGAATCACATCTCAACAGATCGTGATCCATCAGTCCGCAACATGAGCCCTACGATATAAATATCATCAATTCGAGACATGGTGGGGTTAACTAAACCCCTCATCCAAAGTCCGACGTCAAGTTCAGTCCCAGCTGCCATGGCCTCATTTTGGTCTCGTATTTTCGCATCAGTGAAAGGTCTACGGCGGCTGGACCCTGCAAGGCCCTGGGGCTCTGTGTAAATATAGTACAAGCATCCACTCGACACGATGCAAGACATCTAAAAAGCCTGGGTACAATGAAAATAGCTTCTAGATAGACCTTGTAAATTTATATGATCGATTTGGCTATCCGTATGGCGGAATTAATGATCGTGAGACAAGTGGGGGGAATTGACTTGGGCTGTTTGCGATGGAGTCATCTTCTCGAGGCGCTTACCCTACATCGAGGATGCGTCGAACAATTGTCTCTTTTCTATCGTTACCAGACTTTACAGCCAACTTGTTGTTGTCTAAATATTTCAATATCAGGTTTCTTCTATAGAACTTCACGCAACAGCTTTCGCGTTCAAAGGTGTTAGCTGAAGTGACATTCAATGAATTTATCTAAGCGCAGTCAATATACAGCAGTTCTGATAATGGGGTTGAAATTTCACTGCAATTTTAACCTCCCCCGAATCACCAAGTCAATTCCAACTGGGAACCTCCAACCAGAAGTCGGAGTCTGAACTGGCCCGACACTCTGCCTAGATCTTCCTGGAAAACGAGTGACTAAAAATTGAGATGCGGTCTCCAACACCAACCTTCAAGCCAATGTTGATGTGAATTGAAGGTGCAGCTGCTTGTAAGACGCCCAGCCACGGGATTATCGTGTACCTGCATGGCCGAAGGACGATGTAACGGCTCTGAGAAATCCCACCAGGATGACTACGGGATTGAGAGGTGAGTGTGGTCATGAGAAGGCAGTGCTTAGAGACTTGCAATACATTGTGACTGTTCAGCTTTCACATCACCAGGACTCGATACGCTGATACGGCATCTTATCCACCACGACTCGAGATGAGCAATTCACGAGTGACGTCACGACATTTCTCTTACATTCAAAAAAGCAGTCAACCTGACAAGAGAAGCAAAATAGATCAATCTTGAAGAATATCCAGACCAATCTCTAGAATATTCAGTCTCTTTTTACTGATTGTCGCAACAAATCCTCAGTGTCATGATGCTCAACGGAGAATTAGCTCCACCAACCTTACCTAATCACCCTTATCCGCCACTCGGACCCGCAGTTTTTCCGAGAGGGCATCTTATCCCCGCTCACGTGAGTCGCCGTTTCGCTTTGATTTCGCCCACATTTGCACAATTCCCCAAAAATCCTACCGCGCAGCCGTCGACTCACCATCCACATCACCACCAAGCAAATCATTCATCATGGGTAAAGTTCACGGATCTCTTGCCCGTGCCGGTACGTTGCTATCCTCGATATTCTCTCTATTTGACGGTCGCTAATTCTCTCGCAGGCAAGGTCAAGTCTCAGACTCCTAAGGTACGACGACATCGCGAATAAATCATCCATCGAATATCCCGACGAACACGATCACTAACCATCTTTTCGAACAACAGGTTGAGAAGCAAGAGAAGACCAAGGTCCCCAAGGGCCGTGCTCTCAAGCGCCTCAAGTACACCCGTCGATTCGTCAACGTTACCCTCACTGGTGGCAAGAGAAAGGTGAGCAGAACTCGATAACTACACAGGATACAGAAGAACGGTCGCTGACGATTATGCGAAACACAGATGAACCCCAACCCCGGCTCCTAAACGAACGGTTTAAAAACGAATTTTGCGGAATCGGGATAGGTTGGATTGCGGACACGGTTCAACAACAACAACAATGGTTGACTTCACTCAGTAATGGGATGATGGATTGGGTCGCGGGTCGCATGATAGGCTGAGCCCCCTTATGAAATGAAAAAGGAAATGGCGAAGAAAGCGCTACGACTCTACTCGGCGTCCGGTGTCAGTTGTCACAATACAACAAACATGTTCGCACCATATACATGTGCTGCGATTGTGAATGAACCTCTGCTGGTGAATATGGCCGTGACTTCGAAAGAAGCGCCCTTGGTGATGCGTGCGCATACTGTAGATGATGGATTTCTTGCGGTTCGGCGAGTGACTCACGCTGATGGATGACATCGTCGACTTGGTTTGCCTCAGGATCACCCTTCGAGTCACATCTGATTGAATTGCCACACTACATGATTCTACGTAAAAGCTGCCTCCAACGCTAGAAATGCTGAAACATAACCTCGAAACAATTAAAGCCATCATCTCCAATAGAAAGCTCGATGATTGAAGCCATTAATCACTTTCGGCTCCAAAGCTCGTGTCACGTGATATGAAATCCAGCCTCTCAACCTGCCAGGTAAACTTCCATCACCAAAGCGATCAACTTTACCTTTGCCAATCCCCATAAACAACTTCTCTCACACCAAATACAAGTTAAGATGGCTGATGTTGAAATGGACGTCGATGTCGAGGCGGGCTCTCCCCCTCCCCCCGCGCGCAACGAAAGCGACATGCAAACGCATACCAAAGCAACAGCCGTCCGCTCCATCGAAGGCTGGATCATCGTAGTCACCAACGTACACGAAGAAGCCGACGAGGAAACCCTACAAGATCTTTTCGGAGAGTATGGCGAGATCAAGAACATGCACCTGAACCTTGACCGAAGAAGCGGTTACGTCAAGGTAAGCTACCACCTCCTCTGCCGTTTGTAAGAATGGATTGTTAACGCAGATACTAGGGATACGCCCTCATCGAGTTCACAACACTGGAGGAAGCCCGAGCCGCCATCGACGGCGCACACAACCAGAAACTTCTCGAGCAGACCATCTCTGTGGACTTTGCCTTCGTGCGACCCCCGCCTGGAAAGCCCGGTCGTGGAAAGGGCGCTGGAGGACGAAACCGTGGCCGAAGCAGGAGTCGCAGCCCCGAGGGCAAGCAGGAGGAGCGCGACGAGCGGGATTGAGGCAGAAACACATAATAAAAAGAATTGAAAGAATAAATCGCGAGGCGAAGCGCCGACGTGCAAGGGTTGGGAGCACGTTGGCAGTGTAATGTTTATACATGAGGTATGTTTGACCGCTTGTTTTGGTGTTGGTGTTGCTCGTCTAACTTTTGTTAAGATCAGAATGGGAATGAAATGCGACATATGGCTTGGATGTGATCCGGCGTTGTTTAGTGTCTGCAGGACGAAATATAGTGCTGCTTGACAATCATATGTGATATGCTTACAGCTTTCGCGGACCATCGTGACTCGGTGCGCTTCTGATGCTGTCGTGAGAGTCTAACGCAGTCACAGATCATTCTCGCACAAGAAGCAGCCTCACAGTTCTCAAACAAGAGCGTCTTGGAAAACGGACGCGGTATCCATGCGCCTATTGGAACGATATCTGACAATATCTTTATACTCTATCAACCTGAATCGCATTCCTAGCCCGTTCAGAACACCCAAGTAAACGACTCCTTCACACTAAACTTGGTCGATCGCCTACACCGATTAGCACACAATCTTCATCAATGGCAGAAAACTTACCTGATATCCGTACTCGACGCTCCAATCAACACCTTAAACGTGCCCTCCTCAGCAATCCACCCAGGAACAGTCTCATCATAATACCCAACAGCATACTTATCCAGCTTGATGCTAATATGTCTCGTCTCCTCAGCTTCAAGAAACACCTTCTCGAATGCCACGAGCTCTTTTTCAGGGCGTGGCAGTCTGCTCTTTTCGTCGTGGACGTAGATCTGCACGATTTCTGAACCGGCGCGTGGGCCTGTGTTGGAGATGGCGAGGGTGATTGTGATTTCGCTGTTGGGGGTTAGTGTTTTGGGGGTGATTTCGGGACGGCCGTATTCGAAGGTTGTGTAGGAGAGGCCGTGGCCGAAAGGAAACAGAGGCTCGATCTTGGCGTGGTCGTAGTGCTTGTAGCCGATGTAGAGACCTTCGCCGTAGAGGACTTTGTGGTTTTCGCCCGGCCAGTTGTGCCAGGCTGGGGTGTGCTCGATGCGTTTGGGAAATGTGCTCTGTTCAAGTCAGTTGCGTGTTCTGCCAGAGGATAGTGGTACTTACTGGGAGTTTGCCGCTTGGGTTCTCGATGCCGAAGAGCACATCAGCCAACGCATTGCCTGCTTCTTGACCTTGATACCAGCCTTGGAGGATAACAGGTACTCGGTCAACCCACGGCATATGCACTGGGCTACCAGACTGGTTAACGACAACAGTTCGCGGGTTAGCCTTTACCACCGCCTCGATCAATCTGTCCTGGTTTCCATCAGCAGGAAGATCCATCGTCTGACGATCATACCCCTCAGACTCCCACTCAGCATCTACACCAACAATAACAACCGCAACATCAGCATCACGCGCCGTTTCAACAGCCTGTTGGATATAATCCACCTTATCCTGCTCTTTGAAACCAATGCGACAACCGCCGTACTTGTGCGTGATGCCGAACTGCTTCTGCTTGGAAATAGGGCGAAGTTCGTTGGTCATCTCCACACGAAGCTCAACGGCCTTGTCAGCTTCCATGTCGACGTCGACGAGATAATCAATCGAGCCGTCAAACATAGCTTCACCTTCCTCTGTCCAGTCCCACAAGTCGAGAACCTTTTTCCCATCGACGAAGAGTCGGCCTGGTCCTACGCTCATGAAGCTGATAGTATGCTTTCCTGTTGTTTTGGGCGTGAGGTACGTGGTTGCGATGGCGGACCACTCAGGACCGACTTCATTCAGGGGCGCTGAATCCCAGAGGAAGAGATCTGTGTTTGTTCGACGCTGCGTCACCACGGGGTTACCCTCGAACTTGTCGCCTGCGAACCAGTCGATGTGAACGCCTGGTTTGCCTGACTTTTCAGTGCAGTACTCCGACGCAACGGGGAGCCACTTGTGGATATGGCAGCCTTGTGCAAAAGCTACTTTTTGTTGCGATGCCTTGCGGATGCTGTCCAGGGGGATGGTGTTGTAGTAAGGGTTCAAACTCGCGCTTCCGCCACCACCAGCAATAGAACGATTCGCGTTCGGTCCAATGACGGCGACCTTGGTAGTCTTTGGACACAGTGGAAGAATACCATCATCGTTCTTCAGAAGAGTGAGACCTTCGTGACCAGCTGCTCTGATCAACTGTCTCGTTTCTTCACGATCGTCTTCACGCTCGGGCTGTTCTGGAGACATATCACCACCCTTGAGGCGTTCCACCAGCGCAAGCACGTTCTCTGCTGCTTGATCAATAGAGTCAATCGACATACGGCCATCTTTGACGGCTGCGATGAGCTTGTCAAGACGCCATTTGGGAGAGTAGGGGAATTCGATGTCGCAGCCTGCTTCTACGGAGTCGATTATTGAGTTTACGCCGCCCCAGTCTGAAACGACGGTACTGTAAGATGTTAGATGAGCTTTGACAGTGGTGGTAGAGCTTCATTACCCCTCGTATCCCCATTCTCCGCGAAGGATGTCTTTTAGGGTGTGTTTGTTCATATCCGCGTGGACGCCGTTGATGAGGTTGTACGACGACATGACAGCCCAAGGATTCGCTTCTCGAACAGCAATCTCAAACGGCTTGAGGTAAATCTCACGAAGAGGTCTCTCTGTAACGAGCGAGTCTATCGTGAGTCTGTTGGTCTCTTGCTCATTACCCACGAAATCTGTCACTATTAGCAAGCTACATCAACTCTTCCAGAGGCACTCACGCTTAATGGTAGCTGCAACACCCCTGTCCTGAAGACCCTTGATATACTGCGCAGCCAACTTTCCAGTGAGAAGCGGATCTTCAGAGAAGGACTCAAAGTTTCGACCGCCGAGGGGATGGCGGTGCATGCAGACCGTTGGGGCGAGGAGCATTTCTGCTGAGCGGGCTCGGACTTCTTGGGCGAGGTGTTGGCCGACTTGGTAGAGAAGGTCTTTGTTCCATGTTGCTGCGAGGGAGATGCCGCATGGGAATAAGGCGGCCTGATAAGTTAGTTACGCTACCGATTAGGAGAGTGTGATACTCACTTTTGTGCCACCGACAAAGATACCGCCGCGTGCGCCGTTAGGACCGTCTGTTGTTTTGATGGAGGGGATGCCTTTCTCTGGAATGGCTTTTGTTCTCCAAAAGTCTGCAGCTGTGAGAAGGGAGACCTGTAAACGTTAATATACGTGTAAGCAAAGGACGGGGATGAACTACCTTTTCTTCCAAGGTCAGTTGTGCCAACTTCTCCTTTGCTGCAGAACGAGTATCTCTTAGATACTGTATCTTTTGCGGTGGACTACATGGCGAAGAGAACTCTGTGTCTGGAGTAGAAGGGGTGTTTGACTCGTTCATGATGATGTGTTGTCAGACCTGACTCTCGTCAACAAAGATGGTGTTCAACAAGCCTGCTCTTCCAGTCTGATATAGTAATAAACGAAAGTAAAGACGGCAAGTCGAAGCGAGCTACCAAAAGAAGAAGTGTGTATCCAACAGAACAGAGAATCTCAAAAGGTGATAGAACATTTGCTCACTTATACTGCGCAAGCAAGCCAGCGGCGCAGGATAAGCATGAGGCTCGAGGAATTCCACCATACATACAATAACGTCAGGGAACAAGGTTGATCGAGATAGGCAATTCAGCAAATGAGATTCTAGCTTGGTAGCTATTTAGACGGCCCGGCTGAAGGTGGAAGTGGAGATACTTGAGTGTCTAATGTTTGTTTCAGAGAAGAAGGAAAGTTGGTCGGTAGATACGGACCGTGAGAGCGATGTACAGTATACGGGGACTCTCGGGGCTTTTTCCTCAGATGATGAAATAGATAAGAAGACACATGTGCTGATTCAGAAACAAACAACATTTTTTTCTTTCTTGGCCTTATCTCGTATGTTCAGCTGCGATGAAATGCTGACCTTCTCTATTCATTCCCGACAGCCTGGGATGAGTGGTCAGAATCGGGAAATAAGTCGGGTATCCGGGCCGGTGTTCCCAACTTGTCGGCCGGAGCGTACCGGCGGAGCCAAGACGAGCGAGAGCCGGAAAAAAGCAACTTTTAACTTTAAAGAGAATGGAGATGAAAATAGAATACGCAGAAAAACAACAAGGGTACAGTGTAAGTGGTCCAGTTGCCTTATATGGAAAGCTCGGTAGATGGCTAAAAGAGGACTTGTGATGTAAAGCAACGTCCGCTTCTAAAAGGGGTATTTATTGTATAAGTGCCGTGAGTTATGCATGCATGAGTAGATCATTGATTTAGAAACCGTTGGATGTTGTGCAGGAGTCTGGAATGCAGTTGAACGTTGTGCTGAACTCTGTACCATTTACTCCATTGAATACATCTATCTAGTGCTTACTCAGATTAGATGAGATGAAACTATGGTTAATGTCAGTATATAAGTGAATCAAGACGGCAATGTCTTAGATCTCCGTGTTTAATGGATCCCTCCTCCGTGTCCCGGCTAAGAGGGGCCGGCTCGGCGCTCGGCTCCGCTTGTACACGCCGACATCCGCACATGGTCATACACGATTCACACTCCTTGGCGACAACACATCAAAGCATCACTCTTACACAGCACTAACCTCATAGCGATAACCATCTTCATAGCGTTAAGACACCGCATTCATAACTACGGCGCGGAGCCTTATGCGACAATGCTTCGAACACGCTCCAACTCGGAATACTCCCTCCAAGACCTCCCCAGACAAGGCTCTCGTCTCCAAACACAGACACAGACACAAAGCGAGAGTAACCCTGCAGTTGAATTAAGTCCCCGATGCAGTAACGGAGAAGGATCCGCCGTGCCGCAGGGGGGTGACAGTGCACCCAACACTAACAAGAACAAGACGCGCCTGGGACGGTTCTGGAGGGACTATGTTAGCTGCGAAGTCGACATGTCTGCATCAAGAGATCATCTAGGTAAGTACATCCGGGGATAAGATTGGAGGAAGAACTTTGAGATGCGTCAAAGAAGGGTCTCGTGATGGACCGGTTCCATATGGATAAATGGTTAGGGCTCAGGCTTACAACGTTACAGCAAACGAAAGAACCTTTCTCGGCTACCTACGCACCTCGGTCATGATGTCCATGGTAGGAACACTGGTAGCCCAGCTCTTCACGCTGCATCACGAGGGGTATCACGCGCAGAGCTTTGGATACTTCATCACTGGCCGACCCCTGGCCATGACATGCTACGGGTTCTCGATTGGGACGATTCTGCTAGGGGCTGTTCGGACGTGGAGGCATCAGAGGATTATGATGAGTGGGAAGGCTTTGGCGGGAGGGTTCGAGATTCATTTGCTGGGTATATGCACCATGGCGGTATGTAAACCCTGGAGTTTCGGGGGGAGAGGTGACTGACGCGTGTAGCTGCTTTTGGTGTTTTTCTCGTTTTTGCTGAGTATTGATGTTGTTAAGGAGACTACTACCATCTCTTCTTAACATGAAGTATGGGCACGCGACACTACTCGGACGAAACGAGTAAAAGGGATGAATAATCTAATCTACTGATGAAATAACAACAATAATAACGACATACATGAACATACGCATTGGTAACTACCCCTCTTCTTGCTCTCCCTCCGCTTTCTTCTTCTCCCCTCTTGACTTTTTCCTCGCGTCTCTGCAGGTGCGAGGTCTCTTGGAAGCTGCGTCGCCACCGCAGCTATACAATGTTAGTCTCATGCTGATCAGGAAATAGAAGAAACTTACATGGATCGCTTCGAAGCAAGTTGATACTCAGCAACAGCCTCTCTGTACGCCTCTGTATCTTCACTCAAAGGTTGGGAATCAACAGACAATGCGAGCTCAGATATATCCGAGTCTGACTCGGGAACTTTGGTTGGTCGAACAGGAGTTGACTTTGGGCTTAGTGCAGGAGTGTCTGGCGTGTCTCGACCGCATTCTGGGTCTTTGACAACCTCCCAACTCGAAGTCTCAGGCGATACGTCTCTAGGCTCAGAAGCCAGTTTGTCTTGACTTGGTATGCAACCACTGAACCTCATCATTCTATATTCGTGGCTGTCTTCGCGTCGAAGGTAGACATCCATTGGTGCAACGACGGAAGGCAATGATGCAGGACTTGGTGGAGGAAGACAGTCCAACTCCGCACTCGTCCCTTGTGGCTCGTCAAATATACGAAGATTGAAAGAGACAAGGGAAGGCTTGACACGTTCAGGAACATGTCTGACACCGGCATGTTAGTCTTTTTCAACAAGGTAAGACTGGAACATACCGCTTATAGGCATCGTCCTCGAGACTAATACTGCTATCCCGTCTAGTCTCACTCGTAACCTTTTCAGTCTCGAGACAAGAGCCTCCAATACCAGAAAGAAGACTCATGACGAATACACAACAAAGATTATAACAACAAGGAAGAATAGAAACAAAAGAAGTAAGTGACTGCTCTGCTCAGATCATATCATGCGAGCTAACAGCTAGTTATAAGCCTCCCAAGACTAGACAAGGCTCCTCCCGTTACCGACACAGAGGAACCTTTCTAACCGACCCGAGAAACTGGGACAAGGCAATCGTCAGCTTTTCAACGGCTAAGACACCCACTTGGACCCAACACCACGGGCCTCCTGCACCGGAATCACATCCGCGTCCGGGGTTGAGCTCGGGCTTTCCGTCCCAGGATCTTGGTAACCTCTGTCTGTCCGTGTACTGTGTGCATCTTACGTTGAGGGGATATCTCATCTAGGACATTTAGGTATACAGCCCGTGTGAAGAAGCAGTAAGACGGACCATTTATCCGCGTCTAGAAGTCATAGCTGAGCCCTTCAATTTACAAACAATAGAGGTATCTCCATTCTTACAACTACCTTCCTCCCTCGGCACGTTCCAGGCGGTCGGGTCCCTTTTTTTCGTCATGATTTAATACCGCCAGCCTGGTTGCTACCACACCAATTTGATCTTCTATGAGAGATTATTGGTTGGGTAAGACTAGGTTGGTGCAATGTCTTGAACCAACAGCCAACACCGCTTGTTTCAGTGATGGATTCGGGAGACGGAGGTTTCCAAAAGGACCTTGAAAATGAGATTTGCTTTTTGTGATGGACTGAATGTTGATGTCAGAATGGTTTCTTGGATATCGATTTCGAGTATGTGGTTATGGTGTGGTCGTGGTTTAAGGCTGTGATGCGATTCTGCGGGATTACAACTCTCCATTCCAATTGATCATACAATGAGTCTTTAACTCCATTTCACTAAGCACTCAGTGGACAGTAGACGGTTCATGCCCAACTATCTTCAATTGCCCTCTCACCTTCTCTCTTTACTCCCAAGAAATCCCCTTTACTTCGCATCTGCAATCTTCAAACCCAATCCACCCACCCTCTTCCCAATCCCCGGTTCTACATATAATCCCTGCTCCCATCATTTGGGGGCCTAGATCCCCTGCTCTCAGCCCTTTGGCCCCCAATAACACATGTCAATTGAACTCTCCAATTCTTCTGGAAAAGAAGACCCTCAAATAACTCAAGTGTACTGCAAACTGCTTCTCTTGAACATCAGAGCAAAGTAAAGGGGTTGAAATGAGTCGATTCTGCCTTGTTGTCTGTCCTTGTTTATCCTTTCGAATAGCAATGTTTGCGAGAAAGTTATGACCCCTTAGAGGGAACTGATCGACATCAATTGCACTTTAATACACCGCCAGTTCCCAAAGCCCTACATGTAATGAAACACATTTATTCGCTATTTATAAACCATGTGGAAATAGTCTCATCCAACGCCAAAGAAATGCCAGTGACAGCTCAGGACGAGACAAACATGTACGTAAGAACAGGGCACTAACAAGGTACTGTATGCTCTATCTGCCTCGTCCCTACTGCAAACGCCAATGATGCCAATTTCGGGTATTCATCAAAAATGCAAACCGCTTATATATAACTAGACAAGCTACAGCTCATCATTTCCAATGTCAAGCTTGGGCAGGCCAAACTTCCAGTTTCGCTCACCAACGGGAAGACCGACCCAGTTGCGGAAAAGACGTCCGACTTCATATCTGAAGATAGCCCATCTGCTGCTGTTAGTATATTTTCTCAAGTGTTGGACAGAGGGTGGACTTACAGTGTTCTGGGCGTGCGCATCCAGCCTTTGACGATGACTTTGATAACGCTCTTGAATTGAGCGAATTCGTGCTCTAGTTGACCAAGTGCTGTGTTAGACTTGGGTCCTCTTTGACGAAGTTCAATGAAATCCTTCAAGGCATCGTCCATTTGATCGTTCTTTGCAGCCTCAGCTTCAAGCTTTGCGCGCAGTCTTTCTTCCTCACGGGCATCTTCGAGATCTTTGTCGAGCTCTTCTGCCGCAGCCTTTGCACGTTGTTCCTCCCTCTCACGAGCCTCAGTGAGTTCTTCGGCAAGCTTCTCAGTCTGGAGCTTGGCATCCATCATTTGACGGAACTGGCCGATGTTGTGAAGAGAGCTGCTGATACGAGCGTATGTGTTGAAGAGGGCGACGATTTCAGTTCGCTGGAGGTGAGGAACATCCTCGTTGTTGTTGTCCAGCTCGAAAAGAATCTTGAGAGCAGTGCCATAGCCAGCGGTCTGGAGTTTACCCCACAGACGACACTTGTCACAGCCAACACAGTCCATAAGACGACTAACGTTACGGAAACGGTTGCGGAAGTCCTCCTTCAGAGAGGGTCCCTCGCCGTTAACGAACATGAGGCTCTCGTCAAAGATTTGAGGAACGCTAGCAGCCTTCTCAGTAACCTCGAGGACCTTGGCGCGGGTGGCAGCATCCTCAGAGGGGTCTCCAAGACAGAACTTGTACTCTTCCTTCTGGAGGTATGGACCAAGCTTGGCGATAGCGCGGGTCATGAGTGCGTAGTTAAAGTAGACGTTTCCAATACGGTCAGGGAATTTGTGAAGACGGTATTCGTAGCAGCTCAGATTGGGAGACCATTCACCAGTAGTCTGGTTAAGGAAGTCCCAGCAAAGATGGGTGCTGATACTGGCATGCATTCCCGACATGACACGGTAAAAGACACGCTTCTCGAGACACTCATCGGCAACCTCGAAACCAGTGTTTGCGACGAAGGGTGTGTTGGGGTTCTCTTGGCGGCGCTCCTCGAGCTGGGCCTGTCGACCCGCTGCATCGAGAATCTGCTTGAAGTCTTGAGCGGCAGGACCATGCTGCCATCCCGACTGACCAAGATCAGCGGACTTGGGGAATGAACTCTTCTGGAAGCAGTTCTCTCTGTAGACAGCGTCCCAGACCTGTCTGGCGCCATCGCCAGCGTATCCGGTGAACTTTTCGGGGTTTCGAACCAAGCTAACATAATCGCCCTTTGAGCTGGCGCTCTCATCCTCAGGAACACAGTAATCTCGATCGTCGCATTCGTCATCGTACTCAAACACACAGCTCTCGCCAACGTTCTCGCCCAGAAGACCACCGAGCGGCTTCTGAGGGTGTTGGCGCTGAGCCTTCTTGCCGGGATGCTTAGCACGAGGACCCTCTAGTTTACCCAGAGCATGCGCACGCCAGACCTCAGGAATATCCTCCTCGTTGTCTAGTGTCTCGACCGCGCATCCAATGTTGCCGCACATGCCATTCTCGTCGTTCCAGAAGGGACATTTCTTGTGGAAGAGGTTGACTCGGTAGTGTGAGAAGAAGTCGGTGTTTCGGGTGAGGTCGTCGACGGCGGGTTTAGTTTGGAGGTTTAATTTATCGAGGGTCGAGTATGAAGCGCAGGCATCGCCAACGATGGACTTGGGCGAGATCTAGAGGCTTGTTAGCGAGTGTTCGAGGTGGCGCGTTGCTTCGCTGGCAGGTAAATGTGGCGGCAATCTCCCAGACTCAGCGTCGCAATGGCGATAAACATACATGGCATTCGTCCTCACAAGATCCCGGTGCAGCCCAAAGGGCAAACACCGAGAGATAGAACAGCCTGCTCGCAGGCTTCATGGTAACTAAGCGCCCGAGCGATGTGCCGATGCGTTGTGTCGGAGAATTCGAGTGTAGTGTAACGAAGACGATAGACAAGAGCCAATGCTATTTCACAGTACAGTCGCCAGCGAGTGAAGGCGAAAGTAAAATATCCGAGTATAAAATAGAAGAATGGAGAAAAAGAAAGAGGCGACTTGAACGGCGGTTTTACTTCCACTTGTCAAAGAAGCGACGTATGAAGGTAAGATAAAGTGGGTTGACGGCTTCGGCGGGCAGCGAGGACACTTATCCTGAAAGGGTATAGCCAATCGAACGGTACCTTAATTAGCTGCTGTACCTTTAAATTCAAGCCGTTGCAGTTTTTAGTAGTAGTATTTAATTGACAAGAGAAGCTGTTTATGCAAGGAAATGAGAAGCTAAGAGGCTACTTAGAGTATAAATAAATAGGCTTAAAGGTTCCTTGGAGTATAAATAAATAAATAAACTTGCTCGTAAGACAAGCCACGTATGGAGACTACGGAATAATTCTGTGGAAGATGCCACGCTGGCTCTCGGATTTTGAGGCGAAGCAGACAGACCATCTAGAACTGACCATCACTTGCCTCTTTAGATGCTCCGCAAAGCTCCGTTTAATCCTTGAAATCATACTATCAACGGAATAATCAAATCTACCTTCAAGACATATACCTTCTTCAATAATTGAAAAGAAATAAGATATCAATTGATGGCTTTCCGATGTTGAGTGAAAGACTTGACGCTGTGTAAGTGAAATGTGTCCAAAACCACCAATTACCAAGCACATCTGAGCTGATTTACAAGCCCATCCGCTAACCCACCTTTGGTCCAACATCAGACGATCTGGATCTGCCGAGTGTCCCTGATCATCCCATCTCGACAAGAATAGCACCTATTATAAACTTTGGACTACACCATCATAAAGTTGACACATTTACCATAACACATACACATCTACCTATCATAACTCCTCGGGATTAACATCACCATGACTTACAAACATCCCATCTTAAGACATCCAACCAAAACCCTCGTATGACATCCCATCCCTTTCTAACCCAAAATGTTTCACAATTGTGGCGCGCTGTAACAAAGCGTGGTTCTGGAATAAGTCACCCTTTTCTTCATGATTCACAAGCCACATGAGGCCATTCACATTCACAGCACAGCTATTCACAATACACTATTGATGTAGTAGACACCAACCATTGAACGCGTCACAATGCAGCATACCAATATATTGAACGTTAAATCAGTCATTTTCTTTTGCTAGTATTATGCGATGCTGTCTATGTCATCCCTTCTTCCCACATTCAATCCTCCATCACCAAGCCCATTATTCCCATCATGCGCTTTTGAGGGTATACCGTGACCCCCCCCAATCTTTCTTCACTCCCCAAAAGCTGTTAGCCCCCAAATTCAGAGACAATTCAGACAAACCACTTCGTTGAAAATGCCCAACCAAAACCGATAACACCTCCGGGATCATTTCCAGATCCAACTCCATTAAACTCCAGGGGGGCATGACGGATCCAACTGTTTTTGTGACTCGATCCCTTTTCCATGCGTCATACATCGGACCCAAGAGACTGGTAAGATAAAGCCTCTCCCTTTAACATCTCGGCAGGGGCGTATCATGCATGACAAGGTTATACCATCGAGCACTGAATGGGGCGGGACGAGCGTGTTGAACCAATAAAGTAAAGTCTCTTTGTTTTTTCTTTATATCTCAACGTGCAATCGTGGGGGGACGCTGAGTGAATCATCCGTCTGTGTGGCACCGATATAAGGGGCTCTGTGCAATAAATATGTATGGTACATTAAGGGGGGAAATCTGAGTCGTGGGGTAGTCTGGTCGTTTACTGAGGTGGTTGGAAGTTGAGCGGTCGCCTAGAATTCACGTTAGCTAGAAGCACGGGAGGGTGCAGATCCCGCAGTTGGGGATCCCATGGCAACATACTTGAACAGAAGAATGTGTGGTTCTGGCTCGTGAACTTCGTAGTGTTCCCATCCTAGAGACTGCGCGGCTGTTAGTTTGTTGCTTCCAACGTTTCCGCCCTTCACAGACGAAAGCGCGGACGTCATGTCGTACCTGAGTAATGCCAAGAGCTCGCCATTCCTCCTCCCACAAGAGCTTGAGAGTTCCCTTTGAGGAGTCGTGGTAGTCTTTGGGAATAGCCTTGAGCATGGCTTTGGGAAGCTGAACGTGACGGTACTCGAATTCACTGTCAGAGTATCGAGCGGAGTAGTGGATGGAGTCGATGAACTCTTCCACGCGGGCGCGCTCCGAGTCTGACAAAGGTCGAGGCGCCTTATTCCGGCGGGTGGTATCGATGTCGAAAGGCATTTTTGGCGGTTTTTGTGGTTTGGTTGTAGGAGGGGAGGAGAGAGCTCCAAATTGTCGAAGGGTGCGGGGAGGGGCACAAGAGCTTCGGCCGATCGATTGGTGAGGTGCGGGTCAGAAAAGCAGGTTCCGTCCGTTTATAAATCAAAAGGCGATTTTCTCAAGCGACCGTTGGTGACTGCTTTTTTTTTTGTTGAGCTGTGTCAGGCGAGACAAGACAATTCAAGATCTGCGAATGTTTTGGAAGTAATGTCACGCGAGATCGGCGGAAAGTTGAAATCTTGCGCAGGCGCGAGGCTGGGTCTTTCGGAGGCGGTCAAAGATTTCCCGGGGTAGGACTTGTATGGAGACGAGGGGTCGTGTCTACTAGAACCAGGTTTTGGCTCGGGACAAGATCAGATGCGATTAAGCTCACGATACTTTTGACGATAAGACGATAGAGTTTAAGAAGTCCTCGAGAAGGATCCGTGTCCTGAGAAGGAGTAGTAAAATCTTGATGAGGGTAGGTAGAAGTGAAGAAGGAGGAGGAGGAAGGGAAAATAAAAGAGATTTTGGTGATGGTGTTGAGGACGACTTTTGTTTTTGCAAAAGGCAAACCTGAAATGGATGGGCAGGCAAGGCAAGGTAATGCAATGCAAATCAATGGATGGGATTAATATTAAATGATGGTTGGTTCAAACGAAACGGCCTTCACAGAGCGGGAAGGAGCTGGACTGGGCGCTGGGCTTGGATCCTAATTTGGCAGGTGATTACTGGTCACTGACCAGTATTTAGGTGGGGTAGATACACATTGGAGGGGTCAGTCACTTTTTTTTCAGCGTGGCTTTGAATGAAAGTAAACAAAAGAATTCGATTCAATTCAATGGATCGTTTTCCCAAGGCAACACTCTCCCTTTTGCGGGGTGTCACAGTCTCCTTTTTAGGCCTCAAACCAGCCTATTCTGGTAACATCTAATGCAGTGAATCCTCCATCTCCAATGTCTCTGATAAGCTGGGCTGCCCCTTGAACTCTGGTTGTCCTTCCAATACGTTCATAGCTCGTGTTTACTGTACTGTACTTGAAACTATCGTGCTCGTTGCCTTTCTTACCCCTCCAGATCGACAGCATGATTCCTCATCTCACTGTTGTAGTGGACAGGGATGTTATTCATCTACCGTGTCTAACGACCGTTTGATCTTCATAACAAAGTTATTCTCAGCCTCAACTCTGCATGCCCGTATTATGTTTAGGCCCGTGCTTTAGCTATGGCTGGGTGTACTTTGTTTGATGACAATTGAGAAGCGAATTGCAGTACCAGAAGCTACTCATGCAGACAAGCAACAGTCTCAACCAGCATTCTTTATTCTCCCTGAATCAGCTACCGGCAATTCAGTTGAGAAGGAAGTCGAAAGCCGTTATCTCAAGCACGTGGCTTCCATACATGTCTGATTATTATCGTCCCGTGTCTCAATCATTCATCCCTGAATATTCCATAACAATACCCTAGAGTTAACGTTACAAACGCATCAATGGCCCCATTTCGACATTCAGCTGCCGTATCCTCTTCTCAGCTCCCAATTCTCGTCACGTCATATGATGTCACTGAATCTTTCCCGGACAATCCGACGTTGCGTTTAAACTGCAGTGTTTACATCCATCGCTAGCGGTTCTTTTTTTTAAATCCTTTTTTGTCTCTCTTATTGGACCTGTAAAGTTTCAAGTCTCGGAATGGACGATGGTATCATAGCAACCCGCACGTCTCGCATTGACCCCGATACTCTGGTAGGATCTAATTAATCTAAGTCATGTCGAAGACCGGGCCAATTCGTCCGTTCTTTTTTTGTTCGGACGGCTCGGTGACTAGCGGCTTCAATATTAACCTCCATGACGTGGAATGGATCCCAAATATTGTCATGATTCGAGAAAGGGTGCAGACTTTGACGATGTACCGCTTCGACCTGATCCTTTGAGCACAACGTGATTCACGACATTTCCAATCTTGACTTTTATCCCCGGAACACTGATCTCCCATTTGCGTATGTCGTCAAACTTGGACTGTCTGAACAGTCGTAGTGTCTTGAGCGACATTTCGTCGGCTGGCAAATTGAACGTCCACCCAATAGATACATGGAACGCACTTCCGACTTGCTCTTTTGTATCTCGCTGATATAGCGTTGGTTGGTCAAACTGCTTAGCTACCGTGTTGCTTCGCGCCAGTAAACTGCTGAGTTCTGGGTTCAAAGGCTCTGCTCCATCTTTGGTGCTGGCAACACGGAGGATGAGAAACGTGCGATCTGAGTTTGGTGATCTGTACCATGCCAACCCTTGAGGTCTGACGGCAAAAGGTGCGATACCGCTGTTGTTGAAGGTTTCTGTTATCTTATCTAAGAAGTCATCCTTGCTTCCTGTCGTGAGAGATAATGGGCGAGATAAACTGATGTGCAGTGGTAGAGGTGAACCCAGATCACTTGTCAGGAAATTGAAGAGCTTGATTTCACTTGACACCTGCTCTTCAATATCTGCGATAAGAGTAGTGAGTAGTCCATGCTGTACAGTAGAAGGATGCCCTGCAACAAGTTAGCGATGCAATCAACACTCGTAAATGGGAACGTACATTCAATGTAGACGTGACTGGGCCAATTGCCGACTACATGAGGAACCTGACGTTTCCGTCCCTGATGCAAACTCGGGTCATCAACAACACTCTGTCTCACAGTAGAAGCATACAGATCATGAAATGTATCTGGCAAAGGTGGCATAGAAGACGCTGCATCTGCATCTCCATCTACCGAATTGTCGGCACCCTTCTGACGTTTGGCACGGTGAGATTCATCTTCGGAGCCGGACTCGGATGAAGAATAATCGACGAGGGCCATGCCGTCATACAGACGTAATTCTTTTTGGCCCGATGGTGTTTTGTCTATTCTGAATATGGACCCCGTTAATGAGTTTGCGCGTCTGGAGTGCGCGTTGCGTTTGATCATCCGTTTAACTTGCAGGTACGCGGCAATTATTCCCGTAGTGGGGCACAACGGTCATTATCAATGTGAGTGTCTAGCGGCTGGGACTCCGATGATGACGATTGGGTTAATGCCATGGCTAGTTCACTTCACATGCTTTCCTCACTAATGAAGTTTGATACCATTTGATGATAAAAATAATCCTGTCATTGAACTTTGTGTGTCATCGCAAGATCCGATATCCGGGTATCTCTATCTCATTGTTGCTGATCAATTGGAATAGGGTAGCAATGGGACGTCATGGCTTATTCGTTGCGTCAGTTGCGGGCCGGACAAGCAAGAGTATTCTTGGTAGTGATATCACTGAGGCAATTGGGAGTTAGTCACTGACGATAGAATAGAGAATCTGTATTGGTGAGTCTTAATTGTTCAGAGAATTCACTGCATGAATTATAACATAGCGGTCTGTATTATTGTCCTTCGAGACTCTTTCATTTTCCCCACAGCATTGACGAGTGGCCTGGGCGTTGGAGGGTCCAGCCAGCTGTCATCCGTCCTCTGGGGGAACGGACGTTAGCGACAGAAGCCACAGAGGGGAAGCACCCGACCGTCGGACTAGATGGTCCATTAGCCGGTCAGGTTCAGGTCCCTACAAGCAGTAGCGAGAGAAAAGCTTAGACCCAGACCCAGACCCTGCCCAATGCATTCGTATGCTCAGCTGACCAGACAGAATTAACGAGGATTCTCCTTGTCACTGTCGGCTGTTTAATTTTCTACATCTTCATGCTATAGGTTGCCAGCTGTTTAGCTTTTGTTGAGAGAGAGGCTTAGACTGACAGTTTCGTATGTCTAAGACAATGACAACGACAATGAGCCTTTTGCTTCCGAGCCTGCCGCGATTGGGAGAACGGAAGAGATGGAGGGAGATCGGCTTGAGTAAAGGCGAGACAATGACTGATTAATGGGGATGACTGATTGATTGACATGCGGGACCTAGCTAATGTAGAGCCTGGTGGATGCCCATTATCCCGTTCCCCCCCTCTGTCCCTCCAACTCTTCACGAACTGATTTAGACTGAAGGAGTCAAGACCTGGAAAGTCCCTTAAACCGGTTCAAGAGGCGTCAATAGCGTCCGAGCCAGGCGGATGAAGCGGCCAGAATTAGAATCTGGATCAAATCACGGGAACTTTGACAACCCCCCGCTATCGAGCTATACCATAGAAGGAACTCTGAATGGGCGCATGATGGGGATGGAGGGGGGGGACGAGACCGCTCTAAGATCTACATCCCAGAAGACCACATGCCATGTCCCATTTGTCTCCGTATTGTACCTGCGCCTTACGTACCTCGAATGGAGAGCTTCTTTTTTTCTGAGACTTTTTGGGAAGGATTGCATGGGAAGGTGGGTAGCTGTGCTGTGCCTGTGCCTTCCGGTTGTTGAATAAAGAGGCTGCATGGTCCTCCTTCCATCCCACCGTTTTGTTTTCCCGTTACTTTTCTCTCTTCACTATTATCTACTGTCTTACACTGAATAAGAGACAACTTGCTATCACTGTCGCATTAACAAACGAACGATACTCACAATACTCAAGAGACCGACGACAGACATTGCATCGATTGGGCCAAGTCACCGATACAAGAACACACTCATCACTGTCTACCATCGCATTGCAGACCAAGATCTCACTCAATTACTTGCGACTCGATAAAACCTACGACCAGCAGCCGAAACACACCACAATCAATTCTCTCTCCCCAGTCGCCACCATGAAGGAATCAAGCGACAAGTCCTGGGTAAGTCTTGGACCCTTACCTGAGCTAAAATAATACCCTTGCCTCTAAGGCTCTACCCAACCGTCAATGCACATCATGGCCCAGTCTTTTCCTCTTCCGTTCCTTGCTTGGGTTCAGGGTCCGCTCCGCCGCTTTCTGTCTGCTTCTGCTTCTGCTTCTTCCCTACAACGTCATCCCAAGAATTTATTGTGATGGAAAAAAACGTCAGGGATGGATCCAGCAGGAACAAGAAAGGACCCTTCATCCGCTACGTACCTTACTTGCGTCAATGTCGATCCCCAAGATTGACGGCCCCTTGGCTTTTTTCCTTGGGACGCAAGCCAAGTAGCCAACCATGCAGTACCTGGTACCACAGCCCATAGTCCACGCAAGCCCGATGACGTTCATCAGAAAACCACACCACAGCCTTATCTGACGTTCATTATTGAACTTTGCGCATTGACATCGTCTCATTTATTTAACCTTCGTCTCTTCTCAATAATTGTCTAACATAAATTAATAGGCCAAGGCTTACCTACTTGATCCTTTGAACGAACCTGAACCCAACCAAGACACCGGTATCGGCAACCTTTCAGCTCAATTTCGCAGCTATTCTCTAGAGAGCTCTGAATCAAACTCAAGTAAAGATCACTCTGAGAAGAAGAACAAGCAAAGAGCTAGCCACAAACATCGCGGCAGCTATCCCACACCACCTACTTCTGCCAGCCCAACTCGCGACAGCTTTCACTCTTCGAACCCTTTCTCAGACGCTGCAACTTCGCGACGTCAATCGGGTGCTCCATCCATCTCACTTTCTCCTCCAAACTCTCCTCCTCGTAAGGAAGAGGTTCCCGAGAACCCATTTCAAATTTCTTCGGTGAACCGATCAGCCAGTGCTCGAGTTCCTGCTCAACGCAACCGACCTCAAGTCCAGCACAACCGCAGCTTTAGCGCCAGCAACTGCGGAGTTTCTCGTCAACGATCATTGATTCAAAGATACCCCGGCGACATGTCTCACCGTCCTCTTGACATCCTTAGAAAGGAGGCTCGCGCAGCTGACCGCGCCCCTCACCTGCGACGCAAGCAAATGCCCATGACTGACACCATTGATGCGCTCGACACCATTGGTGGAACTTATCATCACGGTGGTCCCTATGACGCCACTCTCGCAAGCCGCAATCAGAACAAGAAGTACTCGCCCGTTGCTGCTGTTGAGGAGTCTAACCGAGAAGCTCTCCGCGCCACACCCAGAGCAAACATCCAGGATTCCCTCAACAAGAAGATGCCTCTTCAGGGCACTGCCGCTATTCCCAGCGGCGAGCGGGACTTTACTGGCGACACCATCAACTATGAGGAAGGTGCTGATCTCATGAGAGAACGCGACGCCCAGGGTGGTGCTTACAAGCGTTGGGATGGTATTGTAAGTGTTTTAAATATGACGTCAAGTGGACTCTGACTAACTTTTACAGCAATACCACCCTGACGACCTCAAGGGCAAGGGAGAACCTTCTTACACATACGAGAAGGATCTCAAGGAGAAGAAGCGCGTTCAGCGAGGTGAACCCAATGAATACGAGCTCTCTTCCAACATTGGCAGCAGCAGCAAGCGCCCGGGTATTAGCCACAACCGAAGCTTCAGCGACCACCCCCGAACAACCCCCGAATACTCCAACGGCTCCGACATTCGTCGCAACAACTCTACAGGTCGTCACAAGTTGAGCGACGGTCTGCGAAAGCGATTCGGCAGCATTCGTCGCAAGAAGGCCACCGAGGTTCAGTAAATGAACTGACGACAGTATTGTTCATGTTTTTAACGGATTGGCGTTGTGGTTTTTATGTATATGGCGAGCGTTTTCTACGCGTGATGACGTATGTGTATACCTTGTGAACGATGAAAGGATTGGGCGCTATGGATATATATATGTACTCGGATGAAGCCTTTTTGTATTTTTGGTAAAAGGATTAGGGAAAAGAATGTTAGCTTTGGTTATGAGCTGATAGACATACATAAGAGTCTAGAATACAGCTGTTTTATCATGGTATATCCAAACAGTACGAGTGAGCGATGGCAGTGAAATCAGTGACTGAGATTGAGAACGACAATTGTGGTTTAAATGCTATTTGTATTGAAGCGTGTTTATAACCGCCGTATTATGCTAAACTATATGCACCTGTTACCTAAAAGTACGACATACCACTCCATCCCAAAACACCCTCCAACTCCTCCCTCAACTCCCCAACACCATCATAACCGCCCTTACCAGCAATCTCCGCCCGTTTCGCAGCACCCAGCTCAGCCCACCTAGCCAAAACCGCTCCATCAACAATCGCCCTTCCACCCGCTGCTTCAACACCGACAGGTCTTATACCATCCGGCAAACGATGCGCCTTGGCGTTCAGACCGCCGTGCGGTGTGAGCGCGGGTAGAAGCTGGTTTGTTACGGAGAGGAGACGGCGGTATGTTGTCTCTGGTAGGGGAATCAGACTTGCGATGTGGCCGGATGTTGAAGCGAGGAGGAGGGTGTGGGGAGGTTCTTGGGGGGGTGGATGGGAAGGGGGTGTTGTTCGGGGGAGGAGAAGGGTTGTTGAGGGTGGGTTGGGGGAGACGGAGAAGGAAGTTCTGTGAAGAAGGAGATGGCCTTGAAGAGATTTGGGATCTGTGGTTGTTAGTACATATCATGATGATAGAAGAGGAAAACTTACGCTCGGGGTTGAACTCAAGGATATGTAAATCTCCATCAGCATCCGCCGCAACAATAGCAAGATCATCACCATCAGGTAGAAAATCCGCTACAAGCACAGGTAATCGACCATGGCTTTTACCCAGGACCTTGAAAGTATACGGCTCCTCTGTATATCCCGCGAACCAAACACCCTTGAACGCATCGGCCATGAGACACAAACCCGTCCGCGAAAGTTCACGCGCGCTGGAGACATGGCAGCTCATATCGAGGAACGCGACGGGAAGAAGGGATCCGTCTTCCTTGAGACCTCGCACCATGCACTTTTGACCTTGGGCGACGAGCATAAGACCTTGAGTGCCGATTTCGGAAATAGCTGTTACGCCACCACGGGGAATATCTTCACGTGCGATGGCTTTGAGACGGCGGTTTGTCTCTGGCTTGCCGGGCTCAGGAATAACTGTGACGATATCGAAGACGTGCACGCGACCTCTAATGGGTAGGTCTTCACCCTTTGACACAGCTGTTCCGACAGCGACGAGGAAGCGACGTTCTTTGGTATCTTCTGAGACTTCGAGGTGCAGAGTTTTCATGCACTCGATTGATTCGCACGATTCAAGCTCGACTTCGTGAATGACGGTCCAGCTGATAGGACTAATAAGTTTCAACACGCCTCGGGGCATGGTTGGTGCGAAGGAGAGTGTTTCCTTGGCCCACTCCTTGTGATAGTCGTCGTCTCTGGGAAGTTCGAAGGGTTCGCTAATCATGCAGCCTGCGATGTAAGCACCAGTAGGTTGATGATACGCAATACCGCGAACGTCGGCGCCTAGAGGGACTTTCTTGACTGAGATACCAAGTTCGGTAAAGTTTGTATCAGGAGGAAGTTGAGTAACGCGCGCAATGCCCTTGTCGTCTGCATAGATGAAACCACGATCACAACCCTCTGTATGAAAACTGCTCATACCGCGAACACCGAGTCCTTGAAGGCCTATGACACGAGGGATACTCTTGCTAGACTTTAGGACGAAGCTGGGTGATGAGCCTGGGAGGAAGACGGTGCTGTAGCCGTTGATGTTTGTGCATCTGCGCAGTGGCATGAAACGGGATTGCTCGACATCATCGTCTTGTTCTGTTTCGACGGGTGTTGTAGCTAATGTTACGTTTGATGTCTTTTTAAAGCTGAGGGTGGCGGAGAGGTTTGTTTCGCTGCCTTGTCTTACGTGACGGAGAGGTTCGTAGATTGTGAGGTCGTCGGTTTGGTTTCGGAGCTGATGATGTTAGATAGACTCAATGGATGTGCGAGGGAACTTACGATGAGGTATGGAGATTGAGAGATAGTGTCACCAAGGTCAGCTACAAGAATCTCGCGCAGAGTCTCCTTTGCTAGACCTCTTCGCAGCGTGTAATCCGCTGACAAGTGAGGAGGTACGTAAGAAAGACCCTCAGCGACGTAGACGGGCTTTGAAAGATCAGGAAGAGCGTATACATGTAGTGCACCTGTTGAGCTGAGCAGGAACATCATGATCTTCTCAGTCTCGCTCTTATCGCTAGTAGGCTGGAAAGCGCCCTTTGCGTCCGCGTACAGACATCCAGCATGCCACTTGGTGTTCTTGAGTGTGTCGTCCATCTTTTCCACTTCTTCGAGCTCGTTATTGCTGTCGATCTGGGCAAGTAGGAGACTGCTGTCATCTCTAATGAGCAGCAAGTATGGGTCGGCGATGCTTGCGCTTGTGACTCTGGGTTCTGCGCCAGTTTCTTCATCCAACATGGGCAAAATCTGCGTAAGACCAAGATCTGCAATCGTCAGTACACATAGTTTTAAGCGTAGGGTCAAACTTACCTCCATCGTAGGATCGAACCTCTGACTTGAGAACCTGAATGATCCTCATCTGCTTCCCCATCGTCCCAGCCTCAACCGTAAAACCAGCAGCAGGGTCAAACTCAGTATCCTTCAGCGTCTCAAATCCAGCACCAGTAAGAGCATACACATCTGAAGTCTCGTAACCGTCAAGATCGACCTTGGCCACAATCATAAACTTATCGTGCTGTTGATACGTCTCGTACTCATCTCCAACAGTGGCATTTCCACCAAGTGCTTTAGGCAATGGTTTCTTGACAGACATAGTCCAGAATCCTCGTGCTTCAGGGAACTCGAATCTTCCAATGACCTTGGGTTGGATGTTTCGGTTGAGAATGGCCATTGATCCAGCTTTTCCTCGTCCGACGATGCAGGCGAGGTGAAGGTCTGAGACAACACCATCTGAGAGAGTGTTCTCTTCACTATCAGGAAGGAAAGATGCTTTTCCAGCGGTGAGATCCTTGATTGGCGCGATGCTGAGCAGGGTGTCGTGTATGCGGAAGCTCAGTTCGCCTGATTTGCCTCCGCTAAGTGCCGGAGCCGGTTTCGCAGCCGCAGACTCGGTACCATATAGATCGTCGTCTTCATCATCGTCGTCCTCAAGATCCAGTTCGTCCACATCAAGCGCAATGTCTGCATCAATCAGACGAGGTTTCCTTCTCTTTTCTTGGCCCATCTTCCTTGTCCAACCCAAAACCACAGAGTCGCCAGTTTCGCTACCGACAAAGAAAGAGTTCTTGCCGAGCTTGGTTGCTGTTGATGCTCGAGCCTTGACGATGTTGCCCCCGTTTTCGTCTGTGACCATCTTGACGCTGAGTCCAGAAACTGTTCGACCATCGATCTGGAAAGATACAATAGCAAGCTGGCCATCGTTCAGCACCAATAGCAATTCTCCGTTTTCGATTTGCAGTTGCTCAATAACACAGTGCTCCAATCGCAAGTTCAAATCCGCTTGGTCCGTCAAGCTAAAAGATGTAATCTGTCGTGCCATTGAGTTCACAGCCACACCATTGGCTTTACCCGACTGATCAACATGAATCAACTCATTCTCTCCAATAAGCAAAGCACCACCAACAGGCGCCGGCAAAGCAAGAATCTGGAACAAATCTCGAGGAAGATCCGTAACCGAAAGAATAGTCGTCGAAGCTCGCTGTTGAAGATCTAGCGTGAAAACCTTGTATGTAAGATGATCCTTCTGACCAAGCGAATGCGCAGGTTCTTGGCTGGACGACAAAATTCCAAAGGTCGGTTCTCTATACTCATGCAGAAAGGCGAAGTGCACGGGATGAAGCAGACTGGGATCAAGCAGCGGAAGACGGAGGACAAAAGATGGTGTATATGGTGGTTCTAATGTGTCGCTATCTTCATTGGCCACTGTAGCAGTCTCCTTGACAGGTCGTGGCCCGTCGAGATCCTCATCCCAATCATCCATCTCCAGGTCTTCTTCCGCTTGTCGGAATGGTAGAATCGCGAGGTTGCGCGAGCCGAATTGGAAGGCGGCGCATCGACTGCCAGGATCAGCCTGGAGGTAATTGACATACTCGTCAAAGGAAACCTCCCATGGCGCACCTTGTAGCTCTTCTTTCTCGTAGTAGTGGATAGAGATGGTCTCCAAGGTACTCTTCTCGGGATCCCACACGGCCATACACAGCTTAGCAGCCTTGTATGCTAGGAGTAGAGCTTCACCTCCGCATTTCGAGTGCTTGGTCTTGATCTTTGCCAAACCCGTGATTGTACCAGAAAATGGAAGCTCCGCGACAAGGACTAGCTTTGTATTGTTTGTTCGATCGGTCTTGACAATCATAGTCTCGCCACCGAGAAAAGAAGATTCGAGACCATCATCATCGTTCGCGCGGTGATCGAATTCAGGTTCAGGCTTGGTAGGTTGGGCAGGTTGATTCTCGGGGTCGAATTCGGCGGCGATGGTCTTTGTTGTAAAGATTTGGAGTAGGGAGCCCTTTGCGACAACGAGATTGTTTGCCGTAGCTGAAGTGAGGGAGACGGTCAACGAGTGTGTGACGGCTGAGGGAGCCGCAAGCTCGGTGTAGGCCTGCATTTCAGCGAGACCATTCTACAGCGACGGAATAAAGTCGAATTGTTGTTGCTGCGGTCAATGCTGTATTGAATGTTTAGACCAAAAGAGTAGCTTAAGCTTCCAGGACGGATTATCGGTGAGCCGTTCCTCCGGGAGACCCCTGTAATTCTAGGCTGTAACAGCAGGGAGGGATTCTGAAGCATCTCCACTTAAGTAACGCTAGCGTAGAGATTGCGTCACGAAACATCGACAGCTTAAGGTCGAGCTTCTAAGCTAAACAATCGAGACCATCGAATCTTGTTTTCCACGAATCTTGCCTTTCTCTGATTGAGTAAAGTTCATCACGTTGCTACACCGATCGTTTCTGTCCGTCTTTAGCGACGTCACCCTGGCACTTGGGATCTCCTTTAAATCCCCGCGACCTGCCTAGAAAACCTTCCGGTCGCGACCTGGCTAGCTTCATTACGACTCCATCGTTGATCATCATCCACTGCGACCTGATTCAACGTCTTCTTCATCATGGCCCACGCAGGCCTCGTCCAGACCAGTTTGATCTGGGTCGCTTATGCTATCGCCGTAGCTTTCTGCCTTATTGCAGCGATCATCACCACATTCACATGGCAAACTCCCCGTGAACGATCCGCCGTTGTCAGCATCGTCGCCATCGTCAGCTTGACTTCACTACTCGCAACAGTTCTACTCCTACCCGTCGATATCGCCCTTGTCTCTGCCACCAGCTCTGCAGCGCTTGGTGCCAAGAAGGACTGGGCTACTCCCGAACGTATCGACGGCATCCTCTACACCCTCAAGGTCGTCTACTACAGCTTGTACAGTTTCGATGCTATCCTCTGTCTGATCGTTATTCCCTTTGCCTACTTCTGGCATGAGGAGTACGATGAGATCGAGGTAGAGGAGGAGGGCCGAACTATTTCCAGCCGTCTCCTCGCCGCAGCCAAGTACACACTCTTTTTCGTTGCTTTCGTCGTGGTTCTCTTCCTGCTAGGATTCTTTGTCCCAGCAGCAGGCGACAGCTCTCAGTCTCATTGGGATCTCGACTACTTCAAGAAGCTCGTCGCCCAGAACCATGGCGAAAAGGCTCTGACATTTGCTTTGGGTCTTCTACTTACCCTTGGCACTCTGCTCTACGTCGTCTACACCGGTGCTGGTCTCGCTCTTCTCCCCATCTCTTTCATCAAGGCCGCACCTTCAATCTCGGCTCCTCAACTTCACCAGACAACTGAATCTCAATTGGAACAGAACCGTGAACGCCAGCGACAAATCGACATGCGCAATGTTGGCCGACAGGAGGGTATGTCTCGAAAGGATCAGCGCGAATTGGATGCTTTGGTCAGGGAGGAACAGACTCTTGTCCGACGTGAGAGACTCGCAGCTGAAGCTCAGGGTGAAGGTCGTAGCAAGATCTACCAGGCTTGGCTCAAGGTCTGCGCTGTCTTCCGTCCTGTCAAGCTTATCGGCGGAATTCTTCTTATGCTCCTGTCTGTTGTCATCTGGGTTTCCATGCTCATTACCGGCATTGACAAGGCTAAGAACTCGGTCTGCAAGCAAAAGTGCGGTTACATCTTGGGTCAGATTCACGTTTTCCAACCCATGAACTTCATCTTTGTCAAGTCCGCCAAGGCTTTCCCCATCGACTACATTCTAATGGCTCTCCTTGTGCTCCTCTTCTTTAGCAGCTCAATCTCAGGTATCGCCACCGTGGGCATTCGATTCCTCTGGGTTCGCATCTTCCAGATCCGCAAGGGTAGGACAGCCCCTCAGGCTCTTCTGATTGCCACTGTCATGCTGGGTTTGATCATTCTGGCCACCAACTACGGACTCGCTATGCTGGTTGCACCCCAATACTCCACCTATGGTACTCAGACTTTCTGCACCAATGAACCTGCCCACCCCGGAGAGCAGCCTGACTGCAGTGGTCACAAAGACATGATTCATGCTTGCTCTGAGGCACTCAAGTACAAGCATGCCAAGGATGTTTGCACACCATCGGTGATGTCAACGGTCCTCAACCGCATCACCATCACATGGCCTTTCTTCGGTCTCATCGACTTTTGGGCTCAGTTCGCTTTCCTTGGTGTCTTCCTTGTTGTCTTCGTCACTGCCCTCTTCCGAACACCTAAGCTTAACCTTTCTCAAATCGACGAGGAGGCTGAGGCTGATGAGGAAGAGAGCCTTCTCGCTTCTACTGGTAGACGCTTTGGTGCGACTTGGCAGGACGTCCGAGGCAAGGTCAGCTCAGGAAATGACTCTGCAAACAACGGCAACGGATCACAATCCGCTGCTTAATTCTCACGTATAAATAGTATAAGTATTTCAGATTGAATGAGGTATTCTGTTTTTAGCACAGCAACATTGATGATTGGAGGCGTCAATTGGTATACTTGGGTATCTGTCTTTACAAGCACATGATTTGGGAAACAATAGCTATAGGACTGGAATTAAATGTTTACGCTCCCAACGCAACCTTTTTCTTCTTCTCCTTCTCCTTCTTGTTCTTCGTGAATTGTACCGCCTTGTGACTCCTTTCATCAAAACCAGCTTGTGGTCCACGATGCATCTCGTACCAGCACCGCGTACAATAAACGTCATCGTCGCAGCCGGGACATCGTAGCGTAGCATCTTCGAGACAAACAGTGCACCAATTTTCCACGTCGTCGTCGGTGTAATTCGTCTTTGTAGTTAATCTGTTGACTGGTTTACCGGAGGGTTTGGATGTTGGGACGGAGGGGAGAGATAGATCCGGTGAAGGAGCGCGTAGAGCGGCGAGACGGGCGGTTATATCATCTATATCCGCACTTCCTGCACGCGCAGAAGAAGGGATGTCGGTAGGATCTGATGGAACTTCTGGAAGTGTGACATCTCCTTCTTTTGTATTCGTTTCTTCCCCGTCATCGGATTCTTCGGTTTTTGCGAGGGCGGCTTCGACTTCTGCTTCATCGCGAAAGCGCGCGATGACTTCATCTACATCCTTGCCCATCTTCTCTCCATCTGAATCATCAGAGTCATCTTTCGTTTCTTCTTCATCCTTTGGGATTGCGTCTGCGAGTTGTTCTAGGAGGGCTTTTACTTCTGCGTCGTCTGGTTCTGTGCTGAAAGTATCTTCTGGTGCTATGTCGCCTAGGAGCTCTTCTAGGGTTTGATCGTCTGTTTGGAAAATGGATTCATCATCCTCTTCAATGCTGGGCTTTGGTGTGTCTTTTTGTGGTGTCTTTTCTGGTTGGGGTGCTTGAGGCTTTGGTGATTCTTGAGCTGTTTTGGGTGCTGGTGCTGGGGATGCTGGCTCATTGCTGCGTTCCCGTAGGGACTTGAGACGAGCGGCTAGTGTATCATCCCGAGTTGGTGACTTCTTTCTTTCAATTAAATCGACTTTGATTCTGCGTCTGTGTTAATATGGGAATAACATGAAGTTGAGAGTGAGGCGTACTCTGTTGACACGGGTTTCTCGGAGCTTGCGCTTTTGCCTCTCAAAGCATTCAGCCGCTCCATAAGTGACTTATCGACGTCGTTCGGCATTTTGAGTGAGAGTTTTATATTTCCTGAAGTATGGCGATGGATTTGAGACAGGCGAGCTGATGTTAAGGTAGATGATACGAGATGAGATGTCGCGATGGAGTGAAGTGAAGTGAGGCTCTGACGTGTGGCGGGGGCGGGGCTACAGCGTCTTGGCTTTACGGGGAGAATAACTCCTGAGGGGCAATGCCAAGCTGGAGAGACGAATAGTGAATCTATTTCAAGACATTACTTATTTGGTTATTCATGATGCGAAAACGAATATGATTTTTGTTTTTGATGTTGACATTGTTGAAGGCTTGCTTCAACCTCTGAGGTCTCACTGTAGCAGTGTGTTCTGTAGGCCTGGATGTTACAGCGTTGTGTTCCCAGGGCTACAACAAACGATTGAGCTTCTTCAGGCACGACAATCCAAGTTAATAGCTGCAACGACCAAGAGCTTAAAGGGCGATGAGACAGGGGTGTGTGAGAAGGCAAAACTTTGATCAAGAAAGTTGTTATCATTTTATAGGATGACACCAATGGAACTGCATTGAGCAGCAGTGGAAGTTTGACCCGGATCTTCTTCTACAGCACGATGCTTTACTAGGCATCGCTGATAACTCAGACATGAACATTTGCATTGGCACCTTACTGAACGTTTGAGACCCCTTTTATATTGAATTAAGTGGATGTTAATCTCAGGAGCTGTGATCTAATGCAGTCAACATATAGCTTGGACTCATCGATGCCTTCATTCTGACTATCAAGTTGCGAAAAGATCACCCACCATATTAGCCACTGAGATGCTCTCTAATCCATCTTAGTGTATGAATAATTTTCTCGATTACTTATCGTATGGTAATTTGCTAGAATACGATGTGATTACCATGGAATTAACTTGTGCCTGAGCTAACCCACGCCAGCGGCAAACTATTGAAGACGCTTATCTAGATAGCCTCAGACGTTTGTTGAACTGCCTCATTGACTACAGCGTCCAATGGAGGGCTAGAACTACCACGATCCTCGAAGCTTAAGGAGATTAGAAAACAGGAGAAAGGATGAATGTAAAAGAAGTCATGTATTTCTGATCTATGCATCTTCATTGTTGTTCTCCATAGGTTGTTTAAGATGTCTTGCCAGTTTGTTCGTTGATCTTGGCTGCGGTGCTTGGGACCGCTAATGCGGGACCGTGTAAGCCTTCTGGTACAACTACTGCTGTCTCGGAGTCTACTGTTGAGACGTCCACCAGTGTTGCTACTAATGAGACGTCAAGAAGTGTTGTTTCTTCAGTCGACACGTAAGGGTTCAATCTTTCTTCAAGGATGAGTATGATCAATAACATGTTTACAGCCAGAGCGCCTTGTTTACTTATACAACTGATGAAACCACCACCACTACTACCATCGACATCCAAACCACAACCTCAGGGGCACCTATCGAATCATCCATGTCCAGCAGCGAAACCGAGACACCTACCACAACAACTGCTGGAGACATCACCACAACCACCGAGGCTGCCACCACTAGCTCAGCAGCTTCGATCTGTACTCCTCCCGAGGGAACAGTCTGCGGGAGACAAGGCTACCGTACCACGAACAGCGGCCAGTTGGGACAAGGCAGTGCCGGAACACTGGATGAGTGTATGCAGAATTGTCTGCATACATCTGGATGTGTGATTGCTGCGCTTAAACAGAACGCAGCCTGCGAGATGTGGTCTGAGATCCCAGGATTTGATGATTCGGAGACAAGTTTTAAGTGGTATCAGCCTGCATGCTTGTGCCTAGATGATGCTGCGCCTACGAATTAAGAAGGGGGAAGGGTGTTATTTAGATCGAAGAAGATTGTTTGTAATGAGGATGATATGTTCGATTCTTGGTATAATGTATTTTGTCTTTGCACGAATCGATCTCGTAGTGAGCCACCTGTAATGCGTATCCTGCCCAGTGTACCCCAACTTAGGTAGTTTGCGAAAGTCATATAAAATTCCCAGTTCGATAACTCATCTTCATCATCCGGAACGGTAGCGCTCCAACTTTCGCCATCAATTCAAGCGCTCGCGTTCCAGATCAAGACATCGATATCGGTATCCTCACGAACATGCACACCCACAAAGATGCCACCTAGAGACTGCGGCAAGGGTCGCAGCAACGCAGACGCCATGGGCCGTAGTCAGTTTAGTGTATGAATATACTTCCTAGACGAATCTTGTGAAGTTGGGCTGCGTGGATTGAATGGGAATCTCGATGGGTGAAGTCAGAGTATCTATTTAACTTCCGACAATACATATCCATAGAGTATAGTTGGAAATACATATTCAACACAGGAAGACATTCAAGACCGTCGAGTTGGAAGCTTATGCTGATTAACGTCCGAGGTCAAATATTATATCGCGAGGTAGATAAAGTCAACATCAAGCTGAGTAATATAAATGGCCTTCTTCCAAGCTGTTATCAGTCGAACATTCTTTCTAGATTTCTAAGTCTCCTGCTCTGCATTTATTGCTCTCTAGAATGTCTCGTCAGTTCGTTCGTGCGGTTATCTTGGCTGCAGCTGCGGTGCTCGGTGCCACCAAAACGGCGAAAGCGGGACCGTTGAAGCCGTCGTGGTCTGCCACTGTTGGTGTTGAGACGTCAAACGATGTTGTTTCTACAAGTGGGACGTATATTTTGGACTCCAGGTTCATTCGAGAATGGTTATTAACGAGTAGCGACAGTACCTTGCTTATATCTACTGAGACATACGTTCCCACAAGCACCAAGATACTCACAACTGCCATCACAGCATCCACCGCCCCCATCAAAACAAAGAGTGTCGCTCCTGAAGGCGTCATATGCGGTGCAAAGGGATATCTGTTAGACTCTGACAGCGACTACGTTGAATCGGGTCGAAATGGGTCAGTTCCTGAGTGTCTTGAAGACTGTCTCGAAAAAGATGGCTGTCGTTTCGTCGTCTTCGAAAGGGGTCAGTCGTGCGCCTTTTACTCGGAGGTTGCACCTCTTACGTATCAGAATACAACGTTTAAGTGATATGAGCTTAATTGCTTGTGATGATACGTCAACCGCAATTGAAATGACGACTGTTGAAGACATCACAACCACTACAAGCACTGAGGATATCACCACAACTTCAGCATGTATCGACAGCAAAATTAATTGTGTTTTGCATTTGGATTGCATGAGTTTTGCGAGCGTTGGTTAGCGATTGTTACGCAAACGGTCAGGAAACGGATCTTGAAGGGAGTGAGCTTGCTTGCTTCTGCGATACCTACGCCTTAAGAGGGGGTTGATATGGGAAGATATTATCACGACACTTTGAGAACAGTTAATGCAATGAGGATACTAAGTTCATGTCTTGTCCATAATGCATTTCATCTCGACATTAATGATCTTGAACTGAGTGTCTTGGCTTAGTGCATCAATTCATTGAAGTAGTCAGCAATCACGAAACATAGCGACAGCTTGCTCGGCTTGCTTACTCACAATGTCCGAAAGACAATTGAGTTCAACCCATCCGCCACTTCTACTCAATTGATTGGCAGCTTGTACAAACGCCGATGATTACGTGGGTGGTAACACTAACATGCCATTGGATTTCGGCGTTTAGAGACCCGCTTTTGTCGTGATGCTTCATCGGTTTCGGGGTTAGAAGATCATCATTTCGGTCGGAGATACTATCGTTGGCAGCGTCATTGATCTGTGATACATGGAATATAATTTATTTAAAGGCCTGAATGTACGGTTGGAGAAGTTGTATCAACATTCTCATCATCAATTGTGTTAACAAGACTTCACCTGGAAGCACTGACAAACAACCATCAAACACACACACAGCAACACAACCCAAATTTCCAATATCATGTCTTCACCAGTCTGGTTCATCACAGCTGCATCATCAGGCTTCGGTCATGACATCGCGCTCCATGCCCTCAAACTAGGTCACACTGTCATCGCAACAGCGCGCAGCACATCTCGTGTCCAGGACCTTGCCGACGCAGGAGCCCACACCCTCGCCTTCGACGTAACATCTCCCATTTCAGACCTTGAAGCCATCGCAAAAGACGTCTACGCCAAGCATGATCGTGTTGACTATCTCATCAACGCTGCTGGATTCATCCTCGATGGTGCCGCCGAAGAGATCTCACAGCAGGAGCTGTACGATAGCTTCAACACCAATGTCTTTGGCATCTTTAACACTATCAAGGCTTTCCTACCTGGTATGAGAGAGCAGAGTGTTGGAGAGAATGGCCGTCGTGGAACAATCGTTACATTTGGCAGTATCGGCTCTTGGAGAGGAGGTGCTACATACTCTGTCTACTCCATGGTGAAAGCCTGCATGTCCTCCCTCGCCGAGTCACTGCGCTATGAACTTGAACCGTTCAACATCCTAGCTTCAGTTGTTGAGCCAGGCTACTTCCGCACGAGTTTCCTCAATCCTGGTGTGAAGGTCACTAGCAAGAATCGCATGGACGTGTACAATGACGAGAATACACCCACGGGCAAGACGCGCATAGCGTTGGAGAAGACGGATAACAATCAGCCTGGCGACGTCAAGAAGGGAACAAAGGTTATTGTGGATATTCTGACAGGGACGGGTGTTGGAAAGGGGAGGGATGTGCCCGTGAGGATTATTCTGGGCAGTGATGCGGATGTATTTATTCGGAACAAGCTCAGTGAGACACTAGAGATCTTGGACGATTGGAAGAGTGTCACTGTCAGTACTGATATCACAGAGTAGGGCGCTTGCTTGCTGTAGTCTTAGCAAGCAGAACAATAGAATTGGTATATAACATTAACTGGATGCAAACCTTCAGAAAAAGAACAAATACAGTCGCTTTTGAGAAACAAGCATTGATGCTTAAAGAGTGTTTAGAGTATATGTGTCACTTCACTGCCAATCTCCTAGCTTCATAAAGCTGATAGTAGCTGGCACTGGCAAGAGGTGGCAGTGTAATTTATTATTCTACCCAGCGGCCGCGTAGGCCTGAGGTTTTCGAGTTTCATTCACCCTCAGGCTCCAGCTTAATAAATTTCCCGCCCTCCTCAACTCTTCCACAAACCCACCTACCATCACAAAATCCGCTCTCGACCTGGCCTTTACCTCATCACCACCCGCTCTACGAAAGGGACAGTGGTCGGCTATCAAGATC